CTAACCTTAACCTGGAACGCATACTACGTTCCGGTGTCCGCATCTCAGTTCACATACTTCGGGAGCGCCCTATACTCTACGACAACGCCACGCTTGGGGTTACGATGCCCACTTCATCAATTTAATTGAGTTGAGAAAAGTTTCCACATGCTCAAATGGTTTTGTCATGGAGAAAGATGTCTCATTGAAATTGAGCTTAGTTGTTTTTTTTGTTTAAAAATATTGGTGATAATTTATGTTATTTGAAAAGCTATATTGAAAAATTATTCAAGAATAAAGTAGAGTTTGCCATTATTATTAACAATAGTGATATAAGGTATTGTGAAAATGAAATTAATTGAGTTTCGCGAAGCATTCAATTGCTTTATCGATTTTACCTGAGATGTTTGCGATAAATTATGTTGTTTTAAACCTTATTTTGGAATGTTTGAAAATAGATTACAATTTTGTCGTTATTGCTAGTTAATATTTGTGGAATTCAGTAATTCGCGATCATATTCCATTCCTGTGCGTGCGTAATAAATTATACAAAACGCTGGCAAAAGCACAAACAAGAGATAATGATTTTAATGTTGAATTTTAGATACCTGTCACCTCTTTGACAAATGGTACTGAAGTAACCTTCAAGCTAAATATAATGACACGACTTCAAGACGATCGAAATGTTTCTGCAACTTCATCCAATCAAATACGTGTAACACCAAGTTAGTACATCAAGTCACTATTATGTTTGGTCAATATTTACTACCCTTGTATATATCTAATAAAAATTAGGGTCAAAATATCTCGTTCAATACAATGCACGATATAGTCTATATATCAATCAGTGAAAGGACTCACGCGCGCTTTTGTGACGTTACTATTTTTAATGACTCTGTATATCTATTCTGACGAAGGTACAATTTTTAGACTCCGAGCAATGCTCCAATTGCTCAACAAAGGCGAGTTGCGTGAGGTTGACTGATGGATCAGGTGATGTAATATGTACGTGCAACAATGGCTTTGGAGGTAATGGTACGACATGCGACTTCATAACAACAACAACTGCGGCTACAACAGGTAAAGCGGATATCAATTTTACGCCCAAAGATACCGCAGAAAAATTAAAGATTTGGGATTGTGTTCCTAATTTGATAAAACTGACTTTGTTACGTGCAATTCGTCAACTGTTTCTATAACGCACTGACAAGTGGACAACCAGCGAGTGCTATTCGTTCATGAGCAGATTGGTCCTATGCGTTATAGCGAAACGTTCGAGTAGGGTCAAATGCAATATAAAGGGTCTCAAAACAGTAACTCAAAATTAACAGAAGTTAGGATGATATGCTACTTAAAACATTTAACGACTGATACCTTTCAATAGTATTGAATTACGGTGAAATGCCATTTGAACATTTCACGACTGACGCTTTTTAACAGTTACTTTTTTTGCCATGACGAAAAATTTTACCTCAATTTTGCGCAACTTTCCACCGTATAGATCGATATATAATATAGCAGATAAACGCAACTTAGATTCGCCACTACAATAGTTAGCTTTATGAAAACTCTACTTTTGACTGTGGTCGAAGGCGATATCCGATCGATATGATCTCCGTGGTGCGGTTTCACGAATGGGGCCAAGTCTGTAAACCACCAGAAGATTCCGTGTGTGCTGCCAAGCCACACAATCGCTTCGATAATCGAATGACATAAGTAAAAAGCGTTACTATCCAAAATAAAGGAACGGATTGTACATATAAAATACAGAGCAACGAAAACGCGTCCGATCTTTACAGCAATCAGATGAAAAAGAGATGACGACATGTTGAAGCGGGCTCGTGTGGACAGAGGAGAGAGTAGTCAAATCTACTCCATTTAAAATATACTAGTTGAGATCATAGCAACAAATCCGATCAAACACAACTGTACACGACCCTAAGTTAATATAGACAAATAAAACAGCAAAAAGGCAAACATCAGTCCCGTCAAAATTATATGTGCATATCTTTAATTGGCGTTCTATTATTAACGTAGACTTCCGCCCCATACTTCAGAATATAATTATAATCAAAAACGGACCTAAACCTTGACTTAAAACAATCCCTCAGCATTCAGATACCATCTACAATTTGAAAAAAGAAAGCGAATATTGGGACTACGTATACCAATTGTGTTTTCGATTTTAAACATAAAATACTGCCATTAAAACGTAAAACAGTTTTCCGTGTTATATCAGCATATAGTCGTATAGACAAAACTTGAATGGACTCAAGTCAGCGCCGCTATAAGGAAAGAGCTAGGTAGGTCGGAATACTACAATTCCTGGAAATTATGTGGGAAAATATTATAGCATAGAAATTCTATTGACAAGCGAAAACATCAACAAGCCTAATACAGTGTAATGAGAATGATTGAGTATTCTGGGTCTAGTCAACCCACCTTTGGAGATGAAAGTCCAGTCTAGTAGATGCCGCTGTTTTATTTCCAAGCTAAGCCACATTGCGTCAATGAAGAGGATTTTACCAGCCTGCGCTGTTTTTTTCTTACAAATACGTATTTAGCATTCGGCGGAGCAGGTCAAAATAGTAACAGCAGCATCAGTCCAGAACTTCAAATGTGCGATGCGAAGAAGTTTCGCTACATCACATTTGATATAGAGCAAGTCACTAATGTTATGGAAGTGACCAAGAAGGAAGTCGATGCTAGGTCAGCGCCTTCGACGCGGACACTATCGTATTATTACCGCACAATAGTATTCAACAAATACGCGAGATGATGACATTGGGGTCGTAATCAATGCGCTGTGCGTTATTTTCAATGAAAACCCAAATCAGCGATCGTTTGATTCGAAAGATTAACATTTTATTTTTGATTACGGTTTGATGACTCACTATTGCGATCAATCGTATGGATGTTCTCAATTCTCCTGGTCACTTCTGGCATTTTTCTATTAGTTAATGTTAGAGAAGTTAGCAAATGAACGATTCATTTCAACACAAATATTAATTCAAGATAGTCTTATTAATTTACTATACTTTTTTTTAAACTACAGCTGCAACTACGAAGACGGATACCACCACGGCTGTAGATCCAACTACAGCTGCAACTTTCCAACCATCCACTACCATGGCTGAACCAACTACAGCTGCAACTTCCCAACCATTCACTACCATTGCTGAACCAACCACAGCTGCAACTTCCCAACCATCCACTGCCATTACTGAGCCAACCACAGCTGCAACTTCCCAACCATCCACAACCATTACTGAGCCAACCACAGCTGCAACTTCCCAACCATCCACTACCATTGCTGAACCAACCACAGCTGCAACTTCCCAACCATCCACTACCATTGCTGAACCAACCACAGCTGCAACTTCCCAACCATCCACTACCATTGCTGAACCAACTACAGCTGCAACTTCCCAACCATCCACTACCATTGCTGAACCAACCACAGCTCCAACTTTCCAACCCTCCACTACCATTGCTGAACCAACTACAGCTGCAACTTCCCAACCATCCACTACCATTGCTGAACCAACCACAGCTGCAACTTCCCAACCATCCACTACCATTGGTGAACCAACCACAGCTGCAACTTCCCAACCATCCACTACCATTACTGAATCAACCACAGCTGAAACTCCCCAACCATCCACTACCATTACTGAACCAACCACAGCTGAAACTCTCCAACCATCCACTACCATTACTGAACCAACAACAGCTGCTACTTCCCAACCATACACTACCAGTTTCGAACCAAGCACAGCTGAAACTTTACAACCATCCACTACCATCTATGAACCAACGACAGCTGCAACTTCTCAATCCTCCACTACAACTACTGGACCAACCACAGCTGCAACTTCCCAATCATCCACTACCAGTTCTGAACCAAGCACAGCTGGAACTTCCCACCCATCCACTACCAATTCTGAACCAAATACAGCTGAAACTTCCCAGCTATCTACTACCATCACTCAACCAACCACGGCTGCAACTTCCCAACCATGCACCCCCATTACTGAAGCAACCCCAACAACAGCTAAACCAGCAACAGACTCAATAGCCTCTACTGCTGTATCGGAAAGTAGCACTACGACTAACAATTCCCAACCAGGTTGTTCGCATTTTGTAATTTACCATAACAGGGACTATATGAAATCAAGTGATATCCATTCTCTAACGCACACGATTTGATGACTGTCTCAATTTTATTTACTTGCTCTTTGCCATTTTTCATTATTATTGGAAAGATTACTGTGCTCGCAAGTTCGCAACGATGTTATTATATATCTTTATGAGATGTCTATTTTACTTCGCGGTCGGAGCCAAAAATAAGAAGCAACTGATGAAAACTGATATTTATATAACACAGATCATCTTGGTTCGATATCGCCTTCCCAATTTATTTCACCTTCGGTGAAGCACTAAGCGAAATATTTCACCATTGATGCTTTATGACCATTTTCTCTTTAGAGATTAACTAGCGAAAGCATAAACAAAATGTACACAAAGATCGAGTAAATAAGCAAAACCCATTTTTAACCTAAAATTTAAAAAGGGTATTATAACATTTATGTCGATTTACTGCCAATAACAACCATACTGTACGAAAACCAATCGTTATATAGGAGCGAGAATTCGTTTTGTTATTCCAATGCTTGTTTTTCAGTTTTACCTGTCTGGGGATTGATTATTATTATCGTAGTTGGTGTCGGGTTACTTGGAGTTTCGATTTATGTTATAGCCAGGTATGTTGCTCTTTCTTTTTTATTTATCATGTCAAGTGCTGTTCAGGTATTCGGAAAAAAACAAATGTTGATTCTTTCCGTAGTAGGTAGAATTAGCCGCTGATACAGCTGAAAAAATGGGCTGTTGTCGACATAGCTGTTGTGAATATAGAGCCAGGAAGTTCTAACATTGTTACCTAATGCATCTGAATGATATGGTAAAACAACTTTATTGTATGTTTTCTTTATGTGCGCCTTACAAGTTTTATACCTTTACAGACATTGCGATAATAAACAGAACGATCAGGAAAAACCAAGCGTGGAAATGTGGAATGTCAATGGCAACCATAACAGGTAAAAAAGCTCCGCAAAACCTGAGAAAATATTAGGCACTACTTTCAATTGAATTCATTTTGTAAAAAGATATGTACAATACACACAATCCAACGGTTTTTAATAGTCAGGCAGGATGATTAGATCTGATGTGAGGTCGCCTCCATAATACGTTTTTTAGGCGACTCCAGTCTCTTCGACTGCCAGTTGCTCTCCTCGTGGGCCACTCTATACATTTTAGTTCGGAGTGCGCACAAACCCTAAAATTGAACATAACTATAAATTACATATTCATATAGTGCTCATGTTTCAGTTTCTGATAACACAGAAAGGTTATCAAATTTTTTTTCAGGCAAGAGAATCCTTATGAAGAAATTAATTGACGTATAATTACAATAAACAAAGAGAGTTGTACGAGGAAAGAAGCCGTGAAAGTGGCGATCAATGATGACAAATATTTGACTTTGCTACAGCATCGTAATCATTACGGATGAGACGTAATTTAAACAAGAGAGCTATGCTCAAATATATGGACACGTAGCGCCTCCCAATGGCAATAATTTTGATGACGTCATAGCGAAAAAAAAGTAATAGCCCTCTGGAGAAAAATTTTATCTTTAACCACTGAAAATTTCAAAGCAATTGGTCCAGTATTCGAAAAAAAAAAGATTTTTTTAAAAATGATGGAGACAAATAACAATAACAACAAAATTTTGAAACGATCGTTATGCCCACTAAACGTGTCCAACAAACGTGTCCAATAAAAAGTCGTTACAGCCAGAAATATATAATCAACACAATCAAAAAGAGACCTCAACTGGAAAGGATTTATATGTCTGGAACGACATTATTACTCGATAAAAGACGCTATTTTGAAGACTTATTTATATTTTAGGAATAGTTCTATTTTGTAAAACGTATTACTTTATTTGTTGTCAAGACTGTGGACTATGAGTAGTAATTCAAACTCGCTAGAGTCTGACGGGTAACCATGACGACAGTTGAAATCTTACAAAAACCAAAATTCCTCTAACACGACATTGTTTAAGTTTCACGGAAAATTTTATTCTTCGCACACGTTGACGACTAATATCAGCATAATAAAACACTATATAAAGGGTGACCCAACAAAGTGCCCAGATAAATTGGAAATTTTTTATAGAGAACGTAACTTCGTGAAAAGCGAGTTAGATTTCCCAAACTCTTGAGTAAAATCTTACACAAACAGAGGTTAAAGTGCTAAATAAACATTCTTCATTTGCGTTGAAATATTTAGGAAATTTTTGAGATCTGTTTTTTTTTTCGCATGGTTTTTTTTTTTTTTGGGGGGGGGGGGCTACTCTGTATATATATATATATAAACGGGACAATCACATGAGATTATTTTTGTTCCAATTTAAATTTATGGTACTTCCGAAGTATGTGAGCCACGATGGCGCACACCGGAACGTACTATGTGTACCAGGTTAGGGTTAGGCCATAATTTTATTCCAATATTCCTTATTTTATTCCTGTTACGAGTTCGGGGACTAGCCAAGTGACCCCCGTAGTATTTGTACCTGAAATTATGGCCTAAAAGCTAACCTGGTACACACATTACGGTGTCCGCCATCTTGGTTCACATACTTCGGGCGTATCAAATTTCGTTTATTAAATCAATTATATGCAAGTAGTTATGCACGTATGACGTTAATGCACTTCTGATTTTTGGAATATTTCCATGTTTGTGGTAATCACGAAACTTAAATAAATTGCTTAAAAACTGTAACTCGTGTAAAGAAGACGATTCATATTTTGAGACATTTGGTAAAATTAATACAAAATTTCGCTTTTGTTAATGCCAAGTACTGCAGTTAAAGTTTTCTAACAATTTGGTAGGGCGTAGTCTAGATTCATCATCGTGCATAGGGTCGTATTAATTTCTTTGAATAATCGGTGTTTCTCTAGAATTCCTTTACAAACTGGAAACACATATTAGCCGTGTTATCAACTTTCCTCTCCGCATGTGTAAATCTCAAATGTAGATCTTATTACTCTGTGAGAATCCACTCGCAACTCTGATTCATTCAAGGACTGACTCCAAATTGACAGAAAATTTCCGATTCTAATTACCCTATTCTGAGTCAAACCAAGAAAATCAAAATTTCTTGACAATGAGTTCAACACATTCAATTCATTTGAGAATACTTGGTAAACTTATTGCTCTTCGCGATCTGTCTGAAATTTGTTTTCAATTATCACATTTAGAAATCTGGAATCCAGGTTGCTGGTTCTCAGTTAGAAAGTTTGATTCCGACTTATCAATGAAAGCATTCTCAACTTCCATTCTACCTCGCAGCCCTGCTCAAACTTCAATCTTTTTTTTTTTATTTCATTCAGGTCTAACTTGAGCTCGGCATCCGGGAATGTAGAGTTAGACAACATAACAACATTGAACTTTTCCGAATGTTATGGTCTAGCTAGGACCTAGGTCATCGTTTCTCAAACTGTGTTCCGCGTAACACTAGTGTTCCGCGAGCGTCTTCGAAGTGTTCCGTGGAAAAAGAATCAAAAATACGTCTAAAATGGTCGCCATGGCGATCTACGGAACGTGAAGTTGTCCCCCAACTGACCTTTTGATATCGCGTCACCGTCGGCCTAAAGTGGACTAATTAGGATGGGGTAGTGGAATCGATAACCGTCGCTATTTCTCCTCCACCTTTGCCTGGTTTTACTTTGAAATGCTAAGAAAATTTCTCATTTTTGCTAAACTCTATTCAGTAGATAAATAAACTGCTGCGAGTGCTTCTATCTCCATTAGACGCAACATTAGAGGCAAACACTATGTAATGAAAAGTAAACGACATAGAATTGTAAAATGAATGAATTGATTTATATACACAACATTTAGATTGATAAACAATAAAAACATTTAAATTAATAAATGCAATATGCAAAATATTCAATCATTTTTAGGTATGTTTGACACAATTCTGTTAGTTTTCGCGGCGCATTTGGCAACTCGCAACGAGTTTGGGAACCGCTACATTACACCTTTTTTCTTTATCAAATTTACCCTTTGAATTTTTGGTGTTCCGCGAGGCGAGATAAAAAGTGCAAGTGTTCTGTGGCTGAAAAAGTTTTTGGAAACGCTGGTCTAGGTAAGCACATCAAGATTTATTTAGTCAATGAAAAAGTTGTTAGAGTTTTGAATTTTCACTCCAATCTTTCCGGGTTCATACCAAGAAATTTCAGTCAAGGTGATAAATTGGGGTAGACAATGTTGCTGTATCACTATCAGTGACCGCTTCCACAAAGCCTTACTTGGAATGAAGACAAATTTAAAATAATCGCAAACAAATATACTGCAAGTTAAAATTAATGTCTTAATATGGTGGCTTTTTTGAACTAAATAAACTGTGTCGTACTGGGTACCGGTACTAGCAAGTCAGTTATCATAGCCATATAGCTGTTTCACAGTTCACCTTTGTGCAGTCATGCAGGATACCCTACGGTTTTCGGTGAAGTGATGATAATATATTTCATTTTATTCTACGTGTCCATATATTTGAGCATAGCTCTCTTGTTAATGATGATGACGTCGCCACTACAAACTTTGAAGTGAAAACGAATTTTAGAGCCACAGCGACAACAAGAATATTTAACCACAGCAAATTTCGAATTAATTGGTCCAGCAGTTTTTCATAACAATATCATAACAAAACAATCCACAGGTAACAACTAGGCTAAATGTCTCCGCATTAGGTATTATCTATACTCAAACCTGTAGAAGAGTCGCATTCGCAATTTGGGACGTCGACAAATTTTTGTCTAAAACAGTGGCACCTAACCGGTGGTGGTTGCGCAAAATGACCTCTTATAATGTGCTAAAATTGTATATAAACGCGCTGCGAGAATAATTTTGGCGTAACAAATAAAATCGTTATGCGGATTGCACATAGACGCGATTGCGCTTGCTTGGATCAAGGTTAAGTGTTCAAGATGATTTCATTTTAATGCAAACATCAAAATACTTTGGTCATAACAATAACCTTTAAATAACATAATATTGCCACATCATGCCACAGCGAGCATTTTTTCCCATTAAACTTGTAAATTGCAAATACTCTGTTTATGGCAGAAAACATAACACTTTTGACTACTAAAATCAAAATCTGTGTTAAATACAAGCAATCAATGTTTTTAATACATTTATGATTTCAAAAGTAAAACATGGTATCCTGTGCGCGAAATAACATAGTATATATGTTAGTAAATGTGTTTAAAATAAAAAACTATTTTTCGAAATGATCACTTCTATAACTCATAACATTATTAGTATGGAGAGTTAAATTTAAAAGTCGTTTTTTCGCTCGCCGACGTTTTTTATAATTTAAAAATTGTATTGGAACCCCATTGGAATCTCATAATCATTTTTCATATGCATTTGAAGATTCAGCATAATGTCGATTGTTCAACATAAATAATATCGATTTATTGATACAAAATAATTCTATGCATCGATTTACTAAATTCCTGTTGGGGTTTCGATCCATAGTTTTCACAACAACTGATTGACAATAGACTCCAAGTCATTACAATGTAGGAAGTCGCCATACAAAGATATTACAGGCATGCCTATATATAAATCTCTTGCTCTGTTTTAATGTGCTTTTCCTGAATATATAAAAATGATTTGGTTGATTGATTGTTACTTTTTGTTCAAATTTTACTTACGAGGACTGATATTTTACTCTATACATTTTGCCGTTTTTTAACTCATGGGAGCCTCTTAATATGTTATCTGGTACACACCATCGTATTTGTGCATTGTCGTCAAGTTGAGGATTGCTTTGTTGTTTCTATGGTTGAATGAGATGCAGTGTAGGTACGTCATAATTGCGATTAAAGTATCGCAACAATCAAGAAAGTTCTAAACTAAATTATTTTGCAAGTCTGACTGTCTGGGCGTGTGCGTTTTAGAAAGATTCTTCCTACGTGCTAACATACTACAAGATAATCAATATTAAAAAACTGTTCTGGTGAATATAGTCAAGTCATAGTCAGCAATATTAGTAGCTGAGCAAGAAAAATTGTTGGTAGCGTTGTAGTTGACGTGAGGGTCGCTGAATTTGTTCCGGTAGTTGAGATAGTTGATCCAGATGTTGCATTTGTCCGTGATGGTGAAGTCGAGTTCATAGGTTCGTGTGATACAGCGACGGAGATAATATGTTGTGTTACTAGTTTAGCTGTTGCTGTGTTTGATTCAGTAATGTTAGTGGATGGTTGGAAAGTAGCAACTGTGGTTGGTTCAAAAATAGCAGTTGATGGTCCAGAGGTTGTGGTTGGTTCAGTTGTTGCTGCTGTGCTTTGTTTAGTAATAGTAGTTGTTGGTTGGAAAGTTTCAGCTGTGGTTGGTTCAGTTGTTCTTGGTGTGGTTGGTTCAGTAATGGTAGTGGATGGTTGGAAAGTTGCAGCGGTGGTTGGTTCAGTAATGGTAGTGGATGGTCGGGAAGTTGCAACTGTGGTTGGTTCAGTAATAGTAGTGGATGGTTGGGAAGTTGTAGCTGTGGTTGGTTCAGTTGTTACTACTGTAGTTGGATCGACAGATGTGGTGGTATCTGATTCCGTAGTTGCAGTTATTGGGTCCGCAGCTGTTATTCAAAAAATGTTATTTGAATAAAGAAAAATAACTTCAGACCTATGAAGCATTTTCATAATTTATAATTGAAGTCTTGTGTTTTAATTCCAATTAGAATGCCGTAAACAAATCAAATTAACAAATATTTGTCTAGCGTCACAAGTCCAATGATAATAAGTTTCAATAAAATGATAATTGCTTATTTTATCAAATGAATATTCCAAATCGTATTCCGAGGAATATTTATGCCATATCTGGTTCGTATGGATTGAAGTATTTTACTCCAATTTATAGTTTAGCCCAGCGGTTCTCAACTGGGGCCCGTGGCCCACCAAGGGGGCCATAGAAAAGTTAGACGGGGCCACCATGCTACGCGCAAAACTGATTTTATATTTTCCTTCACAAGAAAACTCACTATTCTTCCTAGTTCCATGGCTTGATAAGGGTATTTCAAAGGGTGTTTTCTTTTGTTGAGCATGAATTGTTTAAACAGTGGGATTTGGAATCTACTAATCAAAATAACAGCATAGATAGCACTGGAATCATAAACATCGGGGCCATGAATGCTAAAAGCCACCGGAAAGGGCTACGAGCCATAAAAGGTTGGGAGTCATTGAGTTTAGCCACTTGCCCCGCTGTACTAACTTGGTGTTACACGTATTTCATTGGGTGAAGTTGCTGACGCAGTTTGTCCATTTTGTAGCCTTGTCATTATTTTCAGCTTGAAGGTGACTTGCGTACCATTTGTTAAAGAGGTGAAAAACAACTGAAATTTAAAATTTTCTCAATTTCACAAATGTTCAGTCCGAATAGTCATGCATGGGGGAGTAAGAATAGCTGGATAGTTTAGAATAGGAATGAGAAAAAAATCTAAGATTTCGATTTTTTGTTTTGAAATGGGTTTTGGATAACATTTGAATGAACTTTGTTGTTTGTTGATGAAAAAGTTATACATATTGTTGTATAATAAAATATATATATATTGTAATATTGATTTAGGTGTTTTGTGAGTATACTTTGTATATTTTTGTTTCGTGGGGCATTCTCTGAATATTAAGATCGTTCTTCAAAACCCAAAATATATCTACCTATTGGAAATCATTCCTACATACTATGTTTGTCATTGTAGCTTGATTAAAAATCGTCGATCTGTCGGAAGGTTTACCAGGAATTATCAATTATAACGACTTATTCCCGGCAGGTAACTTATCAGATAGATAATCGTACAACTGGCAGATTGACTTTCATATCTTAGCCTCACCTTTAGAACGTCTGATCCATCGATCTCTTCTTCTTCCAATGTAGCAACCACCGTGTCATTACTGTCTAATATTTCATATCTAATCGCCTTCTTTAGAGAGGGTATATGCAACGTCACAGATGTTCCGTCAGATGATGAGGCGTACGTTATATCCTCCGAGTTTATAACGCTGCCATTCAATACTGCAAGTGAATTAATACACCGGTTACGTCTATGTGGTTGCAACGATTCTGAATTTGGTTCACTTTGGTATTAGGTTGCTAACATGAGAAACGAAATGAGAGTCAAATAATAATTAGAATATGACGCTCCAGAAGTATGTGTACCAATATGGAGGATATAATTTTGTTCGCCTACTTTACATCAAGTTGTGTAAATGTACTGAAGCCTATGGACAGGGGGTATATTCACTTGACTAACACAGACAGTCGCGGAACTCGTAATAGAACTAAAATAAGGAAAATCGGAATAAAATTATGCCCTAACCTTAATCTGGTACACATACTGCGGGAGTACTCAACAACTACTTAGGTGTGTTCTTTATTTTATAGCATCAAGTCATGACTACGTTTAAAAAAATCCAAGCTAAATCTTTTAGCAAGCTCGTAAGCTCCCCCTAGTGTATAAAAATTGTTAAAAGTGACTTAAGTTTTAAAGCCCTAAAAGTGTTTTCTTTTTTGATTTTCTCAACTTGCGATCGACATCCTTTCTTTTTATTATTTTCGATAACAGAGGTTACTAAGTTTGCAAGCCAATATTTTTCTCTAAATATATATACGTCTTTATCGAGGCGTAAGCATATGGTTACCTGTTGAGTGAAAAAGATGATCAACAGTGTCTTCGGGTAAAGATAAACTTTGAGCTTCAAAATATCTTGTATACAGCTTCACACCAGTTTTTCTTACAACGTCCTTTATAAGAAAAGCTAGAGTGAGGCCTGCCGCGCTGTTCAAGTTCAATAATCCAGTTACAGTTGCTGAAGCATCTGATATGACTAAAATAGTAAATAAAGTAATTTTCTGCGATCGAAGTCATACAAAAAGTCCTATCCTACAGTCTCTAACAGCTCACTAACTGTTATCGACGCCAACATATCCATGTTAAATTCCACAGCCCAGCGGTACCCAGTGCGTCTCGAAAGTTAACAGGATTGTGTTAAATAAAATAATATATGATAGAACATTTTACATATTATAAATGTTCTTTTGTTTCTTGTTTTAAATGCTGTGTATATGAATCAATAAATTTATTTTATCTCTCTATGTTGTTTACTTTCTGTTACGTAGTGTCTGTATTTATTATCACGTAACTTTTACGTAACAATATAGGTAACCATTAGTTCTGCAATTTCATGAGTTGCAGTTTATTTATCTGCCGATCCGAGTTTAGCGAGTGATATTTTTAGTACAGTATTTCAAAGAAAAACCAGGCAGAGATGCCTTTATTTTTTAGGTCTACTTGTTCACAATTTTTAAAAGGCATAAGGAATACATTACCGATCACAGAATTGAGTATTATTTAGAGACGGCACTTTATCCCTGTAAGTGCGCCGCCCGAACAAAAAAATTGGAAACCCTCTGCCATGGCCACTAGTATAAGTTGCATTTACCTGATGTGATCAGTTCACGAACTATGTCGAACGTAGTTGTTTTGCATAGTTTGAAACAATATATATTCCCGATCGCCAATTTTAGTGGAATTTTCAAAAACTATGTACTACTATGCAGTGGAGGGATTCAAATTTTTTTGTCAGCCGGTTCCCTCACATACTTTTCAGCCAGTTCTGTTAAAAAAGTCATGTTTTTTCAGTAATGCTAACCGGTTCGCTGATCTCATAAAATTCCGTGAGACGGTTCTATAGAACCGGCGTGAACCGGTTGAATCCCACCACTGCTACTAAGTCGTCATAATAAGTTCAATCACAGTAATAAAATATTTAATTTACCTCCGTTCGATTGTATGTTTATTGAAGTTTGAGGACTATCATCAGACATTTCTCTTGGAAATATTACTGGGATTGTAATGGTCGATCCATCTTCTTGTGTTATGTACATGTGGATGTCAACGTCATCCTGCTTCATCGGATGTGTAGAGTTAAAGTATGCAAAGACGTATTCAGTACCGCTACTTAATGCTGCTACATATATGCCCGGGGTTCCCACGCATTCATCTGAGACCAAATAGATATAATAGTGTCCTATTATTACTGTAATAACTTTAAGCACGCTCAACGCGTTGAATGACATAAAATAGCAGATATGAAAGATGGGTGGAATTCCAGATGCGACGAGTAACATTTCCGAATGAAAAGCTATGCAACTAACTATTCTACATCAATATCTTGTGTGAATTAGAAATGGAAACGATGTCAACTTTAAGTGTCAATGATGATGAGTGCTTTGATAACGATCAATATATAATTTCAGCATCGCTTTAGAATAAAAATTTTTTGAAATACATTATATGCTAACTCGGCGATTACATACCTCCGTTATTGATAGATGAGTTGCTGAAACTTGGTCCAGTTAACGTATAATTCTGTGGTGAAGGCAAGCTTTTGTCTTTGACTTTGATTTCATAAAATACAAGAGGATTTCCTTTTCCGTTGTTTCCAATTTCAATAATCGTTATTTCATTGTAAGTTATATTCATTGCACTATATGCTTCTGTTATTATTGAAAGAGTTGCATTCCATTCATCGCTGAATTCGTTCGAATATGAAGAATTATATGTCTCGTCTTCAAGGTCTACTCGACCAAATATTGAGAGAGAAGCTAAAAAATATACGAGTTTGAGTTTCATCATTCAAATGATTTATTTATTGTTTTATAATCCCAATCCCCATGCGGTAATAAAGTGGTTTTATAAGAAAGTTGCTGAAAACGAAGACACGCGCACTCACTTATCCCTTAGCTACCAAAAGAGTACAATAATCTGCTGTAAAGTCTACTCGACTAAGAACGGAAACAGAAGCTGAAAAACAAATGGCTGGATTCTTCTATTTGAACAAGTGATTTATTGTTTTTTAATTCGAATCCGCATGTGTTAATGTTAGAAAATGTGTACTACGCAAATATAATCGGAATTACTAACGTTTGCCATCATAACCTATAAGTTTCTAATATTCGGTAACATGTAGACCTCATCGCCACTTATTTAAAAATTCGAATGTCGAGTACCCAATATATTCATGCTGCTATTACGATAAACCAGCAAAATTTCTTTTGAACTATCAATTTTCGTAAGCCTCGGAACAAAACAAATAAAAAATCAATTATAGCCGTCCAACGACTTTCACCTTATATAAGTTTAGGTTTATATTATGCTGTGAAAAATATACCGAACCTGTTTTAAAATTTTGCCACGACGAATACCTAGTATCCGATATATTCGTGCTGCCATACAACTGTGACGCCCTTGCTCGTATTTTGTAATCAGTGTCCGGCATCAGTTTGGATAACCTGTTAAAGTATAACCTAATAGTTTAAATGGAATTACATAGAGAATATTAAATAGGTATTTAAGACATTGGATTTATAGTTAATCTAAGATCGGCAGTAGATTTGAAGTCGAAATAGTCCTGTGAATTGAATGGAATCAATCATTTGTGACAACGTGCGAATATTTGTTTCAAATTGCTTATCACGACTGTTTCTGTGAAAACGTTTATACTAATTCACAGCTCCTATAGATAGAATTCTTTAAAAAATGGCTGAAACTAGAATATTAACAATTTTTTGTAGAGATTACCCTAAATACTCGTTTAGAAAAGTTGAATACAAAATTGTATTACAACACAAATACTACACGTCGGTACACGAATACACTGTAGATCAGCATTCCTTAACCTGTGGTACATTTACCCCTAGGGGTAAATTTCGTTACTGGGAAAAAGTTTTAAATAAACAATGACCACTTATATTTGCTTGCTTTGCTGAAAGAAATATTGCTAACAATAAATTGCTAGTAGCCTATTATTATCAGTAGGCCAGAATTTTTTTTTTTTTTCTGTTCATTCCTGAGTTCTTTGTTAATATCGATATTTAGCTCCAACTTTTTAAAAATTAAATTCCAGCTTATTAGATTAAGATGGTTGAAATGATCGAAATTCACCCGCACTCTCCCCGTCCCACTTTCCCCCCTTGCCCACCGAACTCCACACTCCCATTTTTCAAGAGAGGAGAAGGTACTCTCGAAGTATTTGAACCAAGATGACGGACACTGGATCGTAGTATGTGTACCAGGTTAGGACATAATTTCAGGTACAAATACTACGGGAGTCACTTGGCTAGTTCCCAGACTTTTTTTTTTTTTTTCAATAATAATGACCAATGGCAGTATTGGGGAGTAAATTTTGTTTGATAAAGGTTTTATTTTTTATTTTTTTATTAATAATGACCAATGGCAGTATTGGGGAGTAAATTTTGTTTGATAAAGGGGTAAAATGTGCAAAAAAAAGATTTTGGTCACCACTGTTGTAGATACATGAAAGGTTTCTAGAAAAATCTTTCACAAACTGGATTTGTACCTTCATTTGCTTCAATACATGAGACAAGCGGTCAAAAACACTTGGAGCTATTTTGAACAACAAAATGATATTTGAATAGTCCAAGATACAATGTTATCGCGGTTACAAAAAAATCGCCTTTTTTGATCATTTTTTTTAATAACTCACCAGTACTGATAGTATTGACCACTAGGTGTTGTTACAACTTCTGATGGATCACTAGAAGCCACTTCTTGGTATTGAATTGTCCACTTCGACACTCTTGCATAATTGTTTAATTGAAATGCGATATATACTGATGTAGGTAACGGATCACTCAGTGTGAACGTTGGAGGCCCTGGTACTGAAAGGAATAAGAAATGCTTTGAAAACCATGGTATTGTATTTTTACAATTTTTCAAATCGTTTCAAAATTTGTTCAATGCAAAACATTTGTGAACACTTTGTTTCTATTTTTTTTAATAAACCACTAGGGGGAAGTATCGGGCTCTTGTGTCTCGAGAAAAACCTATAAAACAAAAGTAATCTTCAATCGACATTTTAATCTTCAAGTGTTAGAAATTCAAAATCGATCGAGCAGTTTTTAGAAAAAAACGATTTATTCCACAACAACAATCCGAACAACTACATTTTCCAACTAATATACACTTCGTAACCAATAATCGAATAAACATACTTTGAACGTGACTTCAGCTAAGATTTCGTTTCCAAATATGAAACACGAGCACTCACTACACGAAACCTTGACGCTCAACCCAAGAGTCCATGTACACGGAAGTATTCTTTGCTGGAGTAACGCGACTATGTACAATTTGCTAAAATGTTTAAAAATTGTACAGGAAAATAGAATTTTTACGTGTATGTACTGAAGTTGCGTGACTGTCTGGACCAATTTCACCAGCTGCATTTTCACCTTTGACCCTCACATAGTATATAGTATTTCCGACAAGATTCTGAAAAAAAAAAACATGAATACTATATATATATGAGTTTCAAACAAATCCGATTTGCGAAAACGTTGACAAAATTTATAAACTTGTTATAAAGTACCGGAAACGTTCAGCCAAAGCTTTTGAATGATGATTTTATATCACGTAAAAGTATTGAATGCATGTAAGTAAATAATGCATGGAATTTTTGGAAAAAATCACAAAAACTAACCTCCACTAAAACAGACCCGCTCGTGTTTGCGGTTACAGTTTGTGGAGCAAATGTAGCATGCCGTGGCGCCACAGTGACATAATATGCAACGACGCCTGTGAGACTTGAAAAATTGACATCGAAAGTAGTTTCTTTAATGTATGTTACAACTGGAGGATCCATTTCTCCTGAAATATTTAAAATTCGTACATTGAATATCAATAATCTTAGTTTGAAAATTATTTTAGTGATTTGTGACAGACTATTCCAAACAATAGAAATTTTCATTTACCCAAGATATAATACGTGTTTGACGTCTTTTTTTAAAACTTATTTCGACGCTCAAGCAAACATCCTGTCCTGTGATTTATACGTTTTTACTCTCACTTCACTTTATTAGCCCTTCCCATTACTATTACTTCCATTTATTAGTTCTTGTAAAATCTTCACAATCCTCAAATTCCTCATCGTCGTGTGCTGGGTTTCATGAATAGTGTTGATCGCAATAAAATTTATTTCTAGGTTTCATAAGATTTTGGATTCACGCCCATATTGACTTTAAACATTTACAGCCATGAGTTGAATTGGATTATATTATTACAGCAAAGGTTGCGTGCGATCGGTTTTTTAATTAATTGTTATTAAATACAATAAATGCAACTTTTAACGATGTCATTCGATTATTTTTTCCGACTTCAGACCATTTATGGACAATTTTCACCAACAACTCCGTGGCACAGGGCTAAACAAGTGAATTATGGAATACAAAGCATGGATTCAAAAACCCGTTGGCTTGTGGTTGGTGCGTTAGCATACCAATATTGGTATCACTGTTTGAGATCTTGGACATCATCTCTCTTGATGTATAAAACATTGGATTAATTAAACAGCGCGCCCATGCTCTCAATAATCCTACTGGAATAAGTGACGGTTGTTATAAAACACTGGCCAAAAGCTTTTCAATAATAAATAAGTTATTCAGAAAATCAAAAAACAGAATCGGATTGCTCGGTAACCAATTTTAAACCGTAAACGTCATCATTTTGTAAAATCACATCGTTCATTCAGGACTTTAGCTTGTTCTGTATGTGTGTGCCATATCTTCAATAGCAAAATTTTATAAAATATTTAATACAATAATTTACGACTGATTTTTGCCATGTCAAGAAGACAATTCGACATAGAAGCATTAAATGAAGACTAGAAAAATTTTTGTAGAAGAGTGAAGAAGAGTCTCAATTATTGATTTTTCGGCGTTCCGGAAGTATGTGTACCAAGATGACGCACAACTTGAACCCTAACCTGGTAGACATACAATGTTCAGGTAGTGCGCTATCTTGATACGCATACTTCAGGAGCACCGATTTTTCTATTCTGGTTCTAGTGATTAGAGAGAAGTAACGCGAATATCTAAGTTATATGTGGTAATATCGAAAATAGCATTGAGATAAATGTCATTTATCAAAGTTCATTTATCTGATGAATTGCAAGCGATATTAATCTGACACACTTTCCTAACTATATAACTGAATATTTTTGATTGGAAAAACAATGAAAGTAATATTTACCGGGAGGTGCACACGATGATAATCCTATGCATAGTAAAACACGTGTCAAGAGAATCGATGATCTTCCAGCAAACTTTGCTAATATCATATTTCTTCTTGTGGAAAAAAAACTCTGAATTTATTTAAAAATGGTTTGCATCAACGATGCCGGAATAATATAATTTAAAAATTACATTTCAATAGGTAGTACAAAGTTGTTCAATGCTTCTTTGTTGAATAATGGTTAGCATCAACAATCAATTTTTCTATCATTACCAATGAACGTTACAACTTGGATCGAAACAATTGACGACCGAGGGACCACATGATTCCCGGGTTTACATGCAATTCCATCAAAAAAATCGGTACTCCCGAGGTATGTGAACCGAGGTGGAGGACACCGGAACGTAGTTTTTGTACCAGGTTAGGGTTAGGCCATAATTTTATTCAATTTTTAGTTCTATTACGAGTTCTGGGACTAGCCAAGTGACTCCTGTAGTATTTGAACCTGAAATTATTGCCTAACCTAACCTGGTTCACATACTACGTTCCATTGTCCGCCATCCGGTTCACATACTTCGGGAGTACAAAAAAAAGTCTACCATGTCAATTTAGCGCCTGACATCCTCAACTTTCTGATGTACGGACACAAACGCATAAGAATACAACAGTTTTCCTTCTCTACCTCATCTTTTATTGGTAAGTCTGTCTGGGCTTTGAACATTTATATGCCTATAAGAATTATTAACTACTCGCCACTGTCTTATAAATGCGTTGTAAAACGAAGTAAATTTTGGTCAATACCGCTTTTAAGTCTTTCGGTAGTAAAAAAACAGTTTCTACTGTTTTTTATGCATGCCGAGATCAATGGCTCATAAAAATACAATTCAATATACATAATCTAATTTCTTCTTGGCAAGATGTATTTGAATCAGCACTTTGAACATCTGCTTACTTTTCCACTAAAGTATATGTATTTTTCAGTATCACATGTAGAATATTGTCGACATGATGTGTAAGTATTGTTGATACATAATAGTAGACTAATCAGAGCATAGAGTGACTTTGATATTTCGAGAATACAATGCGGGTTGACATCTTCTGACGGTAATATCACGTTTATATTGACGTTTCCACTTTGGTAAATAGATGCCAGATGTATTTCTTATGATATATTTGGTAACGTATTTGTTAAATTTAGAAAATTTATAAAAACTTTGGAATAGATCATCAGGTTGATTTGATGTAACTCCATTGTTTTAATGGTCAATAGCCATTGGCATTGGGGTCATTTCAGTTTTGTTCATTTTATACATAATGCGGAAGATACAAAACAAAATGCTGAGTAGCCCGGAATACGAGCATAACAATTACCCTCTCATACGACTTATTTAACTTGAGTCGCATTTCACCAATAAATTAAGACGTGGTTCGTTGTTTCGCGTCGAAATGAGAACAATTCAATGCTGACTCAACAAGGAAATGTCTCGTGGGTGGGACCTACATTTCTCGTGAAGATTCTTTCTTGCGTGGAAATGCATGAATCTTTTGTCGACGAGATCGCAAGACTCGCTGAAATCTAAGTTCAATTAGAGTTGTGGAATAACCAACAGGTTCGTGTTAAATGTTATGGTCAAAGCGTTAAAATCGCGTTAGATTTAACTCATACTGGAGTTACGTTAATTTGGTTCACCTTCGTGTTCATAATCGGAAGGATCAATGCAAATAAAGCTACGATCCAGACGGGAATCATCGCTTCATCAAATGAAAATGTCCTGACGTGATTAAAAAAAACATATATACAGACTCAATACTAAGCCCTACTAACTAAGGTTTACTGTGCACACCATTAAATCTGCAACGCCTACTAGAAATTGCATGCTTAAACAAAGCTCTAAATTTAAATTATTTCCTGAATGTTTCGTTTCGACGACAAAAAACTCCTATCTTATATCGTAAAATTTAATATATTGATCTCCAAAGGAGTGCCAGAAACGCTAACGACTTGACACAAAAAACTCATACAAGTGTAAATTTAACTATAGCGTATGTTCAAAATGAGAATTGGCAACACATAATTTTCAAATATATTTTTGAGTTTTCGCGTATTTCCATTTATTTACAATGAATACAAAGAAAAATTAGGTTTCATGTTATATAACTTTTTCTTCAGAATTCTCTCCACATTCAATGCGATTACAAATGTTCTCATCCAATAATCTGCGGATTTCCAACTGTAATGTAAAAATATATTTATATTGTAAATAAAAGTAATGACATAGTAACGGTCGTGTTCAATTTATTTAAATTTAACATTCAACTCGAAATTTGCAGCATCGTTGACTCGAATGTTGCTACGAGTTGTTTAAAGAGACGAGAACTAAAGAATATGGAGGAACTTATTCCGGGAAACTTTGGTTCATACTTTCAATAAATAGTTGTTAGATCTAACGGGCTTTGTATATTCATGGGTTTCTTCATTGCACCAAAGAACGTTTTCGGCTTGTGAAATATCTTTTGAATATTAAAAATCGAAGTATTACGTTGTTTTTTTTTCATTTGAGAGCAGTAGAATATCAAACCACATACGTAATAGTACCGATCTATGTATTATTATATGTAATAGTACCAACAGTATCAATCTATTTATTTTTGTTGAACAATTTATAATTTACATTATTCACCTTCACTACCTGGGTTCGATTGAATTTTAAGTATTTACCTTCAATTGATTCTTCGTCCACGTCTATCCTAGAATTGAAGAAATTCCCATATTTAACAATTAAAGGAGATCCACTTCGTCTCCTTCTCCACGCAGACCCACTTCGACTCCATTGCATTTCCATTCTGTGGGATTGTCTCGCGTATTGGTATTGGTATTGGTCGCGTCTTCGTACGGTGTCCGAGTTCAAAAATAAACAGTCTTATATATGGAACCGACATATTATGCCTCACGTGATTTTGTTACCAAGAAACCCATTGTGGTGCAATTTGCCCTTGCGATGACATTTTTTCAAATCGGAATTTCGTTTTAAAGGTGGCATTTGTGACATAACAAGATAATTCCCTGATAAGCGCGAGCTCGGGTAATAAAATAACTTTCATCATTTTCAGATTTATTCCATTTCGTGCATAATTTCTTTGACGACTTGTGATATTAGGCATACATACCTGATTTTTGTGAATAACAGTGCTTCCCAACCTTTGAAGGTATATTCCTCCCTTCGCATGATTTTGAACCCCTACCCCCACACTACGCATTATACCTTCGTCTTGAGGTTACGTCGTCTTATAGATTCACTTGGACTAATATCCGCCGTGCTTTGCGCCATTGGCATTAATTTGTTCCATTACAACTTGTTGTTTTGTGGAGCTGGATCGATTCAATTGAATTCTTTATTTAGGTTAAATGCTATTTGTATTCATTTTTATAAATACCGTATCCCCCCCCCCCCCTTGCATTATGGAGAAGCGGGGTGGAGAGCAGGGTTACTGGCAAATGTATCAGTGTTATTTTTAAACGAAAGGGTACTCCCGTAGTATTTGAACCAAGATCGCAGACACCGGAACGTGGTATGTGTACCAGGTTAGGGTTAGGCAATAATTTCAAGTACAAATACTACGGGAGTCACTTGGCTAGTCCCCGAACTCGTAATAGAACTAAAAAAGAAAAATCGGAATAAATTTGTGGCATAACCCTAACCTGGTACAGGTACTGCGTTATGGTATCCGCCACTTTGGTTCACATACTACGGGAGCGCCCTGGAAAATGTACCAGCGTTATTTTTAAACGAAAGTGCATAAAAGTAAATAATTGCACGTAGATATTATATTAATCTTACACAAGGTCGAATGAAATTTCGACGGAATATCTGGTTTCACTTTTCAATCTGGATTATGACATAAAAGTAATCCAACTATTCAACTGACACACATACAGCCTACATGCCATGTACAAAAACTCTGTTTAAATGGTCCAATAATTTGTACAGATAAGCTCCGTGAACAACAAAAATGAAAGAACTCTTCGCCTTTATCGAAAACGTGAAAATTATGTCATATATACTGTTTGTTATATCACATTTTAAAATATCATTCACTTATTTTGATCGAAATAATTGGATTAATCATATTTAATTGTTACACCATTTTTTATCGGAAAAACACTATCGCGACTATTTGGTCAAGGATGACTTGATATTCGAATGTTCCACTATTGATAATTGATAATCAGAATAACCAATCAGTGCATATTCACACCGAAACAATCATTTTGATCCAGTTGTTGCAAATTCTTACCCATAATATCGTAAATTTAATTTTTTTTACAACACTCGAACGTCAATAGGCATAAATACAATTTTAAGACAATTGATGTGCAAAAGTTTCTCCAAATCATTTGTATCGCGGCGTTTGGAAATTAGCGGAAGCGTCAGAAAATCTTTATTTGTTCTAGATCAGTGCTCTTCAACAGGGGTTCCGCGGAACCCTAGAGTTCCGCAACACATGCAGTGGGGCTCCGTGAGTTTATAGGGTTCTTTAGGGGTTCCGCGTAAAAGAAAAATTGACTGCTGGGCCAGTAAAGTTGCAAAAAATGATTATTCTTTTTTTACGTTTTTGGATGAATTTCTAAGTGCGCAACAGCAAGAAGGACTCCTAGATATCCGTAATAATATTAATGCGGAGGAAACCTTCGAAAATCACGGGAAGGAATATTTTTGGATTACTCTTCACAAAGAGGGTACATCAATTGCAGAAGAAGCATTAAAACTTTAATTTCCCAATACCTATTTGTGTAAATCAGCATTTTCTGCTGTAACAACTATTAAAAAAAACAAAATAGAAGTTTAGAGTGTAGACATGAGTATGAGAATTGCATAGAGAGCAGTGGGGCAGTTACGCTTTTTTTTTAGGTCTAAGCTGTTGATGGGCGCCAGATGCTTCCAGTCACTTCTTGGCTCCTGCTTTTTTATTGACCTTAGCTGCTGCCTTGGTTTCTTTCACATTCCCGGTCTTTTTGGTAGTTTCTTGATGACTCCAACAGCAACAGTCTGTCGCATGTCGCGGACGGCGAAACGACCAAGCGGAGCATAATTCTTGAACGCTTCGACACACATTGGTTTGCTTGGAACAAGTCTGACCATAGCTGCGTCACCAGATTTCAAAAATTTTGGTTCAGCTTCCAGTACTTTACCAGATCTTCTGTCCATCTTCCAAGCGTATTCCTGACGCTACGCACGATGCAAAACACTACTGGGCCTCTCAATTAGCCTTTCGTAACAATCGTGTTTGTTCAACACAATTTATGTGCACCTTAGCAATATTATTTGAAACCCAGATTTTAATTAGTTCTCGGACAACGATTTTGATATTATTATTTGCTATATGACGTTATTATAAATTACATAACAAGACAATCAATGGTACAACTGACAAACAGAATGACTGTCCCCAATCATCTTCTCGGGTGCAGGAATGGCTCGACACATCCCGCTCCCGCGAAAAAGATAACCCGCTGAAAGCAGAGGGCGATGTTCGGATTTTAGTTCCCTAATTTGTGGCTATCAATATATTGGCTTCTTGCAGTCTTGTGTTTGCACAGGGCTAGTGCCGCACCACTCACCTGTGTTACTCCCATCCATTCGTCATTTAATTTTGGACAATATTGTTACGTTTATTGAATATCGCACAAGTGGTTATGCCCAAAGTGTTTATAGACACTTTGATTAGGCCAAACTCAAACAGCAGCAAAATAAGCACTGAAATCAAACCGATCTGTTATGACACAGCTGCTTCGTCACCGAGCCAAAGACAGTCAAAAATGGAGTTAAATATAATTTGCCTGCCTCTAACATACTGGTATTACTTCTTCCAATATGACAATCGACAAGTAAGAATTGAATATTGTGCAATTTTCTTGAATACATTGATTTAATATCAAGTATATGCTTCCGAAAACATATAATTACCTAATCCTGTAATCCCCCACACCGGTACCGTACCTAACATGGAATGGTGGGTTATAAAACTCAGAGCCCAGAGCTTTAATTTGATGATATTGAAAAATGGAATGGAAAAGGAAGTTAATTAAGTATCGGATTGAGGTCAATATTGATCGTGTATGCAAAGAAATTTTACTCATTTTTGCAGTTGGTTAGAATCTGAGGAGGAATATACATGACTATATTAGTTAGGTATTTGCAATCCTACATTTGTTTTCCTTCATCTTTTAGATGTTGATGAGCTGGCACACTTTTGTGTGGGCTGTAATGGCAGGACTGCCCCTGATGGCGGCACACTTTGGGTAAGGTCAAACATTTTCCTTATGGATGCAGTTTTGATGGATAAAGTAAAGTAATAATTTTGTTGTAGGTCGAATGTGATGGATGCGAAAGGTGGTGCCACCAATATTGCGCAGATTTTGCGGGTAACGAAGAGTTTTTCTGTGAACACTGCACATAAAACTTAAGTTTGTGTTAATTTTTTAATAAAATTTAATAACATGCACAATGTCATACTTCTTTTTTGGAATTTGAAGTTCGCTAGTTGAGGTTCCTCATCTGCCTGTAAATATTATAGAAATATTCGAGAATTGTCTTAACAGATAGTTGACATATCTAAGTGGCTTTGTCATAAAAGGATTCCAGTGTCAACGATGGAGATAGTGAGTGTGCAAGAAGCTGTAGGGGCCAACTGTAGAGCTGTGGTACGCAATCAGCTTTAAATTATTGCAACAACAAACCCTCATGTTGGGTAATTTATGAGAGCATTACCCTCTCTCTTTTTTATCGCATGCAATCCATTTCTTGTTTTCACGGATTGCCCTCACCTGCCACTACACCACTGAAACGAGAGAGACTGGCATGTTTTAAGTTAAAAGTTATCTGTCTGTATTGGGAAATCAGAAACGAAGAGAAAATAATATGTTGTTACTGCATATAACTAATGCAACTGGTTATAATTTGTCCCTGAAAAAATGGATGTAGTGCCACATTATAAAATACTTCCATTCCCGTTTTCTTACAAAGAGTGGCTTTTTCGGGGAAAAATTCAAGTGGTACCGGTTCGCAGAAAGTAGAAGGTTGAGAACCCCTACTGTAGATGAATCGCCTAGCAGAGTAAATGCAATTTTAATCGAACCCAACCGACACAATTTTACTCTGGTAGTACTGCGATCTAATTTGAATCAATATGACTAAAAAAGACACAGCGCAAATGATATACAACATTATTTATTGCCAGAGGAAGTAATGGCACCTTACTTCCAACCAGCCATTACTTCCTAACCAGAGTTGGATCAATTACACTAATTCAGTTCAATTACAAATACAACTACTCCTGTACTCCCTTAAATGTTTCAATTACAATTACTCCGTGCAAAAAATATCAAACTGCATTTACAATTATAACATTTTGGTTCGTATTTACATTTTCCCTTGCTCAAGAACTGTTGGATTGCACTTGATGAAGATTAGGCTGCGAAAAGTTTCTGAACCCAATAAATTTCTTCATGCTGTATAAAAGTTATCCGCAATTGAAAAAACTCTTTCTGACGGGGCTGATGTTGCTGTAATTCAGCGTGGGAAATTTTTCTGATATCTTCTTCCAATACATTAATTAATTGGTCTTCATCAAATTGCAAACTTTCTTCCCCCAAATAGCTATTTACATCACTTTCTGATTTTCTTGGTCCTTTCCTCTATTTATAGATATAGATGGGGAGAACATCTCTTCAAGTGCGTTTGAAGAAGCCTTTTTTGAAGTTGTTACAGCCTGCCTCAGTGCTGCTCAAAGATTTAAAAAACTCTGACAATGGTGCAAGAAGTGGTTCAACACATGTTTCGGAAGAGTTTGTTTGATGTTCATCCATTTTCAAAATACTAAGATTTAGTCTAATTGAAAGTGTAATTGAGCCAGAATTTTAGCAAATTACAGTTACGATTACACAGAATGAAAATGCCTCCATTCAGTCATTACATTACAATTACATAAAAAACTAATTACAAATGATCCAACTCTGCTTCCAACTGCACCCTACCGGTACTTCAAAGCATTATACACCCAAGGCTGACTTCATTTGTAACGCCAAATCATTTCCTTATTACTCTTGAATGCAAACAAAACAACAAACAACACTGAATGCTAATCTCGCTTCTTCAATTGATGGCAGCAACCAACTTGTCGCCGCGCTCCCCGTTATCCCGCCGTGGTAATGCGCAATTAACCACAAGGTTCCCCACTATCTTCTACTGTTCGTGGCGAGAAATCTTTCGCTACCACAGGTTATTCCTACCTGCCGTAACCGCGGCAGCTCCTGCCGTGGTTACGGCAGCTCTTGCCGTGGTTACGGCAGCGTAACTACGGTTCATGGCAGTATAATGTCACCTGCCGTGGTTTTCAATTTGCTGCCGTGGTACCCCGCCTCACGCCATTGTTTGTGGCAGCTTGAAAGTTAGCCGCCGTGGTTTTGGTCATTGTGGCCATGGTTTGGAGATTCCGCCATGGTTTTGCGGCAGCTTCAGATGCCGCGAAATACTTAAAACTGCACTTGGGGCGAGAGGCCGTGTTTCGCCATATGGTTAAGCCGTCTTATTGGTTTTCCTCTCCCCGAGATAAATATTTAAATCCCTAATTCTGACCTCTCTTCTGTATGATTACAGTGTCTGTCGCCGTCACTAGACATACTCAATAATATGTATATATTGCGTACCGGTAATTGACGACTTTCCGACTTTAGTTTTCATATTACAACAATTATTTTACTATGGAGGATACAAAGTTTTCGGCAACGTCTGCTGTGTCACTCAAAATCGGAGGCATTACTGTTAAATTTCCAGCACAGCCATATCCTTCACAACTTTCTATGATGAGTATGATAATAAAAGGACTAGAAAAACGTCAACATTGTCTTTTGGAAAGTCCAACTGGAAGTGGAAAAAGTTTAGCATTATTGTGTTCGGCTCTTGCTTGGCAGCAGGTATTGAAGTACTGTTTCATTTTAATTAACTTTTTCCGGCAATTCAAACACTTCCCCCTTTTGATTTGATTTCTGCGAGACTTAACTACTTATCCCCCTATTGTTTATATATAAATTCCGAAATTAGAAAGTTGCCTTGACTTGAGTCAAGGCTAGTTTGTTGTCTATCCATGAGTTTTATTGTTTTTACGAAAAATGTCAGAATGTAGGCTTTGTATTCCGTCTAATTGCAGAAATGTGCTAAATCTAAACTAAGTTTTCCATATACATCCCGGGGGACGGTAGGAAAACTTTGAGACAGGGTTTACAGGTTTAATCATAAGATGAACCACAGCGTCTGTTCGGTTGCAAGTTCTTGTCTGGCATAGAATAGTTAACCAGTTAATCACTTGCACAATGCAAAAATCATCAAGCCAATTTGCACATTTATCTATAATTCTGTGTTTCATCCTGCATGCTAATTTTTCTGAGGTTATAGTTTTAAGCTGTTTGTTGATGTAGAAGTATTGCTGTATTGTGAAGATATTTATCTTAATTATTTTTTGTTTTCTAAAACAAATGCTTTTCCTCATTTCAGACACAATACGAGAAATCAGAGAACGAATTCCTTTCCAAATTAACTTCAGATGTTGAAAATCAGAATCCTATTTGTACATGTGATGAATTGAATGTAAGGGAATTGTATTGTGTAAAATATCTCTAATTGTAGTGCAATTCAGTGTTCGGAAGAAGTCCTATAAGTCGAGATGTGGGTCACTTGAGGCAAGTCGATCACTGAGCTAAGTCAACTGACGGTAAGTCAGTGAGTCTAAGTGCGAGTCTAAGTCATTTTATGTAGATGACTCGATTCGGACTAGAGTTTACCTAAATTCGAGACAATGACTCGATTCTTCCCAACACTGGTATGATCTCATTACCGCATAATGCTTTTATCCAAACTTCCTTAACAGTAGCTAACCAAGATTAATGAAAGCATTTATGGAGGAGAAAGGAATTTCACATTCTTCTATTCTTTCTCATGATATCAGGGTAAAAGCAAACCAGAGTCATCTGTCGGCACATCTAGTAGTAATTATTTCAATGCAACGACCGGTAGTGACGTCATAGATCTCTGCACACCTGAAAATGATGACTGTGATGATGATTTTAAAAAAAAAGTTAAAGCTAAATGTGAGGAGAATTTATTATCAAAAAATTTTTATAAAAATTTCTATATCATCTTGACTTTTATCGTGTCATGTGTTGCATAATATATCATAGATAAAAATTATGCAAAATATAATAATATTCATTTAATATTATATTTTAAATTTTTCTGGACACAAAGTGGACCTTTCGCTAAATTGTTGTTGTTGTTGAGAAATCTGCTTTTCTGTGCAACTAATATCCCAATCTATTTCAAATTTCCAGTAATTAGATATATAACTGTGTTAATCCTGTGTACAACACTTAACCAGTGGTATAGGAAAATTGGCAATGCTAAAGAAAACCGGAATGATTTTGTTTCCTCCAAGCTATAGTAGTTCCTTACTTATCTATGACCGCTTATACAGATTCTTATTCAGAGTGAGAGTCATATAAACCATTTGAAAAATATTCCAGATTGCTCTTTCTTCAATTTAAACGCAATTTCGTTGAATATTCATTGACGATTTGCATAAATTTTTTTACAGCAAAGGCGAAGACTATTCTTTGTCCTGCCTGCAGGGAATTGAAGGAAAAAAGCAAATGCTGTCAATCAGAAGAAAAAGAAATCGATGACACAGATTTTAAAAAACCTCGAGTACCTAAGATATGGTTTGGTACAAGAACACATAAACAAATCGCTCAAATTACAAAAGAATTGGGAAGGACATCTTATGAGTGAGAATAGTTCCTACTTCACTTCCAGTTTAAAGCATACTATACTTGTGTGCGACGGTGTGGCTCATCGGGCTAAACGTTAGGAATACACTCGCCACCGCAACTCTGATTACTCTGTGTGGGTTCGCAGGTTTGAATCCAATGCGGGGATGGTTATGTGCAAGAGGATTGCCGTCGTAGGGTGGTTCACGTAACCGCTGGTCAGTTACGGCTTCCTCCATCTTCAAGTTCATGCTTCCGAAAACAAATAACTAACGTAACTAATCCCATACCTGACATGGAAGGATAATCGGACGAGAAGTCGTGGTTCGCCATATGGTGAAGCCGTCTTATCGGCTTTCCTCTCCCCTAGGATAAATTAGTAATTCCTATCCTATACTATTTCTTATCAAATCCTCGATTCACCTAACAAAAATTTTCAGAATATTAAAAATCTGGATAATGAATTTTAAACTGAAACCCAAAATACATGATTGGTTGAAGATTCTTTAGTGATGCTGATTTCTCAGCAAAATTGCTAAACTTCCAATTGTTGCAAATTATGTCAATCACCAGTCACCACTGTTAGTTACACTTTTGTTTACCATGTAAAGTTGTGCATATGGATATTTTATGTGGTCATCTATTCTCATACTTCGTGTACATTCTGTTATCTGAACACATCGTTTATCTGGCTGATTAATCCACTCATGCGTTAAAACTGTTATCTCTATTCTCCACAAATATATGTAGAGAAAACTCACACACTTTATGCATATCCGCATGAGCCTTTTTTTAATTAGGATACTTAGTTTTATGTTTTAGATCTATTAGACCAGAGGTTCTCAAACTTTTTAAGCAGCGCCCCTTCTTAGAATTTGTAAAGTCTCGTACCCCACCTAAAAAATAACTAGCTAACAGTAAGCTACAAATAACAGATAATTAGGGGAAAGTAAGTTTCATTCGAAAAACAATTTAAAAACATAAATTTTTAAAATAAAGCGGACAAATCTAACAAATATTTTTATTTTTAATCAGATCCACCCCCCCCCCCTCGAAAAATTGTCTACGCCCCCTTGTGTGACGGGCCCCACCGCTTGAGAACCACTGTATTAAACTATTGTTATTTGGCTAAAAATCCTTTAGAAAATTGTAAGAATACCCATCTAGACTTTAGATCTTCAGAGTTAAAAATACCTGACATCGTATTTATTTATTTAAGCTCTACAAACATGACGATATTATCAAGTCGTCAGCATTCTTGTATCCATCCTGCAGTTATGAAATCATCGAATAAAAATGAAGAATGCAGAGACCTGAGAATGGGAAAGCATACTCTGGGAGGTATGTCAATTCGTTTTGTCATAGAACCGCAATTCAAAGTCAAAAATGAGAAGCCTAATTACACCAAATGTTAGAAATATGCTCCCCCCTGCACCTCTGATTACCCTGCGTGGGTTCGCAGGTTTGAATCCTATGCGGGGATGGTTATGTGCGAGAGGATTGCTGGACTTCCCGCATCCGCAGGGTGGTTTACGTCAGTGGTCGGCAACCTTTTTCAAGTTACGAACCGGTAAAGCTTGACCAAACTTTTGGCGGACCACCTTTATACAAACGAACTAAGCCTATGCAATAAATTATACACATTAGGAAATTTATGTCGACAATATACTAAATGACGGTGATGCTGTTTAATGTGATGTCTGTATTTGTTTGATGCCCATTAACTGTTCCCATATTCGAGATATGGTCGACATTGACACAAGTAACGTGTTTCTCACTTCCAGCCTATTTCGTTTTTGTAGTTATCAATATTGAAAACCAGGCCTCACATTAAGATTTCGGGAAAGTTAACAATGTTTTGTTGGGGAGATCTTAGTCAGACTGATGAGAGACATTCTTATACGGGCGTAGAGAAAACAATTGACCCAGCATTATTGCGACATACTGACATGGCAATTGTTTATGAAATCAGACATGTTGCTCAATAGTGTTATGCAGTGGTTTGCACTGTCGCACAGATGATCTGTGGCGCGGTGTCGGGGTCGAATTTTCGTAACGAGTTTAACATTGAAATCCTTAACAACTGCGATGCTGACTGGGCATATCGAGCAAACTGGTTTTGGAATGCGCAAGAAAGAAAACTATTTTTCCGTTCAAGCACTTTGGAATGGTCGACCCGCGTCGCTCCGTTTTACAGACATTTTCAAATTTTGAAAATCAAAATTAACTCGAACGACATACAACCGACGCTACTTGTTACATAAGAAGCGCCGTACAGCAGCACTTGTCACCGCATAAATCCATGTAGAGACAATATTAATATTGGGATTAATTTTTGTTTTATTTATTAAATGTCGGGTCGTTCAAGGGCCGCAACAAATTAGCTCGCGGATCGCATTTTTTCCGACCCCTGGTGTTGTGTTTGTCTGGTTTACTGTTGGGTGCTGTTTTTTAGTTGTAGGGTTTGTGGTGAGATTGTGAAGGTTTTATTACGGCCTTGTCCGTTTTTGTGTCACCTCTCTGCAGACCGGCAGTAACCTTTTCGCGGACCTGCGATGGGCCGCTGCCTGGTGGTTGCCGACCACTGGTTTACGTAACCGCTGCTCAGTTACGGCTTCCTCCACTATCAAGTCCATGCTTCCGAAAAACAAGTAACTGGCTAACTAATCTTGTTCCCGACATGAACAGGTAACCGGATTAGAGGGTGTGGTTTGTCATATGATTAAGCTGTCTTATCAGCTTTCCTTTCCCCCGGAATAAATATGTAAATCCTATCCCAAGTTGAATATATATTTGATTGAATATACCGGGTGACCCCAAAAGAAAACAAACCATAAATTTGTAAATTAATTCATTAATTTCCTCTACAAAGATGAGGGAAATTCATTTAACACTTGGACTTCTGTTTGTGTATGATTGTACCTGTTTTTGTTCAGTAATTTGGGGCGCTCTGCATAAAAGCTTGTACACAAAATGTTCTATTTAGAATATGTTCCAAGTTACCTCGGTTCTGTTTTAGTGTCGTGGGGTCTGTATTTTTTCCACCCTATACAGTTGTGCGATAACCGATTGATCATTTTTTTTTTAATATATTATATTGTTTTTGTGAACCACCTACCGGTATATTTTCTTGTTTTTTTGTTCAACTATTATATATCTTTACAGCAAAATGTGCATTTTATCAAAATGTTCACCGAATGAAAAGTCATTACCAGTTGGGTTGTGCAGGACTTGGTGCTGCATGGGACCTTGAGGATCTAGTGGGACTTGGAAAAACAATTAAGGCTTGTCCTTATTACAGTGCTAAAGAACTTGTTTCATCGTCAAATATTATTTTTTGTCCTTATAACTACTTGATTGACCCAATGATAAGATCTCAGGTCAGTGTACTTTTGATTTTTGGTCAAAAGGAAATAACCTCTTGATGTTCTTGCTAACTATATCTTCAAGGGGTTATTTTTATGATACTGCACAGCCTGCACTGTAACGAAACGATTGCCATCAGGGCCCCCATTTCGAAAATTTTAACGTTCTGTTATTTTTGGAGGCGCAGTTCTTACCACTTCATGGCAGCTCATGCCACGAGCGAACCGCGGCAGCTCTTGCCATGGTTTTATAGCACTATTAAGTAATCAGTAATCAGTATTAACGGTATATTCACAAATTAATGTACCCGATTTCAATTGATCATGCGGAATTATATCTACTTAAACCCTAACCCTAACCCCAAATCCATCAAAACTGTATCCATAAGAAAAACGTCCCAACTTACCCAATATTTATCACCATAAGGGACAGCCCTGTCTTTACGGCCCACCTGTCGTGGTTATGGCAGCAAAATTTTACCTGCCATTGCTTTTCAATTTGCTGCTGCGGTAACGGCAGCTCGTCGTTGGTTTGTGGCAGCTAAAAAGTCAGTCATGGAAATACCGCCATGGTTTTGCGGCAGCTGCAGACGCCACAGAATACTTAAAACTGCACTTGTATTTTTGGATGAAATACATGGATTAAAACACTATGCTTGCTTGTGATTTCACATACAGAGTGACCCTAAAAACAGAGCCCAGGTCATTCAAAACATATTCTGAAAAGAACATAACTTTTGTTCTAGATTACTGATCTTTTGTGTGCAATATTTTTACGACATTCAGTTTCATTTTGTCATGCGACAGCCTTCAATTCAGTACAAATTTTGACCTTGTCAACTAAATGCCGATTTTCTTTTTGACATTTTCATCCCCAGATGCAGATAAATCTGAAAAATCAAATAATTATTTTGGACGAAGCTCACAATATAGAAGATAGTGCAAGGGAAGCTGGGAGTTTCACAATGACAGAGGCTGCATTAGCAAACACAACAACTGATTTAGATTGTTTGATGAATGAAGGCATAAAAGTTGATGATCATAGGCCATTGCACCTTCTTTGTACAAGGTAAAATTCTGTCAGCCTAAAGTATGATTTGAGGGTTTCAAATTTTAAATTAAACTTTAAACTTTTATATATATACAAATTTAACTTAACTCCTATTTTAATTTTTGAGTTTGGTTGCGTGAGACTAACTCCCTATCCTCCCTCTATGCCCTTATGCTAACGTTTTGTCCGATCAAAATCAGACTTCCTCAGACAAGCAGTTTACAACAATGGAAAGAAATGTACAATCATGGACATCTACGTCCTATTTTAATATTAGAGGATTAAATTGGAAAAAACATTATTTTCTGAAAAGGATAGATTTTTTATTTTATGAATTTAGAAAATTGTAAATGTGAAATAATATTTAGATGGTTAGGAGCTTGAGTTAATAAAATTTCTGATATATTCAGCTCCAGCTACATCTTGTGGTAAGATTGGATCCAGCTTTGACACAGCTTCAACAAATCTTTACAACTCCATTGCTCCAGCCCTCCAGCCTTGTTTGAAGCTATATAAAGATTGAAACTTAAATTCTAGAGCGATTTCATCATACTTTCAAAAAATTCCTTCACTGCTATCTTCTACTTCACAGATTAGGTCAATGGATAACAGAGCATGCCAGGAATCTCAGTCCTTCAGATTATGAAACAGCGACTCAAGTTTGGTACGGCAGAGATATCATCAGGCATTTGAACGATTGGGGAATCACTCAAGATACTCTGCCTTTACTCGAAGTAAGATTCCAACGAAAGTTGTTATTTATCAGGTAGGAGTATCCAGAGAATGTAGTTTTAATTCAATACAGCATTGAGTCTGTTGTGTTTATTATAACATGTTATTAACTTTTTAGTATATTTGTACCTCTATAAGCAAAAGTAATACATAGCACTAAAGTAAAGAAAAAAGCTTTGTACAAAGGAGCCATTCGAAGCTGTAGGCCAGGGATGGCTAACCATGTATCAGACTTGAGTAACTTTTGGTATTAAATTTTATGAAATTTGTATGCAAAAATGCAGATAGTTCAGATACACGCCTGGGCGATTGGCGCACTGTTAAACATTATGCCATCGCACCTCTGATTACCTCTACTATGAGAGGATTGGTGGGCTCGTTGTCGTTGTAGGGTGGTACTTGTAACTGCCGGTTGGTAACGATCTCCTCCACCATCAAGTCAATTTGAAACAAATAACTGGTTAACTACTTCCCTACCAGACCTGGTTTGCAGTCCCTGCTTCAGGATATTCAAACTATCATATTTGAATTTCAGGGTAACTTTGCAGTTGCAACCGATCTTGGAGAGGAAGATATAGAAACAGCTAAAATACTTCATTCATCAAGTCAGGCTACTCTTGGTGGTCTCTTCAATGTTTTGAGGTAATTGTTTGCCATGTGAATAACACACTTTCTTTAATTCATTTCAGAATAACCGGAAATAGGGGTATTCATATGTAGGAAGTTCAATTTTTTATAATTTTGCTACATCCATCCCGTAATATTCTGAATTGATCTTTTTCACAAAAAAGCATGATAATGGACAATATAAAATCAGATATAAAATATAAGTTTATAAAGAGAATAAACACTGGGAGTTTGACAACAAGAATAATTAACTGTTTGAATATCATGTAATACAAATTTCACAAGTTAAACACCTGAGACACCTCTAACTGGTATACCTTCTTCAATTTCTTATACCTGGTGTTTCGCTTAACCCAAACAATTGAATCAATTCATGAAGTCCTCCAATAACAATATTACTGCTATCAATATTGTATTTCACATTGTACTCAGAGACTTGGGTTTTATCTTGTTAGATGACACTGTTCACCATACTCGACATAATTTTTGTCAATCTTTCTTCTTTATCACTGATTTTTTTTTAATCAAGATACCTGATGACACAAGAACACAAATATTGCGATGATTACAGAATCACAATCATAAGACAGATGGTGTTTGGTCCAGTCCCGCCTAAACGAACCAGAGACGGATGGGTGACTTTGAATAAGAGATCGAAGAAACACTCTGTTACGAATCTACATTTCTGGTGTCTTAATCCTGCAGTGGTAAGACATGTACATTTCATTTTTCAATCTAGAAGTCCTACATTCCCCAAAAGAACAGCAAATAACTCACAAAGATTTCGTTTCAACCCTCTTGCCAGTCAAAAAGGATTTAGATGAAAACCATATGTGATATAACCTGCTTATCCCGTTTACTTGCAGTAGTATCACATGTTATTATTCAGTTTTATGTTTAGTTGGTCGACTGGGTCTCAATGATGGGTAGAAGTCCCTAAACCTGGTGTCGCGTGCAGTTTAGTCAATCATGGCTCATTCTAGTTAGATTTCAAAGTCAAGTTAATCACTAGTTGAGTTTTGCTGGCAGTCAATGGTAGATTCATTCCATTCAGACGACCTGGGTCACTTCAAATTCATTGATAAATAGTGCCTCACTGATTTGCTGCATGTCCCAAACTTTGCAGTCGATTGCAGATGGCAAAGGACACAAATATAAATTACTGACTATTACTGGTTAGTGGTTACCACCAACTGGAAATAGACAACATTAAGGCCATAATACACCATGTGGTTAAGCCATTTTATGTCCCCTTTGAAATATGAAAATCCTGTCCTACTTGGTTTCTATTCTTATATAGTGGAATGTTATATTTTCTTCAGGCCTTCAATGATTTCAGTGGAGCTCATTCAATCATTCTAACATCCGGTACTTTATCTCCAATGTCATCATTCTCATCTGAACTTGGTCTTTCGTTTCCGATTCAACTGGAAGCAAACCATGTTATCAAAGATTCACAGGTTAGTCTGGTGGGGAGACACATATTCCTGAAATACTTTAGTACTTATTTTTGAGTTGTTTTGAAGTTTTTATTAACACGAACTGACTTCGTATTGTTATGCAAATATTTACACATACTCAGATGAGAAAAATTTATTTCACACTTGGACTTTTGTTTGTGTATTGTTATACCCAGAGTTTTTCAGTAATTCAGGACGCTGTGCACAAAATTCATGTTTTCTCTAGAATATGTTTCAAATGACCTGGGTTCAATTTTTTCCAGGTCGGCCCGTAATAGTGTTTTACCATTTTGTCTAGTTGCATATATTGTATATTCTATAGCTTTCTAAATATTCAACTGTATCTTGAATCAGATGTTTTCAAATTGGTGATAATTTAGCCAGGCTCAGACACCAAACTATGATTTCGACTTGTTATTGATAAAAATTTCAAAATCTACTCTCACTCTCGTCTCAAGTTTAAGGGGGATTTTGACTCAAGACAAGGACTGTCTAACCAAATAGCAATCGCAAATTATTTGAATCAATCAAATTTCAGTCAGTCCTACTCAAGATCCCCCCATCGAACTCCAAATCGTCTATCACAAATTATCCCAGAGTTCACAGACCTGTTTAACAACACCAACTATAATTACTTTTAGGTGTGGGTTGGGTCTATTGGCAGAGGGCCAAAGGGAATACAATTGGAAGCAACTTATAAAAATACGGATAAGTTCGAATTTCAAGACGAACTTGGGAATCTTATATGTTCTGTCTGTCGAGCTGTTCCTCATGGAGTTTTGTGTTTTGTTTCAAGTTACAACATGCTGAAGAAATTACAAGAACGTTGGCAGGTATAGAGAGATATTTGAAAACAAGAAATATCTATCAACATTGAATATTCAACTAGAATTTTTTTAGGCCTCACAGTTTCCTCAAATTTTACCTGCACTTTTAAAGTGCTGCTTGTAGTTTATTTAATAGACTGACCAGGGCAGGGTTCCCCCAAAGGGGTACTCGATTCCACTTGGGGCCACAGAGGTATTGACTAACCAATTACCTGGTAGTTAAACTTGAAATTGTAGTTCCCATTATTGTGATGTTTGGTGACATGCCAAATAAAATAACTGATGAATACCGACTAAAACCAAAACAAAATATTTTATTGCAGAATAGAGTGTCAGAAATGTTGAGAGTCTTTGAAAATGGGCTACAGACAGTGAAGGCATGAGAACCACCATCGGGCCAGAATTTTATGACATAAAATGCCAATATCACATGCACAATTCGGAGTTTCATTTAGATCAGGGGTTTCCAAACCAGGGGGCGCGACCCCAAATTGGGTCGGAGTGATAAATAGGTAGGGTCGCAACCAGGTCATGGGGTCGGTGGGGTCGCTGAGGTATGGTAGAGGATAGATGTACAACTCATCTAAGATTTGACAAACCATGTTAATTTTAGCAGTTTGTACCATGGCTTAATGTAAATCAGGCCCATAAGCATCACCCTATGCTTTTGTTATTGAAAATGTAGGTGTTCATTGTGACACCGGTGTCGGGTTTTGGCTTATTTACTTAATACCACCACATGACCAAACTCAAAAGTCCAGTGAAAGGATCTCTAAAGTTTCATGAAAAATATATATATTGACCTGGGGTCGCACTGGACACATGAAAGTTGTCTTTGGGGTCGTCCTGAAAAAAGCTTGGGAACCCCTGATTTAGATTGATAGATAGGTAGAGAATTATTTTGATTATTTCAATTTGAACATTTACTAAATCAGACCACCAGACTCTGGGACAGAATCGAAGAAACCAAACAGATTGTTTGTGAACCGAGAAGTAGCAGCAAAGATGAGTTTGATTCCTTGTTACAATCATTCTACGATGCAGTGAAGAAATCGGAAGAAGAGAATCAGTTTGGTGGTGCTCTGTTGATTGCTGTATGTAGAGGAAAAGTGAGTGAAGGTATGAACAAGGAATATATAGTTGTTTATGAATATATTGTAGTTTGATCAGAATCAACAAAAATTAATCTATCCTTTGTTTTATATTTTGAAATAATTTCGATTTTACCAACTTTGTTTCATCCAAGCTAAAAATTGGAGCTTAAACGTAAAACTTTGAGTCAGCATGAGCCTAGACTACATTATTTATTATGTCACTCGTGGTATGAATAATTGTCTTGTGATGCCACCCCTTTTATCTTTATTGAACCAATAGTTTTCTTCATCTGTCTGGCTCTTCTTACGCACCTACAGCCTTACAGGACTGGTAAATAGAATATTTCATTGAGAAATATTAGAAGTACTATTGTTCACATTTTTTTTTTGTAAAACCTTCCTACTGGCTTTCCTCTCCTGCCCCGACAACTCTAAAAATGTTATCTAATCCTACTTAGTTTATATCCATACATAGTAAACCACTGATCCTAAATTTTGTTCGAGGGTGAGCATGGACACTGAAGTATACCGGTAGTTACTTCTTTTTCTGAAATGTACAATATAATACATGCAGAGCTTCTAATCCAACTGTGACTGAATTATATAATATAGAAAGTGACGCTTTGATTAGAACTCATATTTTGAGTAATGTTGGGAGTTGTCAAAACAGAAGAACAACTTAAAGATTCGTAAAACGTTCAATATTATCCATATCTATCATTTGCTGGATACAGATTTATTCAAGCTTCATTAATTTCCTTTTTAGGACTTGATTTTGCAGACAATAATGCCAGAGCAGTGATCACAGTTGGTATTCCGTTTCCAAGTATAAAAGATAAACAAGTTGAATTGAAAAGAAAATACAATGATATGCACAAGAATCATCGGGGATTGTTAGCTGGATCTCAGTGGTATGAAATACAGGCTTTCAGGTGGGTTCCATAGACAATGAGTAGCGAAACTCTGCAGTAATGGTTCCAGCTGTTTTTCAAAATATTCCTCCCTTTGTTAATTTGACATCTCTTTATTCCTCTTTCACTATAAAAAGTCAGAGAGGAATCTTGGTGGGGAAAAGCTGCTCTATAGCAACTCATTTCGTTAAGATTCTCATTTTTGAATATTCGTATTATTAGTCAACAACATTTGGATCATTGCATAGCATTTAGAATTGGTAAATTGGAATTGATAGGTGGGTGGTTGTCTGTCCATTTTTGCACAAATTTTTTTGTAAGAAAATTTGCTTAAAGTTAGATCATGAGCACTCGCGTAAATCAAAGTAGGTGATGTCTGAACCAAGTTACGAATGGCCACTGATGTGCCAACTGCTGACACTGTAAGGAATTTAGCGGTAAGACATTCTAATCTTGGAAAGAAAAAATTGTATTTACTTTTTTTAACAACATGTTTAATAAATGTGTAATTTTTCTCCATTAGAAGTAGATATTTGAATAAATCTTATCTCAGCATCTTGCTATATTTTGGACAGCTGTACCAGGATTTATGCCAATTCGCTAATTGTACCAAAGATCTTCACAATATTATACCAAGATGACAACACCATGATACCTGATGTTGATCAGAATAAATTTGCCTTATTTATTACAGGGCAATGAATCAAGCACTCGGTCGTTGTATCAGACACAAGACAGACTGGGGTGCTCTCATCATTGTTGATGATAGATTTTGTAAAAATCCTAAAAAATACTCCAAGGGTCTGTCAAAGTGGGTTAGGCAAAAGGTAAGTGGACATGAAACAGCATCAAAAGTATTTATTAATAATACTGAAACGGGAATATCGGTCTTTATCTTTTTTTACAACGTTTTATTATGATACCAAGCTACCACTGTAAAGAGTCGCTATATTTTAGCATTGCCTCCCCAATTTATGATACCCTGGGAAATGTGGTGACCATGGGATTTATACTTGAGATCCTGAACTCGTCAAACCAGCATAGCTAAAGGGCTGTGCTTCAATAACTAGGCCATCATGCCCGCTGTCAGCAGTAATCTTCTACTTCAGAATTCTGTTTTTGAAATTAGCTTGTTCCCTGTATACCAGCAGTTTGGTACAAGGCATTGATTTTTGTTAATTCACAGATGATACCTTACACATCTTTTGACAATGCAATGTCAAATATCACAGCATTTGTACAGAGACAGATGTCAGGTACTTCTAATGTTTCATTACCGACCGTCAATGTTAACAGTTCACCCCCTATTACATCTTCTTCCACTGCAAGGTATGTTGACTCAGTGTTGTTCAATGGCATCTTCGTCACAACAATAAATTTTTCAATTGCTCAAATTACCACTGTTGGGTACCGGTTTTTAAACTCGCCCGACTCCAACTCGCCTTCACTTAATCTCCAACACTGTTCATCACAGCGAAGGCTACTCATAATTGATTACTCATTGATATAAGAATTGGGTAGACAAGATATTTTTAGTTTATTTCAAACTGTTATCTACAGTAGAAAGTACCACTTATTCCATGATGTATGAAAGTAAAATCAAATTGTGATTTTTTGAAAATATCTTTTTGTCATTCTATTTTAAACAGATCCATCTTGTCTTCAATTCATGAATCATTGCATGTTGAAAAAGTTGAGCCTGAGTCAATGGATGTATCTCTGAATAGAAGTATCGATAAATCTTCTACAAAAAAGAAAAAGAAGCCTACCAAGCAAAAAGTTGTGACTAAGACTACAGAAAATATTCTTCATCATGAGAACGATGAAATAGATTCAAGTCCAAATGATGATTTCCAGAATGAGAGTTTTGATAAGTTTAATAGAACTTCTGTAAGAAAAAAAACTAAAGCTAAACCACCATCTAAGATGAATTGTTCAAAAATTATGGAAAATAACAGTTCAGATGGAACAACGAATCGCAAAATTAATGAAAATGAAATTTCAGGACTTGAAACTTTAGCCAATATCAAACCTACAAACAATTGTGAAAAATTTCACCAACAAATTCCAGTTAAACGGGAATCCAAAACAAACTTGTCAAATTCATCCAAAAAAACGATTTTAAAACTATCATCTGACACAACACTTCCAATCCCAAGTACTCTGGATGTAATTGATTCTTTAAATGATGATGTAATGGTTGATGATTTGTTTGATTGCACAATTCCTGCCACCCCAGAAAAAATGAACATCACTGTCATTCCTGAATCACCACCATCAGCCAATGGAGATTCAATTCACATCGGATTTCAACGAGCATTAGGTATGTTGTTTTTATTTTAGACTTATTACCACCTTTTGCTTCGAACCCTATATTTAACAGCCACTGATATTCATCGATATGTAATGAGCTATTATTATTTAAGAGCAGTGGTTCTTAAACTTTATATGTCTGCGGACTGTACCCCTTATGGTTCCTTGAAGTAACCCACAATTTTCAAACCGAAAACACAATAGAAGAACTTATCATAGAACTATTCGAACAACATTTAAATTAGCTACCACTCCTCACGTTTGCAACACAAATAGCATACTGATTTATCTCACGTGATCTTGCTCAACATGTTAGTTCCTTGTTTTTGTCTTGATTTGAACAAGTGTAGAAAACCCCATGTCCACATAAGTACCGGTAAGGGGAGACGAGAGGGAACCCCAGTTTGAGAACCACCTCGTTTGAGTTTTAGAGAGAACGGATTCTTTCTGGTTCAGCATTGCTTATCCAATTGATTACATCTTGAGAAAGGTGGTGGAAGTGAGAATTTAAACCTGAGATGTGTATCCTGCGCTACAACACAGTTTAATTCAATGCTTTTTACCACTAGGCATCAAGACCCCATGGTTTGGTCACTATGTTAGTCTATAGTCTTGCACCAATTCTAACTAATTGTTGTGTATATTCGCATTTCAGTGTTAGGTGTTAACTGAATGTAAATAAGTAAATTAAAATCTTTTGTCTAAGCATAAGATTCCAATTTCTCAAAATGACAGATTTCCGAATAAAACTCCTAAATGATTCATATAATCAGAAACTTATCTAATGTATTCGAATATTTGATTCGTTTTGGACATCCCTGATTGTTATTGAGTATGTGTTTTTAAGAAATAAAGGAATTAAACTTTCTGTCTTTTCCATAAAATTTATCCATTTTAATCAGGGTAATCTAATAAGTCAGGCAGACTTCCAATTCCTTTATCTGGTAGTCGTTTTTGTCTCATTTGCTGCTTCGTCCAGATCCAAAGAGAATATTACATTTTTCTCGATTGTGAATTTTTGTCTAGTGTTCCATTTGTTGTAAATAGTCTCTAATTTTAAATTTATTTGGTTTTGTATCCATCTTTAGATTTGTGAGATCTTATTTAAATAAATTCATTTTGTATCTATTTTCAGATTTTGATTCTGGAATATCATCAGCAAGAAAAAGAAAACTGACGCAATCTCATACTGGGATCTCAACACCTAATTCAAAGCGGACAGGTTAATTTTTATAAATTTATTGTGTGTCCTTTTACACCTAGCAATTTTCTAAGGTGTATTATATAGTCAAGACAGAAGATTTCCTGGTATACTTGTAGTGTGTGTACCAAGTTAGGGTTAGGCCATAATTTTATTCCAATTTTCCCAATTAGTTCTATTACGAGTTCGGGGACTGTCTGTGTTAGCCAAGTGAGTATACCCCCTGACCAAAGGCTTCCGTCCCTTTACACAACCTATTGTAAAGTAGGCGAACAAAATAGTTACCTCCATATTGGTACACATACTTCTGCGCTGATTTCCCTTTATGAAATTACATTTAAATCTAATAAGCAAATATATTGTTTTTATATAAAGTATTGTCTCATTCAAGAAATTTTATCTCCATAGTTTTTGTTGCTTATGCTTAAGCGAATTCGATAAATGATCACAATTATACCATATTTTGTATTTGCAGATTTTCATAGTCTTTTTCATTTTACGATCAACATTTTACATATTCATATATTTACATATTTATTTTATCTCAGATAAGGAGGATTTTGATACATTATCAAATTGTGAGCAGAATTCTGGTGATCTTTTATCACGTGCTACAAGAAAACAGTGTTTGAAAAAGGAGAAAGGGGTATGAACATAGTGCTTCCATATTTATTCCTACAATATTCAAAGTTATTATACAAAGTAATCAATCAGTTTCAGATGTTTAGTCGGCACCCCCGTAGTATGTGTACCAGGTTAGGATTAGGCCATAATTTTATTCAGATTTTCCTTATTTTAGTTCTATTACAAGTTCGGGGGGCTGTCTGTGTTAGCCAAGTGAATATACCCATTGCCCATAGGTTTCAATGTAATCAATTTTTTTCAATCGACTTACCAATTGCATTCAAATTTTTAGTACCTTTATATGGAGGTGTCTTTCAGAAGGCTTCAACCTCTAGCACATTTTCAAGTATTTTCCCGAGGCCTAGTGTTTTGTAATTTAATAAAATTGTGCCGTTGCATCATCTTTCACGCTGATCATAAGCGTATCGTATCACAAGCTTATTTGGTCAAATTAGCTCACAAGTGTTAACAAACACTTTTGATGTACTATCCTTGTTTTCATGTAATTGTTCATTACTCTCTTGTTTCTACTTCATATTTCATATCTATTCATTTCAGACGCACATTTCAGAAAAGAAGTCTGTTCTCAAATGCAAAGCATGTACAGTAATACTTTATGAACGTGTTCAACAAACTATTGCATGTGAAAGGCTACAATCATCATTTATCAATGAGAATTTTCTTGGACAAAAATCTATCATGTGTGATGTGTATTCAGTAGAATCAAAGCAGATGGATTTTGAATTCATCACATTGATCAAAGAAAAGAGTAGAGATGGTAATAATTCTTATTTTCCAAGTATTTTTCATGGCCTAATTAGTAGGCGAAACTACGCCCGGCCATGGTATCAGTGACCATAAATGATTAAATAATTAAAATTGCTTTCATGAAATTGATAGTTACTAATGGGAGACATGGTATGGAAAATAAGGCTCTCGAGGCAGGCTTGGACTACTGGTGATAAAAAACGCATTCGTAACTCTAATGATGTTAGCGCTGAAACAAAATGAAAAGTTTATTTGCATTTATGAGTTGTATCGTATTCTGGGATGGTTTTTCTCACCAATCAGGGCTAACATATGTATACAAAATAATTGTGTAAATAGTAATGACTGATTAAATGTGACTCCAGTGATTGAGATTTAAATCGAAATCCCTGTTTCTGTTTTCTCCAGATTCAAGCATTGAATTGAATTCAATCTGGTGCGAAGAAGATCATAGGTGCTATCAAATATATCGATGTCAGTGTTGTATGAAACCAGTTGCTTTTCGGATAGTTTCAGAACAACAGTTTAGAGATAAATATTTTTTCATAAGTCAACTGGTGGAAAGGATTGATGACTGATTATTTTTGAGATTTATTTCTACGTTTTCGTTCACTTGCCAATTTCATATATTCACTTTCTATTTCTGTATTAAAGCCTAATTTTTAATAAAGGAGTTCAGTGCAAAGCTGAATAAAAGGGAATTATGGCGGTGTTTGTAAGCTTTTTTTTACTTAGCATTTGCTTAATGGAGCTTTTGACCCAAAGCAGATTTTGTGTAAGCAACCGTTGGTTTAGAAGTTCTGTGCTTGGGAGAACCGGAGTTTCCACGTTGTTAAGGACAATAGACTAAAAATCCGGTACGGTTCTTTCAGCTTGTGCCGAGAGGCCGTGGTTCGCCATATGGATAAGCCGTCTTATCGGCTTTCCTCTCATCCGGGATAAATATGTAAATTCTCCTCCTCCTCCCACCAAATTCGCCGCCACATGAACAGAAAAAATGGTTTGACCTTGTTCATATATTTGAGCATTGCTCTCTTATTTCCGCAACAGCGTGCAATCCACGACAACATACCCGCGTCACAGTTGTTTTGTTCTGACATATTTCCAAGCATGGTCATAACACTGGCTTATTTTTCATAGTTACGGTTACCGGTACTGTTTGTGAAGTTTTAGTTATGTGTCCTGATTTAATAAATGAAAACTGTCGCGAAAGGCAGGAAGAGGCCAGTTTGAAATTAGCTGTATTTCTTTTATTGACGAGTAATTGAAAATTTCGATTTAGAATAGTGCTTTGTAGCGACACAGAAGATAGCTAAACCTTTGTGGTAAAGGGCAAGATCCAACTCGCTGAGGCCATTGAGGTTATACATCTCAATGGCTAGGAAAGACACTTTCAAAATCTAGGAGGGTACCGGTACCGTACTGTGTAAGCGTAAAGCATAGGGTCAAAGGTCGAGAAATCATCTATTGCTCCTCGTTTCACGTTGGAATATGAGCAGTGTTGTCGAGGCTTATGCATACAGCCATGATAGGATTTACGTATTTGTATGACTAATCCACCAATTTTCAAGTAAAAAAAAAGAACTATTTACAGTGAATGTAAACCATTTGGTAGAGACTGTTTAGGGCGTATAGTTTCACATTATGTCGGAGAGGGTGAGCCTGATAAATGTGCTGCAGAAGAATCCCAAGAACATTCGGAATATTTGTATATTGGCACACGTTGATCATGGTAAGCTAATGTCATATTGTTGCTATTTAGTTACTGCACATGGTTGGCCAAGTTCAATTATTGATAAACTCTGAAAAATTGTTTCAAGATTTCTCCTTGAGATGAAATTTTGAAAAACTAAAAATGGATTGATTGTAATCTCTTTAAAATGCATCATTACTCCTTATGCTCTGTATCTTCAATTTGTCTAAATTTTACCTGTCTTTGTAGGAAAGACTACTTTGGCTGATTCTCTTATAGCAAGCAATGGAATTATATCTCAACGATTGGCGGGAAAAGTAAGAAGGATTAATATTTGTGTTTAAGTAATATTCATCAATTTTCAAGAATTACCAAAGCTCCATGTTTTTCCAATACAGATTTTTATTTCATTTAATTTTGGTGCACTTTATTGTACCGATCTATGGGGACTTGGGTTCGGCATGTTTTTCATAGATATTGTAGTTTGAGAAGGGGTCGTAGTTTCAATTGTAAGGAGTTGGAATGAGAATTTCAAAAATAATTTCTAACAAGTTGACTAAGCATTCTTAACAGACAATTAAAAAAGTTATACACCAAAGTATTTGTTATCAAAATTTTAATTCTTTGAAAGATCGGAGCTGAAGTCTTGCAAAAATTCCTTTTAACCAGAGTCTGGTGTCTCAAGTTGAATCAAATCGGTGTGAATATTCCTCCACATCTCTGGTACGAATAGCGATTGTGATGTAAACTTATTTTAATTATTCGCCTGTTATTATTTTACAGTTGAGATACATGGACAGCAGAGAAGATGAACAAATTAGAGGAATAACAATGAAATCAAGTGCAATTTCATTATATTTCAAGTCCGGTATGACAATTTTTTTTCTTCAAAGTATCCATCTTTCAGTGCGATGATATTGTGTGAATTATCTGAATTGAGTGAAATGATCAAAATTGATCTACAGCAAATCAGAAGTATTTTTGGTTAAGTTGTTTCTCTAGTATAGTTCAAATTTGTTACAATTTGTTTTCATTATTTTGCTTTTTATAGTTTTGCCCATATCTCAAATTTCATTTGTAAATAGCCGCGTTGAGTAGAGGTTCTCAAATCCAGAGTCGCGAGCCAAGTCAACGGTTATCCAAGTCTAGTCCAAGTCTCAAACTCGAGTCATCAAGTCGAGTTAATGACGTTAGCCTCTCCAACACTGTTTAAATGTTTTTGAATCATGCATTTTAGCAAAACCTGAATTAAATTCTTACTATGCGATGCATTTGGAAGGCTAGTTTGCATGTAGATATTCTGTATAAATATGCAATAGACAATGGATATAATTGCCTATTTATTAGAGTGATAGATTGAACTATCTTTAGCCATTGCAGGTTACAGATCTTGGGTTTAATCTCTCCCATCATAAGTTTATCCCAAACCCTAAAGATTTCGGATCTTCTCTAAAATAGTAGACCTACCTCCTACCTATCAGCGCTGGTTCCACAAGGCCTTGTTTCGAGTGAAAAACGTTAGTAAAAGTGTCATGTAAAAACAATTTGCTTATGATCTACTGTTTTTCTTTTCAAGGAGATGCAAATGAATATTTGATCAACTTGATTGATTCACCAGGACATGTTGATTTCTCGAGTGAAGTTTCAACGGCTGTTCGATTATGTGATGGCGCCATTGTTGTTATTGATGTTGTGGAAGGAGTTTGCCCACAAGTGAGCTTTAATTTGATTTGAAATAGATATTTTATTTAAAAATTGTCTATTTTATATAAACACTCTCTTCTTTTAATCACTGTCTGGCTTATATATGACAGCTGCACATGGCATTGCCTACAGTAATCGTAGATAAGAACTGCTAACATATTATGTTTTTTTCATTTTTATAAGATATATTTATTTATTCACCTCCATTCCAAACAAGGAGCCACTATGGTTGGAAAAAAATCATTCCGATTTGGCGTTATTTATCCAATTTATCACACCTTGAGTGAGGTGGTGGCATGGGATTTGAACCTGAGATCTTAGCCTGTAGTGCCATCACAGTTGAGTGATACGCTTTTAACCACTAGGCCACTTCGAAGATGTTTATTACATGGCACTCCTTATGATAAATATATTATAAGCCTGTTTCTTACATTCCAGACTCAAGCTGTACTTCGGCAGGCCTGGTTGGAACGTCTGAAACCAATGTTAATTTTCAACAAAATGGACAGATTAATAACAGAATTAAAACTCACTCCACAAGAAGCCGCAATGCATTTGCAACAGATATTAGAGAAGGTTTTTATTCTATTGAATTACAAAATTATAATACTCCCAGTATACATTCCTCTTATGCATATATAAATTATTATGTAATCAAGGTCGTCCATTGTAACTTCTTTTTTAAGCAGATTTCTCTCTTTTTTCCAAAATTTGATGCGAAGAGCTTTTTATATAAAGCCCTTCAAACCATGGGTTCCTAAATTGTTTACTTGCTTAGGGGGTCACTTTCGTTTCATTCCAATGAATAATAAAATTTATTTGTTGAAAACAGCAGATTGAAACATTTTTGGGACTGAAACGCCTTTTGTTGTGTGATAAATGTAATTTAGCTTTTACTAATAATAGGAAGACTTCTTGTTTGTTGGTTACGGATGAAAAATTAGCATTGCTGCAATCAATTTTAATCATCTGCATCCACACATCTACACTGGGATTTCCTATTCCTAAGCCTTTATCCGTCATTCATTTGTAGAAGTGAAAATACAAAAAAATTAGTAAAGATTGAACATGTGTTTCAAGCCGTCATATAAATTGAATAAATAGTGTATTTTGCCAAATAATCATCAAACATCAAATCAAACTGTCATTTTTTCACCCTCAGAGTGCTGTATGTTAAAGCTTTGGTTAAAAATTGCTTTGCATTATCTTTTCATGTGTTAAGTTTATTTTGCTCTTACTAGGTCAATGCTGTCACAGGAAGTTTATTTTCTGCTGAAGTTCTTGAAAAGTCAAATAAGAATACAACTTCTGATGAGACTGAAGTTGAAACAGGATCTGATGTGAGTAACTTCATTATTTTTAAGTTTTAATGACGTCTTTCGCATTATTGCTGCAGGACAAACAGTCGAAGGGGATAAACACATTATGATATGTTAATGGACTTTGTATTATTCATTTTGCTAAATTCATTGTTGTTGTTATTCTTGTTCGGTTGATTGCAAACGTTATGGAAAAATCACTTTTCTCCATAATAAAGCAATCAATTTTGAATCTTTAGTACCTAAGATGGAAAAAGCCGCTAGTGGAAGTCCTACAGGATTTCACTAAAATGCTGTTTTATATGAATTAAAGGGGTTTTATTTCTCAAGTGCCGATGCACGACGTTCATGTGTTGATATATTCCAGCATTGCTCTTTTGCAATCATAGTCGCTTGCATTATTCAAGCCATACCATGAATCTTAATTTTGGCGTGTCTTGTACGGTATTTATTTAGTTTCTTTTATAAAATATCAGATTGTCTATGACTGGAGTGCTGGTTTAGAGTTAACGGATGATTCTCATCTTTATTTTTCTCCGAATGCTGGAAATGTTGTTTTTGCAAGTGCAACAGATGGATGGGGATTCACGTAAGTTTTCTATCTATTTTTTTATTCTTTTTTTTCGCGAAACTTCGTGGAGACGAGAAAATTATTTTCTTACTTGGTATTAGCTTATTTTAGTTCTATTAAGTCATAGTTAAACAATAAAATTCAAAACTTTTGAAGACAAGACAAATTAACTTTTTTGTCACATTTAATGGTAATCATATCGATAGAATTGTACATACATGTTCTCTCGGTTTGCAAAGCAATGTGATTGACAAACTAATTCTTTCATAGAATCGACCACTTTTCTAAACTTTATGCAAAGAAGCTTGGCATTCAAGAAAACGTTTTGTTAAAAACCTTGTGGGGCGACTACTATGCAAATGTAAAGGCCAAAAAGATATTCAAAGGAGCTCAAGTATGTTACACATAAGATTTCAAAACTTTTGATAAATATCAAATTGAGTTAGTATTTCAAATATCTATCAAGTATGTTACAGGTAAAACCTAAAATACACCAGCACACCAACTTGAAAAGCTTTTTACCTTTTGAATTTGTTTTCATTTGGCTGTGTGTTTAGGTTTGGCGTAGGATGTATAAACATTTTGTTTGATATTTTAATTAGATTTTGATGATAATGTAAGACTTAGAAAGCCCTGGCTAATATATGTCTGTGTTTATCACTTTATTTTTTTTTGTATTATCACAAGCTTAAAATCTTATTAGATGGTTTGTGTTTTTATGCATCTATTTTTGTGCATCATGTACTGTTGTTATATTTTTTGTGTTGGTGAGAAACGAGTGCTTTCCACATTTGAAACTTTACTTCAAGTTTTGTATCTTTTTTGGGTTCCCCTCTTGTTTTTGTTTGTTTGGGATGTTTTTAGGGTAAATCTAAATCAACTCCTCAATGTGAACTCTCTGTGTGAAAGTTTGATAAATATTATTTTACTTTGTAGGCAAAAGGAAAGAAATGTTTGTTTGCACAATTTGTACTAGAAAATATCTGGTCATTGTATGACACTGTGCTTGTAAGAAGGTAGGTGACAAATTTTATTACTTGATCTGGAATACATATTGTGCCATAATGGAAATATTTATTTTAAAAACTGCAAATTAAATAGCGAATTTTCACTGTGACCATTTAACCACTGATATCTAGAAAAATGCAATGAGCCATTATTATTTGGACAGATCAAAAACTTTCTGGTCCTTATTGCATACCCCAATTATTGAACTTTGACGTAGTTGTCATGAGATTTGAACCAGAGAAGTGTAACCTGCAACGCCAACACAGTTGAGTCAAACGCTTTTAACTGCTATGCTATTGTGCTGTGAAATTGCCACATTCGAAGAGGAATAAGCAAGATACTAGGTGACCTTGTATTGTAATAAAAAAAAACGTAAAATTGTATTGCTTAGTACTGTAATATCAACCTGATTATTTATTTTGTGTTTATTAATCACTCCAGGGACAAAGATAAATGTGAGAAGATAGTTCAATCTCTAAATATAAATGTATCTGCAAGAGATAAAAGATTAATCAGCACTGAACCTAAATCTTATCTTCGTGCAATATGCAATCAATGGATTCCATTATCCCAAGCTGTTCTATGTATCCTTTCGTAATAGAAATAAATCAAATAGTTATAAATGTGATAGAATAAGTGACATATATGAATATTATGTTCTGTAATATATTAATTTTATTAATCATGAGTGATGTGTCGCAATACTTGGTATTCTTATGGTTTATCGATTTTGAGGTTCAAGCTGGAGTCATATTTCCAAATTTATTAAAGTCTGGACTCTGGAGACATAATTTCAGACGTTCTATGGGGATAATCGATGTAGTAATTTTTGACGAGAAACTCACAAAAGTGCATCAATCGAAGTTGCATACAAATTTCTTATGACCTAGAGCTAGAATCTGGAGCTAAGGCCATAGCTTTTTTAATGGAGGTGTTAATTTTCCCCGACGTGTCTTCTCTGCTTATGTTACCTATTTTTTGATACATTATTGAACATGATTTAATATGAAATATTTCCTTATCTTTCCCACTTGTGCAGCTAGTGTTTGTTTGCATTTGCCAAATCCTTTATCTATATCTGATGAAAAAGTAGAAGGACTGATGTGTGGAAATTCGCATAGTTTTGATTCCTTTCCCAATGAAACAAAAGATTTAAAGCCAGGTAATTTTTAATTTTGGTTTGGTTTTGTATTGGAATTCTTTATAACAAATACTGTAATGGTAAGAGATGCCATGCTGTTTGATAAGTTGAATAAAAGTTTATTATAAAAGTGAATAACTCAGACAGGGAACATGCTTAACACAGCATCAAGGACAGACTGTCCTTTTACAGCTGAAAGAGCAGTATTTATACTAGTGACCAATGACATGATGACAGTAATGATTACTGTAGACCAGGCCTGCACAACTCGATGCAGTACAAGGGCCATAACAGCACAGAAAATCTTGTCGCGGGCCGCATGCTATCACTGTTGTAACTACTACTGTTGCGGTGTAACGTCTTGTGGTCGTGGAATAAGTAAAAAAACGTTACCTCTTTACCAGCATACTAAAAACATCTAATTGTTGTTTCTAGTACTTTTTGGCAGGAAAAACTGATTAATTGCCTTGTTTCATGAATCTTTTATTAGGGCTTGTAACCGCTTTCGAATATTCTTTTAGAAATAGTAACTTTCTCAAGGCAGGGACAAATCATCGGAAATTATCAAAATGTAAGATACATTGCAAGCATTGACAATAAATCAACAATAAACACAAAATGTCACAAAATAAAGTTTGATGTGAAATGTTACACCTCTTGTTTGCAACAAGCTCAGCATAATCCGGCACGATGCTGGAACAAGATATTTTTAGTATATCTTCCAGATGTCCATCAGTAATAGAGGAACGTTGTTTGTTTTTGTTAAAGTTCATAACTGAGAACGTTTGTTCACATATATAAGTGCTCCCAAATAAGCTGAAAATTTGCTTTGCCAAAGTAAGTAAATTTTTGAAGCTTTCTTTGTTCAAGCACTTGTAAAAGTCTTGCAACCTGCTTTCTCCATGTTTACTTTTGTATGCAGATGAAGCCTGCAAATTGATAAGTTCCATTTGTAAACGTGGAGGTGCTTCTTCTGGATCGATTGAAAATGGGTTTTCAATAATTTTTAGATGTAGTTCTTCTTCACTGGAAAGACCGAGTCTGTTGTTAAATTCTTCATTGAGGAGTTCGATGTGTTCAGCGTATTTGATTCCTGCTGCTAATTGTCTCTCTGGCGAAATATGCTGTGAGCAGATAGGAAAATGTATCAACATTCCTTTTAAAAGTTGACTTTTGAAAAGTCTTAAATTTGCTTTGAAACTGATTACCGCAGCAAGAAAATCGAAGATCAGTTTTCCTTTTCCTTGAAGCTTGATATTCAGGTCGTTTAAATGTGAAGTAATGTCGCCAAGGAAAAATAAATCTTCATTCCAAGAAGAGTCGTTCAACTCGGAAAATACTTTGGACTCTGTTTTCAAAAATGTTGTTATCTCAGTTTTCAGAGAAATGAACCGTTTTAGCACATTTCCGCGACTTAGCCATCTTACGTCGGTATTATACACTACGTCGCCATATTCTGCATCAACTTCTTTCAGAAATAATTCAAATAAGCGGTGTTTTAGTTTTCTAGTTCGGAGATAGTTAACAATCGAAACAACGACCGACATCACATGATCAAATTCTAAAACCTTGCTGCATAAAACTTGCTGATGTATAATGCAGTGGTGAGTGATAACCTTTCTTCCAATGTGAGCCTGTAGCAGAGCGGTGGCTCCATTTCTTTTTCCGCACATAGCTGGAGCACCGTCTGTGCACAATGCAACTAATTTTTTAAAATCACTGGATAGATTTTTGGTAACACAATCTATAATAGCGCTGCAGATGTCTTTTTCAGTAGTACGACCTTGCATAGACCTCCTCAAATGCGTCAAAGTTATCGTCAATACCTCTTACAAACACTAAAAGCTGTGCTGTATCAGTAGCATCTGTACTTTCATCAATAGCCAAAGAATAATAAGAAAATTCCATTGCTTTGTGGCCCAACTGTTGAGTTATATTCTTCGAAATATCTTCAATTCTTCGTTGTACAGTCGTGCGTGAAAGGCTTACGTTTCGAAACTTTTTAATCTCACTAGGGCAGATTAAAGAAACTGCACTTAACATGCATTTCTTAATGAAGTCTCCTTCAGTAAAACTCTTTCCCGCAGCAGCAATTTCCCTTGAAATTTCGAAGCTAACTCTGGTAGCAGTAGTACTATCATTGCTTGAAAGTTTTAAAAAAATCTGTTCAGAGCGAAGATTGGTACGTAAACTTTCTGCTTTAAGTCGCTTTTCATTTGCATTTAGTTCAGCAAGGTTCGGGTGATTGGTTTCAAAATGGCGTCTAAGATTATATTCTTTTGAAACTGAAACCACGCTTCGGCAAACTAAACAAAGTATTTTTGAGTTTACTACTGTAAATAAGTATTTATTTGTCCATTCTGAGTTAAACACTCTGCCCTCAGTTTCTATCTTTCTTTTCTTGTTTTCTGTCATTGCAACACTGCCGCATGCTACACAACAAACTAATTGCGGTCAAATAAACTGAAAGCGAAAATGCTCGGCAAACCACCAATTGTTCATCACAATGGACTAATCGAGAGTCTTTGGTCAAACCCGCACGCACCGTAGATTTTCGTTTTACGTACATACACACAATTGTATCAGACACTCGCATCACAATACAAATACACAAACATATATTGCTAAAAACAATTTCTCGAAACCATTTCGAGGGTCGCAATAAAAGGCTTCGCATGCGGCCCGCGAGCCGTATGTTGTGCAGGCCTGCTGTAGACAATAACATAGATTTATGGAAAACTGTTGATCTAGTACTATGCATCGTTGTTTAGGAAGTATGAGTCGTTGAATCAACTCGAGTTGAGTTAAATTCGAAATGAATATTTTCACCTAAACTCATCAAACAACAGACAGTGAGACTAACTCAGTGATTGACTTAACTCCGACTTGACTCGGATAACCCATGGCTTAACTTGACTCACGACTTTTGTTTAGGGGCCTCTACCCAACCATGTTATTAATATATAAATTTTACTTATTCACAAAATATGCGAACTATATATGCTTTTTCATGGTTTTATACAGAATCAAAACTGAGAATTAGGTTTATGACTTACCAGGCAAGGGCAAAGAAACTAACCCAACCTGAGCTGAGTCTCTGAGGGCAAAATCGGTGTGGGGACGACCAAACTGTAATTTGAAATTTGAAGAAGTAATTTCTATGACCAATTTTCCCCTTTTTTTAGAATTTCTGAATTGTGATCAATCCGGTAAAGTGATTGTTCTCGTTTCTAAGATGGTGGCTGTTGATCCAAGTCGTCTTCCCCAGGCTAAGAAACGGTGAGAATTAATCTAATTGTGAATACAACAACAAATGAGCACAAACATGCTACATTTAAAACACTTATTTCTCATTTCAATTGGGAGTTGCTGTAGAGACGGAGTTTGGCCTATTTCACCTAGTGACAGACTCATATTTCCAAAACCTGTTAAAAGGAGTTGCGGGAAATTTAGATATTCCTGGAATCTGTATTTCACACTTTTAATGATGATAATCGAAATAAAAAATTTCTATGAGAAAAACTCAAAATGAAAATAGTTGACTAAACGTTCCTAACAGTCGATTAAATATAGCAATCATTACAGGGACTGAAGATATATTGACAATTGTTATTTTTGACATTGGCTAAACTATATCCATTGCTTTTAACAATTGTATATGCATTGCTGTGAATATCAGTGCTGGCTAGTCACCACTAGCTAGGGATATACAATGAAAAACCTTTTGCAGAATGTTTTCTTTCCACTCATACCTTGTTCTCGCGGAATCAAGTCCATGGAAAATCTCATCCTATTCGTCCAATGCGGTAATGAGTTTCTTCTTACATTGAACAGCCCATTAACAGAAGAAGAAATCAAGGAAAAAAGAGAAGCTGCTCGACAGAAACTTCTAGAACGACAAAACCAACTGGAGAAAAATACTTCTGGGGAAGAAAATCAGGAATGTGCAGCGAAAGAAATTCAAAATGACAATAAAGATAATGAAATATCTGATTCTCCTCATTTTGTTGCGTTTGCGAGAGTTTTTAGTGGCACCTTGAAAAAAGGTCAAGAACTATTCTTACTCGGACCCAAGCATTCTCCAACAGAGATATTATGCAATCATGTAAGTCATAGGCTAGTGCCATGTATACCATTGAAGTATATTACAGTAGTTTTATAACTTATAACTCCAAACTCTGTATCCTAGCATGTACTGATATATTATTACCGGTACTTGTAGCGAGCTACTGTTTTTGATGAAAGACTGGATTCTCCCCAGTAAGACATTGCATTCCTACTTTCTTACACCCTGGGTGGGATAGGATTTGAATCCGACCTGCGATGCCAACACAGTTAGGACTGACACTTAAACCACTAAGCTATCGCACTCACCATCAAGCTCACAACTTGAGCAACTTGGTGAAGTTTTTGGTTGCAAGAAGCAGGCCTTGTAATTGTTGTTTCTACTTGATTTTTGAGTTATTAAATCCTCAGTGTGTGTGTGTGTGTATTTTATATACAATGAACTTCAAATGAATTCGGAACCCTTTTTATTCTTCATTTTACTTCTCAAGCAAACCTAGTTGAGAATATTATCTAATTTCTATAAAAATGTTACTTATTTGAATCCTTGCAGGGGATTGAAAATGTTTTGGCCAAGTTGGATGATTATCCGCATATTACGAAGGTTTCTATTGGAGATTTATATTTGCTCATGGGAAGAGAGTTGTCATCACTGGATGAAGTTCCTCCAGGAAATATAGTTGGTATGTAGGCCTATACTACTTTTTATATGACATATTTTCGTCTTTCACTCTGAACAATGTTCAGTACTCCCGTAGTGTATGTACCTGGTTAACGTTAGGCCATAATTTTATTCTGATTTTTCTTATTTTAGTTCTATTACGAGTTAAAAGACTGTCTGTGTTTGCCAAGTGAATATACTGTACCCCCTGTCTATAGGTTTCAGTCCCTTTATACAACTTGTACAATTACCTCCATATTGGTATATACACTTCTGTGCTCAATGTTCTGTAAAAACAGTTACTTGCTAGGTAGGGATCTCCTACAGTTTGAAAGAACCAGAAACTTTTTGGTTTGCCATCAACTACCCAATTTATTAACTCCTTGGGTGAGGTGGTGGGTGTCTGGAATTTAAATCCGAGTTTTAACCTGTGCTGTCATCTTAATTATGCTTAACACTATGCCACATCGTACACAATTAAAAATGATTTGAACAATTATTTATTGTTGCAATCCAAATTTTGAAATATAATTTTCAGCTACCATTTTTTATTTTAGGTATCGCAGGATTGGAGGACCACGTCTTGAAGTCTGCTACATTATCTACCACAATTGCTTGTCCAGCATTCAATGCATTATCAAAAGATACAGCACCTATAATAAGGGTAGCAATAGAACCTAAACTTTTAAGTTAGTATTTGTGAAACAAGGGCCTTTTTTTCTAATTTGTTTATACTGAGAATAATTAGGATTATTATTCTAGATGTTCAAAACAATTTTTTTTTAAGTTTTTGCTTCAATGTTTCATCACCGAAATGAGATTTAGCAGTTTTTATATACGGTTGAAAAGTTTGAAATTTCAAATTTGTCTTTTCGGTATCGAATCAAATAATGTGAGGCGTACTTGAGAGGTCTTTGGCAAACTGATAACTGTATAATTGTAATGGGCTGTATGGTATTGCTGCTGTTTTTCTATTTCGAATAAATGCACTAAGCCATGGCCACAGAGTTAAGAAAAGTTTGGCTTAGACTCAATCTACTAACGCTGAGCAAAGCAAAGTTTTGATAACAATCCTCCTTTATACTATTTGAAATGTTCAGTACGCTTTATGATTTCGAGTTTCTATAAGTTTTATATCATACCTTGAAATTACGAAATTGAGGGGAATTAAAAAAATTTGACTTTAATTTCAACCTCGGGCAGTTTGAAAATATACATCCGGCCAGCTCCAGTGAAAACATGCCAAACTCTAACACAAACTCCATAGGCCTGCAATGACCTACAAATGTTGCATTCTGTAAGCATGGTGACTGAACTATTCTTGAAAACTGTAAATTTTGAACTCATTACCCTCATCAGAACTCATTTACCCCCATCAGAAGTCGATTTGAGACTAATTTTCACTAAACTTACTGAAGGTCAGATGAATCAGTTGATGGAGGGATTGAGATTGCTGAACCAGGCTGATCCGTGCGTTCAAGTGTTGGTGCAAGAAACAGGGGAACATGTCATTGTAACTGCGGGTGAAGTTCATTTACAAAGATGCCTGGACGATTTGAAACAAAGGTGTGGATTGATAACTTGAACAATAGTTATTCTCAAAGAAAATAGAATAAAAACAGCACATGCGTAACATATCACCAAGGACAGATCACTTTTTGACAGTAATGATTTCTGTGATTCAAAGAAAACCAGTAAACATGTTTTTCCGAAGTTAATGCTGTATTATCGTTTACAATTATTTTTAGATTTGCAAAAATTGACTTTAATGTATCCACTCCCATTGTACCATTCCGAGAGACTGTGATACCACGACCTAAGTTTGATGTGATGAACGAACTATTGGAAACGCAGGAAAAAGATTTGAAGCAGAAATTCAAGTCGAAAGATCAAGGTAATGTGTTTCATAATTATTTCAAACTGCGTTTTTACTCACAGTTTTGCGGATGCTCGAAGAATTGACTCGATTAGAGTTGGATGGAATCACTGTTTATCAAAGACTCGAAGGGTCTTGAGTCGTCTAAACGGGAAGACTCAAGACCAGGGGTGTGCAACCGTTTGATACAGGAATGCCAGATTCAAATAATTGGGTGGCGTCGCGTGTCGCACTTTTATTCAACATAGGCTTTCTAGTAGTCGCACAAATATTCTGGTCATGGATCTTATGACATGTGTTGTTCGCTTCATACAAGCTTGCTGTTAGGGCATTGTAACATCATAAAAACAGACTCAACTATAGGCTTCACAACACAGAGGGATTGGGATCACACATACTTGATAAAACAAAACTGAAAACCCGGTCTCCACGCGCCACATATGTTTTTCTTGTGAGCCGTGTTTGGGCCGCATGTTGCACACCCCTGCTGAAGACTCATCATCAACTAACTGTTTTGTATAGGCTCCACTCAATACTGTGTCATAGTAGCAGAGTTTTTTGTTTTTGCAATAGCTGCTCAACTGGCCGACATATTTATAACTAGATATTGCACATTGCTGTTTACTAGCTTTTTAATGCCTCATTTGCTATATTTCAGAGGATGACGCTGATGAACAATCATACCAAGTTAAAAGTCGAAGAAAAAATTATTTTGAAAGAAAAGGTTGCATAAGTGTGTTCACACCTGGCCAAGAATATGAATTTGTCTTGCGTGCTGTCCCTTTACCTGAGGAAGTTACAAAAACCTTGGAAAATAACGCAGATGACCTTAAAATGCTTGATAGATTAGATGTCACATTTAGGGAAGAGCTAAAACGAAAAAATCAAATGGATACAACTATAGAGACGAATGGTGAAAGTGACACAAATAATACAATCCCGATAGAGCAATCACAAATTAAAAGTGAAGCTTTGAAACGATTAAAATCTCTTTATGATGAAATAAAAGAAAAATTTGAAAAAACTGAAAAAGGAATGTGGCTTAATGCGGCCGATAATATCTGGTCTTTTGGTCCACGTCGTAATGGATGCAATGTTTTAATTAATGCAGTGAAAGATTATGATAGGCCGTCCATCTGGTGTGGTATTTTAGGCCACGATGATACAAGAAATAAACAATATCGTGAACTTGATCGTAGTATAACAAGTGGATTTCAGTTGGCTACTCTGGCTGGTCCATTGTGTGAAGAGCCAATGCATGGGGTTGCTTTTATATTGGAAGAATGGAACGCTGGAGATTTTTCACAACAAAATGATGTAGACTCTACTGAGAGTAATGGTCACATGGGTACAAGGTATGTCAATATTCATTTGCCGAATTTATGTGATTTCAATTCAAGACTATCTTTTACTCAATAATTGGCAGTCTGGAAAATTTGAATTATTATCCATTTTCAAATCTAATGCAATGGTTGGTTGCATCTTGTTTCAGTGTCCTTGAAACATATGTCACATACAATTCCAGTGGTTTTCACGTACAATTCCAGTGGTACGAGGCTCATCCACAATGGGCATATAGTTTTTCACACAACACAACTCTATATATACATATATCAATGTGATTTCTATACATCTAAAACATTTCTCATAACTTTCTTTGTGTACAGAAAATTTATTTTGCTTGCTATATATTTTCACTTGCGTATTCTATTTTCAGAAAATTTGGTGGCATAAAGGGCTCCCTGTCTGGTCAATTGATTTCTATGATGAAAGAAGCATTCAGGTCTGCTTTTCAGAATCAGCCCCAACGACTCATGGCTGCAATGTATACCTGTGATATACAAGCCACCGTTGATGTACTAGGTACCTTCATCAATTTCTGGTATTTTTTGTGCATGATATTAATATTCAAGCTTTTATTTTATTTAGGCCATTTTCATCTATCATATCGCGATAGCATAGTGTTTATTGTGTGTTTGCCCATGTTCGCTAACTCAGTTCAGCAAATAAATAATCTACAGTTCGCAAAATTATGCCCCCACTTTGAGAACTGCTGTCTTAGTGTTTAATTGTGTTGGTATCGCATGTTACAAATCTCGGATTCATATCCTATCCTCACCAAGGGTGTAATAAATTGGATACGCGATGCTGAACTAGCTTGAACATTTCGTTAGATGCCAGTGGCACTTGTACAAAGCCTTGTTAGAAGCAAAAGCATCAATAAAAAATATCTGCTTAAATTTGTTCACGTTGAGATGACCATGGTGCTACATGGCATGTGCATAAGCTCATGCAATTAGTTTGTTGCAGATAAGTTTTTTCATTGTTTTAATAATTATATTAGTCTTTGTGCAACTATGACTAGTTGTGCTATTGATTCGGTTCCTTCCGGACTAAATACTGCTTCTGTACTTTGTATCAGTGGATCTGTAGGATGCTGTAGCAAGAGTGAAGATGATTATTCAAGGTTATTCAAGAGTCTGCACAATAATACAAATATATTTCTGTTATTTGTGTTGGTGTGCAGCAAGACACTTATGACTAGTTGGTTTTGATTTATTCGTAAATTTTTGTAGGAAAAGTCTATGCTGTGCTTGGAAAACGGGAAGGTCGTGTTGTGAAAGAAGATATGAAAGAAGGATCAGATATTTTCAATGTTGTGGCCGCATTACCAGTTGCGGAAAGTTTTGGATTTGCAGAAGAAATCAGGAAGAGGACGAGTGGACTGGCAAGTCCTCAACTAATGTTTAGTCATTGGGAGGTATGAAGTGTATTGAAAATGTATTAAATTCTTCATGTAGTCAATAAAATGTAAATTTGGATTGTTTATCCTTCCATAGGTAAATCTGTATTTGCTTTTATTGAGCGGGAAAATTTCTCTACGTAGTCTTTAAAAGTCATCCAAGGTACTTTGTGCTAGGCAGACCAAAAATAGCCACTCTTCTATGTGCCGTCATCCATATTAATTATTTTTTCTGCTCATTTCTCGATTCTGATGTTGGCTGCATGCTAGCTCAATTGATCTGAGACTAAAAAATACTTTGTTTGGATTCACTACTCATCTTGAAAATAATTAGGTGAGGCCAAAGTCATCAAATGGTGACTGAAGTCGTCTGATTGGAATACATCCCATCAATCATGTATGTTTTCAATTTGTTAGGTTGTCCCGAGTGACCCATTCTGGGTTCCCACGACAGAGGAAGAAATGCAACATTTTGGCGAAAAAGCAGATTTTGAAAACCAGGCTACAAAATATATGAATACTGTTCGAAGAAGAAAAGGACTTTTTGTAGAAGAGAAAACAGTTCAACATGCAGAAAAACAAAGAACTCTAACAAAAAATAAATAGATGCCATTATGGAAATATGAATGAAATATTGGTGGTAGATAAATACAGTGGAATAAATGATAGGTTCTGGCATTTGAGTGTTTGCCTCTCATTGATGGGTTTAAGGCAGGGGTCGGCAAACTACGACATGGAGCAATATAATCCGGCCTGCGACGCTTCACCGAATTATATTAACAAAACAGCTGTGTTGACGATTATATTCTTTATGTGACAGAATTTGTTTTGAGACACTAAATTATATTATAACCTAACAAGTATATACGAGTCACAATCACTTGTTTAATGAGCCTATAATTGATTATAGATAGACGAATGGCAACAGCACGTAAAAATGTTGATGCTGAGTGCAAATGGTTCAATGGCGCAGAAAATATTCAAATGATCAGTCTTTGCGCACTGCTTGAAATTTCACTGAAATCTGTGTGGAAAAATGTGATTCATTGGCCATTCCTTCGGTTTTTAACTTTTTAAAAATATGTGCGGCCAGCCAATGACTTGCAAAATTAATTTTGGCCCGCGAGTGACAAAAGTTTGCCGACCCCTGGTTTAGGGCAATGGAAGTGCGCGGTTAATTTGTAGAGGTAGAATTGGATTACAGAAAGAAAGAGGGCTGCCACATGCTAGAGAGAATTCATCGCAGATAAATCATACGGCTCCTTGTGTGAAGATTTGAGTTTAACTACTGTTAAATTTTATCTAGATATTTAGGAAACTTTACTGTTAAGTAACACAGCTGGATTATGGGGTGAAATGGTACGTATAAAGCTTGACTTTGCGAGATGTGCCAAAACTTGCTCCTGGCAAAATCTTACTTTTCAGAAACTTTTGATAATGCAAGTAATTATTTTAATCTATAAATCCCAACAGATTTTTCAAGTTCCACGCTATTATTTTTCGAAAGGTATTATTAGGTGCCGGATGAAAATGATAGTAATCTCTTCTTACAAAAGCAAAATTCTGTAAAAAAAAATATGAGAATATTGGAGAAAACGGCTCTTCCGATAACAATCATCAGTAAAACCACGTGGTACTTTGTATCAGAGCGTTTGAGTACTGAGAAACAGTCGGATGCGTCCCAACATTATATATATATTAGCTCGATTTCTCACACCAACAAATCGTTTGTCTTCCGAATCGGTTTAAACCATCAACTAGCGAATGAACTCGAAAAAAGTAAATGTCAATTACGATATATCAATCAAAATACCAATTACAACTTATTATAATGATAAAGTGTAAGAAATGTTATTTTTATTAATGCCGAAAAAAATCTGTACGGGGTCAAAGATCGCTGAAATTTTTATTACTGGATTATTGGCAGGGCCGGCATCCATGGTTCGTCGAAAAATCGTGTTATTATAATAAGTTATTGCGCTTTTAATTACCAAGATTATGTGCGCCAGACGGAAAATTATTTTCTAGACAAAAACAGGTCCACATTAGCCGAACACAATAAAGCAACACGTTACTTTAATAAATTGTATGTGATACGGAATTAATGTAAAATATAAGCCACGAGGAAACTGAAGTTTCTTGTTGCTATAACCACACTCTACTTATTTACCTATTCTCATTTTAAGTAAAACCCAAGGACATTCGTATTGAATAAACCATAACGCCAAGACAGAAGCAAAAGCTGGGATGTCCCTTCTGGCACCCATGGCAGCAGCGGTATTCTTTTGTTAACTCGTTTCGTTTCCCTTGTCGATTGGATAAAAAAAAGATCGGTTGTGCCTTCGCCGTGGGTTAATACTGTAATGGCGTCGTGCGTTTGAATTCTTGAATCAGGTGGAACTTAGCGTTAACTTTTTGTTGATACGTTGTAGGGAAGGGTAGAAACTTCAGATTTTTTATGGAAGAACGTAAATAATTGAAAACGCGTAATTATTTAGCAAACACATGTGTTACATTTACACATGTTTTTACTATTTCAGTTCTTTCGGCCATAACAATAGTATTTGAAAAACTTCTACACACCAGACTTATACAATTTATAGATAACCATAGCATTATAAACAAATCCCAATTCGGTTTCCAAAAAAAGCACTCTACTAATCATGCGATTCTTGACATGGTTTCTTACTTTTATGACGAATTAGATAAAAAAGGGCATATTAGTGCCATATTCCTCGACCTAAAAAAGGCATTCGACACCGTTGATCATAACATATTAGTTAAAAAGATGTGCCACTATGGTATTCGCGGACATGCATCAAAATTATTCCAGAACTACTTGAGCTCACGTCAACAATATGTCAAAATAGGATCACATTGTTCTAAACTTGAAACTGTACAGTGTGGAATTCCACAAGGATCGATAATCGGGCCAGTAATGTTCATACTCTTTGTCAATGATCTCCCTCATGCCACTAACCTACTTGTGAAACTCTTTGCTGATGATACTGGACTATTCGGAAGTTCAGCTTCATCAAATGATTTGGAACTGTACATGAACTCTGAAATGCAAAAAATCACATCTTGGATGGCTAGTAATAAACTTACTATAAATATTGAAAAGTCCAAATCTCTATTAATTAGCCATAATAAAAATGAAAAAAGTAAGCAACCGATTCAGATTTTTATTAATGACATTCCACTCGAGAATGTCAATTCTTATAAGTACCTAGGTATATATATAGACAATAAGTTGAAATGGGCATCACATATCAACTACATAGCCAGCAAGCTAGCTAGAACAGCGGGAATATTATTTAAATTAAAAACATTTCTTACCACATCAGCTATGCGATTAGTTTATTTTTCCCTATTCCAATCATATCTCCAGTATGGCATTGTTGCATGGGGAAGTGCATCATCCACACTGATTCGCAGACTTGAGGTGCTGCAAAATAAATCAATCCGAGCAATTGGTAACGCACCTCTACACACCAGACTTGATCCTTTGTACCATAGATTTAACATTATAAAACTTCACCATGTCCATGAATTTGAGATACTGAAACTCATGCACCAGTACTTCAACGACAAACTTCCAAAGGCATTTGTAGGGTATTTTACTAAACAGACTGCAGTCCATTCATATCGCACTAGATCTGCCTCGCAAGGTGCCTTATATGTCCCAAGATATACATTATGCTCAACACAAAAATCTATAAAGTATATGGGTGTGAAGTTGTGGAATGATTTACCAGGTACCATAAGATCACTGTCATATCATGGTTTTAAAAGAGACCTGAAAATAGAATATATTGATAATTACCTTTCTGGAAGTTGATCATCTGAAAATTTAATGACCAATTCTAATCTGCTGCCGTTTCTTAACATCTGACTCACGACAGCATGTGACCTTGGCTTGTTATTCTTGACAACGCTGATCCCAGCTCGAGCGATTCAGAGGTGCACGGAGTCCTTATTTTTCAAAATTGCTGCTTGGTTGGCAACGATTATGCCGTTATGTACCATTGAGGTGTTATATACACCTCAATGTTATGTACACGGTCTAAAAACCTAATTGTACGTTTATTAGAGTTTCATCTACTTTTATTACGATTGGTTTCTCTTTGAATTTGGATTTTTTCTCCTTCATATATATATATATAAAGAAGTTTGTAATAGCTATTTGGTGGTTTTCATGTTTTTCAAATTTGTTATATACACATATTATTCAATTGTTTGATGTCATGTTATTTATGTTTTGTAAATAATAATGATTAGAAGCATAGGCGTTAACTAAATTTATTTATTAAGCTGAATCAGCATCGTAGGTGTCGCTGCTCGAAGACCTTTCGTGGTCCCTCGCGACTCCTGTCACACATATGAAGTTCTTTTTTTTACTTATTATATATCTTGCCATATTTCCGTGATATATATATATTGATTGTGTTGACGAATAAATGATGATTGATTGATTGATTGATATGACAGTAGTCTACAGCAGTATGATTAAAAACCATCACCAGCGAAATGCATAGGCAAAATGATTCGATATTTGATAGTTTCTGTGACTATATTCTCTGATAGCGGACCCGTATAAGCTACCGTAGCTATTTATAAAAAAAATTGATCAAATGAAAATCTGTTATTTGATATTGAATTTCAGGACTTCAAGATAACCTGTGTAAGTTATGTGTGTTCTGTACGCTGCCGTGCTGGTATACCAGTATACTGGTACGGTATAATCAGTATACAGGTATAGTGGTATATGTCAGTATGTCTTTCAGACTTTTGTTTGCCTTCGAATATTAAGTAGGCTACCGGCAGTTCTGACAACCTGATGAAATTATAAGTATCAACGTATAAAATATTTGCCAGAAACAAACAAATGAAAACTAATTGCTGAATTGCGGAATCATGAAACCGAACAAAACCTTATGTAAGCTTTAAAACCCACATAAATCAAGTAAGAGGTGTTGCCACAAAGTAGTGCACGTCCAAATGGATGCTTGTATTCGTATTATATCTGAATATGCAGTAATGCCAATCAAGGCTGGTAATTTGTATGGATTTTAGGAACAGGAATTTCAGAATTCAGGAATTTATAGAAGTGCCAACACTGATCACTGTTATCAATTACTATTTTTTTAATCTTCATTATTGGAGTTAAATGTTTTATAGAAATTTTTTTTTTGCCAATTTCATGAGAGAGGTTGATAGCATAAAAGCAATGTCGACTGCAGTTCGCCATCCCTATTTTGCCATCACCACTATCTGACTATAGAATTCTCCAGACTTTATTTATTTAACTTTGAATTGGGTTGCGCGAGACTAACTCACTATGCCCTCATGCTAGTGAATGCGTGCGTATACTGCATACTGCAAGGATGCTGTAGCTGGAATAAACACGACTATTCTGTGTTAGTGTGCAGCTGGACCATTTATTGATTTGTTGTTTTTTTACATAAGATGTAGTTTACATTCCACTATATTCTTTGTTCTACTAGTTTTTAAACAACTCTCATCGATTCAGAAAATGAGGGGAAACTAGTATAATATGGAGGCCATCATAAATAATATAGCTGAGACACAACCAGGCACAGATTTGGATAAACCAACTTCTCCAGTGGCTGTTATCCAAGAACTGGGGAAAAGTAGAAGCCTAAAACCAGTTTTTCAGATCATCAAAGAAGAAGGCCCTCCACATGAAACAAATTATGAAGTGATGTTAACTCTTGGCAATTATACATGGCAAGGTGAAGGTAGAAGTGTCAAGAAAGCACAGTTTGACGCGTCTAGAAAAGCGCTGGAAGAACTCGGTTATCCTTTACCGAGGAGATCAACAAAGAAAACCAAAATCGCTAATCCGGCTTCATTAACACCGACTGTGATATTGAATGGACTTGCGATGGCTAGGGGTGAAACAGTCAAGTACGCAGTTGTTAAGACAACACCTTTGCCTTGCCAGCCTATATATAACAAAACAACTAATTGGCAGCAACATGATCCGTTGAATTGGGCACCCAAAATGTATTATGGTGCTGATTTGAAGCAACCTCAACCATACAGCAATGGATCTTTCCAAACAGGAATTGATTTTCAGAAATATAATGGCAAACCTATCAAACGTTGGATCCATCCCCAACTTTTTCGTGTCGAGGTAATTGTGGGCGAACGATCATTTTTTGGAGAGGGCAAAACACAGCAGGCGGCACGACATGATGCTGCACAGCATGCACTTGATGTTTTACAGACGATGCCAGTTCCCATAAAAGAAAAGAAATCTGCGGATACAAAAAATGGAGAAAATAGTGATAATGGAACTAAAATAGCTTTGGAAAAATCTCCAATAAGTCTGCTATATGAAAAAGCTTCAAACCATGGTTTAAAAGTAGATTTCACTGTGACATCAGAAGAAGGGCCACCGCACTTGAAGCTTTTCACCATGAATATAAAAGTTTTCAAGTCCTCAGATGAGATAGTTACTATGGCGGATGCGCAAGGACCAAATAAACATACAGCAAAGAAAAAGTCTGCATCGGCTGCTCTAGAAAAACTTCAAAATTTATCTTTACCAGAAAAGAAATCAAAAAATTCCAGAAATTCAAGAAGCAATATAAAAAAGGATTCAGAGACAAAAATTGCAGATATTCTTGTATCGAAATCCGCAATGCATCCAATCAGTCGACTCACGCAAATTTTACAGGCTAAGAAAGAATCTTTACCAGTCTACTCTATCGTGTCATTCACGAAAGACAATCATTTGACATACTTTTGCATTAAATGTGCTGTAGGCAGTCATGAAGCAACTGGTGACGGTAAAAGTAAAAAAGAAGCAAAACGAAATGCTTCAGAAAACATGCTGAAACTTTTAGGATTTGATATCCGAGAACAAACTGAATCCATAATTAAAGTAGATTCTGTTCAAAAGAACGGACCAAAACTCACTATTGCTCAACAAAGAAAACTTAAAAATAAGCCAACTGAGCCTGAAATACTACCAACCTTACCTGAGTGAAACATAAAACTTTGAAACAGACATCTTGAGTAGGTGTTGGTTTTACCCTGGCCCTTATCTCCCGAAAAATTGTTATAACGAACCATGCTGCTTATTTTTAGTCTTTTATTGCATTCACAAACTGGTTTATATATTTATTTCAAAATATTTAACCACCGGTTATTGAAAAAGTACTGGTCGCAATTCTGGATACAAAACTAAAAATAGCTTGTAAAACAGAAAAATGAAATCTGTCTGTGTAAAAAAGTGGCTGCACTAAATTCGATTGTTACAATTTGTCTGTGTAAAAGAGTGGCTGCACTAAATTCGATTGTTACAATTTGTTTGTGTAAAAGAGTGGCTACACTAAATTCGATTGTTACAATTTGTCTGTGTAAAAGAGTGGCTGCACTAAATTCGATTGTTACAATTTGTCTGTGTAAAAAAGTGGCTGCACTAAATTCGATTGTTACAATTTTTCTGTGTAAAAGAGTGGCTGCACTAAATTCGATTGTTACAATTTGTCTGTGTAAAAGAGTGGCTACACTAAATTCGATTGTTACAATTTGTCTGTGTAAAAGAGTGGCTGCACTAAATTCGATTGTTACAATTTGTTTGTGTAAAAGAGTGGCTACACTAAATTCGATTGTTACAATTTGTCTGTGTAAAAGAGTGGCTGCACTAAATTCGATTGTTACAATTTGTCTGTGTAAAAAAGTGGCTGCACTAAATTCGATTGTTACAATTTGTCTGTGTAAAAAAGTGGCTGCACTAAATTCGATTGTTACAATTTGTCTGTGTAAAAGAGTGGCTGCACTAAATTCGATTGTTACAATTTGTCTGTGTAAAAAAGTGGCTGCACTAAATTCGATTGTTACAATTTGTCTGTGTAAAAAAGTGGCTGCACTAAATTCGATTGTTACAATTTGTTTGTGTAAAAGAGTGGCTACACTAAATTCGATTGTTACAATTTGTCTGTGTAAAAGAGTGGCTGCACTAAATTCGATTGTTACAATTTGTCTGTGTAAAAAAGTGGCTGCACTAAATTCGATTGTTACAATTTTTCTGTGTAAAAGAGTGGCTGCACTAAATTCGATTGTTACAATTTGTCTGTGTAAAAGAGTGGCTACACTAAATTCGATTGTTACAATTTGTCTGTGTAAAAAAGTGGCTACACTATATTCGATTGTTACAATTTGTCTGTGTAAAAGAGTGGCTACACTATATTCGATTGTTACAATTTGTCTGTGTAAAAGAGTGGCTACACTATATTCGATTGTTACAATTTGTCTGTGTAAAAGAGTGGCTACACTAAATTCGATTGTTACAATTTGTCTGTGTAAAAGAGTGGCTACACTATATTCGATTGTTACAATTTGTCTGTGTAAAAGAGTGGCTACACTAAATTCGATTGTTACAATTTGTCTGTGTAAAAGAGTGGCTACACTAAATTCGATTGTTACAATTTGTCTGTGTAAAAGAGTGGCTACACTAAATTCGATTGTTACAATTTGTCTGTGTAAAAAAGTGGCTACACTAAATTCGATTGTTACATCATCATTAACTTATTGCTGATTGGTCATTAATTGAGATTATTCAAAAAGAGGTCAGAGGAAACATCTATTGTAAAAGATATTATTATATTGATTTCATGAGTAATGAATATTTGTGAACTTATGGACTTTTATTTCAGTCTATGTCACATGGGCGTATTACTTCACTGAGTGTTTTGACTGCTCATTTTTGATTTAATTTTAATCAGTTCCAAGTTGGGAAAATTGTTTATATACCATCCAGTGGTATATAAAAAGTTACAATGAATCCTTCAACTAAAAAAATCAAGTTTTTGAAGAGTTCCACAATCAAACATTGTAAATGTCAACTAAACCCCGCAATTGACAATTTTGATTTTCATTATTATTTCAAATGTACTTGATACCGGTATTAAATGTTCAGTAAACTGTTGATTTTCCTTATAATTTCCCTTTATATATATCTGTCCTGTGGTGAAACATCTTTGATAATTTTGCTTTCTCACTGGAATTGTTCCTGTGTAAATTTATTGTTTCTGTGTTTGTCCAATCATAGCTTAGGATTATACTGTAGATTGTAATATTGGACAACTATTTCATGATCTAGATTCCAGGGATTCTAATGTGAAATGGTAAGTACTAAGTAGTTATTTATTTATTTTCAAACTTTTTAAGCCACCTGTTTGTCATTGCAGTAGTATTTATAGTGAGATTTCAAATTCCATTAGGATTAATCAATTCATGCTCAACAAAGTGAAAACACCTTATCGAGCAATGGAACTAGGAAGCATGTTATCTTGTGAAGGGAAAAGTAAAATACCACATTGTGGCCCCTCCAACTGCTCTGTGGTTATCTTGAGGGACTACGGGCACCAGGTGAGAACCGCTGCGCTTGGCCACCAAATGAAGAAGTAGTGCCATATTCCTTACATTATCTCAAACATCTTTGTTTTATTCATTTCAGGATGTTTTTCTGACAATTCGTCGGCAGAAGACTACGATCTTCACTGATGCCAAGGAGTCAACTACAGTATTAGAGTTGAAGAAAATTATCGGGGGGATCTTGAAGGTTTCACCGGAAGATCAAATGTTATACAAAGAAGATCAAGTAAGAAATTACCACTTTTAAAACGAACTGTTTTGTTAGTTTGATACAAAAGAGAACCTGATTTTGAATCCCAAACCAATCCCTGCATTGGCCCATTGAAGTGTTTCTCATCGTGTATCCTTCGCTCTGACTCAATAGCAACACCGCGGGTCCCGTTACTACTAACTCACTAATTATATGATATAATTCATCCAAAATCGATAGGCTTCTGGTCCGAGATATGATGAATGCACATGCAAAATTTGGAGCAGATTCAACCTCGCTTTCGTGAGATATCGCGTAACATACGAAAGTGTCTAACAGACAAATACCTATCTCCTGTTTATTGTATTTTTTCACAGCAATTGGATGATAACAAAAGCTTAGCAGACAGCGGATTTACCTCACAAACAGCTAAAGCCCAAACTCCTGGAATACTTGGACTTGCAGTAAGAGAGGGTGGTAAGTATGATTCTATCAATTTATCCTTGTCAGCAGTGTTCCCTCTAAAGTGTGCGCGTGTGCGCGCGCACACAGCTTTCAGAGGCTGCGCACACGCATAGATTTACTGCGCACAGACGTATTTCGATGTAATGTAATAATGTTCTCGGTTGGCAGGTTGAGAAAGTTTGTTGTTGGCCCACTCATTACCCGGTTAGAACGCCAAAATTTCTTCATTGGTTTTTGCACAATTATTAGTCATTTCCAAAAAAGTGCGCACACACCAAAATTTCTGCGCACACATACTACAAAAAATTAGAGGGAACATTGCTTGTCAGAATCCCATAGTTTCCTAAACTTTTTGGACCGTGTGGACCCCTGTTTGTGAATCCTATTCTTGATGGACCCCCATCCTATGTCGTATCAATTTTTATGTCTAATCGACGGAAAGGATAATGTTTCCTTTGGTGATATGAAAGTCTAAATCAATACATACTAACGTTGAATACTGGCAGGCTAACTAAAGGCAGTTAGATAAGATCCCATCTGTATATGTTGCGGACCCCCAGTGGAGAAACTCTGCTCTAACCAATAACCAACCAGTGAGACTTACTTGATTCGAGGACCCAAGATCACATTATATTTCCTAATAGCCAATATACAAGTTGAAAGAATCGGAATTTCAAAAATATAACTGGTTTATTCCAAAATAATAGGCACAAATAAATACTTAAAAAACGATCATGTTTCCTATGTTTCACAGATGCATTTGAAAATTTAACAATCGAACCGTACTCTTCACCTCCTGAACTTCCAGATGTAATGAAGACGCACGATGGAATTGCAGACCAGAAAAAATAATTAGTATCTCGTTTGCATTTTGTAGTTAATCCGTGCAGATGTTTATGTCACCCAGGTTGTCCGCCATTTCTCCAACAATGTGTATTATTTTTGTTGCTAAATTTTTTATGAGAACGATTGAATTAAATATAATCATCCACCGTGGTGGATTGTCATAGATGTCAAAGATTTTGTCTCCAGGATGGAACAGCCCTGAAATAAATGTGTGTAGTCGTCAGGTATAAGCTTGAAAGTTTCATTGCGTGCCAACATGGAATGAACCAATTTTGTTTGCCCGCTTCACATCAAGTTGTATTATTTGTATATAAAACAAATGTGTGTAGTCGTCACTTTTTATAAGCTTGAAAGTTTCGTTGCGTTTCATTGCCCACTTCACATCGAGTTGGCTAACACAGACAGTCCCTGAACTCGTAATAGAACTAAAATAAGGTGAATCCGAATAAAATTATGGCCTAGCCCGTGGATTTCACTCAATTTTACCTGTGGGGCATTCTCGCAACACCATTATTTGTTGCTATCGTCTCGGACTGTGCATTGGTCCTATTTACCCAACCTTCTGTCATTCTGTATAGTCTTGTCGGATCTCTTTCTACTTCAACCTGGGTAGACAAAAATGGAATATTCGTGTTATTTGGAGCAGTTCATTCAGTGGCAACACTAGAAGAGTACCGGTACCTTCAATTTGGTCTTTTCTAGTTTCTTCTTTTTCATCTCTTCTAATCCATCTCTCTTCATCTGTTCCGTCTGTTTCAACTTCAGGGCAACACGGTCCTTTATATAAATATTACTGGTATTAACATTGTCAAGAACAATGAGACACCTGATATTGATCGGAAGAGCGAAAAAAAATTGCAACTACATTCAGATACATTTAAATTACCAATAAGCTCTTGTAATATTCAGGTTCAATACTGCAGTTTGTCACAGGTGTAAATAAGCAAATTAGTAGGTCTAGGTCCCATCGTTTATGCATTTTTGTCACAGTATCTACACTATGTACACTCTACCCCGAATAATTATTTAAACCAGCTTAAGAAAATTTACATCTTGTGTTATCAATGTCTATATATTTATTGCTTGCAGATAAAGTAAATGAAATACGGTCATGGTTGCTAAATTCAGTGTTCATAAGTTGTTTGATTTTTCTCCTATTATTTGTAAAAGATAATGCTTGGTGCTGCCAAGGCATATCACAAATCTCACTCTGCTTTGGAAAGAAGAAATTTTTTGTCGAACTTCTTGCTGCCTCTCAATTTCTCGTTGTTCTGCTTCAAATTCTTCCATCCAGCGCAAACGTTCGTTGTTTTCTTTTTTCTGTCTCAAAGCTTCAATGGCAGGTTTCATTGCTTCTTCCTATGAGAATGAGATGAAAGTTTAACATGACAAACAGAATTGATTCTGTAATTAGCAAGAGCAAAGAATTATTCAAATAGAAAAAGCAAGAGTTTGCTCACTCAAGAGAGGAACATTGTGCACATTCAAACACTTACAGGAGTCTAGGAATAAGACATTCAGCCAAGCTTGGGTTTAATTTATAAGTCAAATCAACGGCGCTCCAGAAGTGTGTGTACCGATATGGAGGTAACTGATTTTGTTCGCATACTTTACATCAAGTTAAACCTATGTGCAGGGCGTATATTCACTTGACTAACACAGGCAGACCCCGAACTCGTAATAGAACTAAAATAAGGGAAAACGGAATAAAATTATGACCTATACTTGACCTGGTACACACGTTACGGGAGTACCCGATCAACAGACCTAAGAAAACATTTTGTATTGGCATGACTGCTATAGCAATTACTGAATATTTCGTGCAAATCTCATATCTGGCAACAATATTACATTACAAGACATACCTTGTCCTTTCTTTTTTTCCTTTCAGCAGCTTCTCTATGTTTTTCTTCCTCCATTTTTCTCTCTTCTTCTTGTCGCTGTTTCTCCAATTTTTGAGTCTTTAATATAATACACATACAAAGTTATCGATAATGACATGTAATTAAATTGAATGATAAGGGATGTTTTCCCAAACATAGATTTCCTTGTTCTTTTCCGCAACAATAACCAATAAGTCAACATTGACATAACAATTGCAATTCTTTTGTTCAGACAGATATTCAAGCATGGTTGTAAACATTGCCATGTTTTTGTGGTTAAAATTAGTTGTAAATCAAATCACCTGATTGTCATTTTGTCTTTTAAGAAGTTTTAGGTTAGTTTTAATATTCAAAAATTACCAGTTTCTAAACAGAAACGCTCCCAAAATAGACGGAAAATTTTTTGCAATAGTAAAGTATGGAGAGAAGTTTTCTGGGGCCAAGGGTCGGGGAATCATCCATTACTTCATATAAATTTTTTTAAAAACATGCGAGCACAAAGAGAATAGAAATGAAAGCTGATAAGTCAGAAAATGTTAGATCTGGTAAAAGTTTGTTTCATAGCTTGATCGTGAAAGCCATGACTGAACGGAGTCCGGCAATCCTCTCATGAATATCCCCCATGTGACTCAAACCGGAGAGACTGATAGTGTGATGGAAAGAATGCCAACATCTTTTTAACTTGACCTCCATTCAAGTTAAAAGTTACCTTCCAAATCTTCAATTGTTCCTTCTTGATTTCTCTTTCATGCTGAAGTCTTTTTCTAATTTCCTTTTCTTCTTTTTCTCTCAATTCTTGTAGCTCTTCATCGTCTTTAGCAGGATCTGTTCTACAATTTTCTTTTTCTTCCTTGAATGAATTAAATGAAATTTGCATCGACTAATCAATACTCTTGGGACATGGCCATACCCTAACTATCTTGTTATCTCAGTTCAAAATCTTGTGCCCACCACCTCACCCAGAGTGTAACAAATCAGGTAGGTAATTTTAGTCCTAAAAATAGCAGCTACTTACGCATTGTTAGATAGATACAGGGGCATGTTGTACAGATCCTTGTTTGAAAGGAGCGTAATACAAAAATAAAAAATTTGAGAAATTCTCAGAATCATTTAACCGTTGCTAAAGTGAAAAGTCAGATAGGATAGCATACCCATATTTATTCCGGAGGAGAGAAAAGCCGATAACACAGCTTAATCATATGGCGAACCATGGCCTCTTGTGCGGTTACCAGTCCAGGTCGGGTATGGGATTAGTTAGTCAGTTATTTGTTTTCGGAAGCATAGACTTGATGGTGGAGGAAGCCGTAACCGACCAGTGGTTACGTGAACCACCCTACGGCAGTGAGGAGTCCAGCAATTCTCTCGCACTAGATCATCCCCATATATTATTCAAACCCACGCAGGGTAATCAGAGATGCGGTGGCTAGCCTATTTCTAACGCTTAGCACGATGATCCACACCGTCTAGCCGAGCGTATACTTATATTATCTTCATTCTTGATACTAACCTTATTTCTACGCCAAACTTCAATTGCCTCTTTCTTTCTTCTTTTGAGCTCAATGAAGTGTGTAAACCACTTTTCATGATCTTCCACGTCCTTCTGTGAGCGACCAGGAATTTGTCTTGCTGCAGCTGGTATGAAACTACGATTCGCCTGAATATAACATGAAGTTCAGAATAGAAGTTGGAAATTTTACTTTGTTTTATCCTCATGCGCATGACAATGGACAATTTAGCTGCAAGTGTGAAGAGTCCAGTTATATTCTTGTGCATTTAAGGATAGGATTTTCATATTTATCTTGGTCAAGAGGAAAGGCGATAATAAAGCTTAATCATCATAAAACAAATCACAACTTCTTGTCTAATTATCAAGGAACCTCAATATGAAAAACTATGAATAAAAACAGTTTACTTACATCAGCTAGGCTAGCGTTTATGTAATAATAAAAAGCACAATGTAATAATCAGGGTCATTATGATTTTCAACGGAACTTTATATCCATGAAAACTATAGTCGTAATTTCAGCATACACAAGTGGGCCAGATGAAATCCCCCGGTGGCCGGATCCGGCACATAGTCCATTATTTGCCCACCCCTGGTTTATCAGTACATGTTGGGTATGGGACAAAAATTCAAATCTGTGTAGCCACGAACGGTAATCAGAGTAGCAATGACAAGAGTATTTCTAACGGTTCGCGTGTGCCAACACTCGAGCCTTTTATTCCCCATAAGACACAACAATCGAACCCGTGAACTTTACGCAGTGCAATCAGTGCGGTGGGAAGTTTGTTTCAATACAGCACTAATCTACAAAAACAGGATTAAGTATGCAATCTTAATATCAGTAGGAAACATCTTCATACCTTAAATTTATCTCGGATTCGAAGAAAAGCACCATGATCATAATCATCCCAACCTCCTTGCAAACCTCCATTTTGTGCAACATAAACCTGAATTTAAAACCTTGTACATTTCGAAGAGGCATCACAATATAGGGACTAAAAGACATATCATGGATAAATGATTAATAGCTTTAGCTGATCATTTTAGAATCTTTCACTTTCCACAGCTACTGCCAGCTACTGTAAGAATTACAACACGACTCCAGACTTTATGCCATTTAAGTTATCATTGAGAAAGTCTTTTGACTTTATCACTCAATGATGTGAAATTTGGTGTGTAAAAGCTGTTTTATATTGTTTGTTAAGAAAGTTTATTTAAACTTTTGGAATTCAAAATTATGAAATTTGAACCAGGAAGAATCTGAAAACATGCCTGGAAGTTGTGAAACATTTTCGTTGGCCGTTGTAATTGGAAATACTCGAACGTCCAAATATAGATAGCATTTGTTTTTCACAACTTCTGCATCATGTGAAAATTGATACAAACCTCAAAATCATGAATTTCCTTTGGCAAATTACTCATTTGCTGTTTAACTGCTTGTTTGATTGATTTTGCAGATGTATGAGCCTTTGTGTCTTTCATGGCTTCAATTTTACCTTCTAATATCATGAGCTCTTGTTCAGTTTCTTTCTCAGCGATCATCAAAGTTTCAAATCTGTAATGCCACATATGAATTGGATGGTTATAAAACTACAGCTAGCATGCCAAATTCGGCTCGATGGGTAATTCAATCTAGCCCGTCTGATGCTGCCACAACTAAACTAAAACCAAATTTTGATGTTTAAGCTGAAAAATTGTTTCGACCAGAGATTCATTGTTTTCAACTTTTATGTTTGTAACACTGTAAATATTGTTTATAAAATGTAACTTTTATGTTACACTTCCATGTCCCGCCAGGGTAGGTAGGCAAAATTTTTGGCCCCTGGCTCAAACACCTTGCCCACCCTTGTTATAGAGGGTTGTGAACATGTGGATTTCTCGTACATAACAACTAGAGTGAATGTAGAAAGTAGTTACGCAGATTGCTATGTTCATCAGAACAAACCTGCTAACCACAGGGTCACTCAAACCCTTAAAAAATTGAACAAAGTACGTAAACACAGTTTTTATGCATAGTCAGGGAGAAATATATCAAAAAAAAAGGTGGGAACCACTGCTTTCTACACAATTTGTTGTGAGGCCGATTAAGTATAATCGCAGATAAAATGACAATTGAGTTCGTGATCGTTGATATCCTTACTAAATTAAGTTCAAAATGAGCATACGTTTCTCTTTGTTTTTGTTTGAAGAAACCAATAGTAGATTCAATATCCTCCATTGTTGTTTTTAGTCTTGCAACAACTATAAAACAAATATTGATTCAATTTTAATGAAATGACAAGTATTTCACTGTCAAGCATAACTGATGAGGAACGTGGACTATAAACTATTCTCCCTTTTGGAATATGATAGGAAAAAGAGTCCTAATTGAAATTTTTTCGATGCCACGACTGTAGTGTATTTTAATTTTAGATCTGTATAAAGACAATGGTTGTGCCATCTCAATGATTTTAGTCGGGGTTAGGAACTGAAATCTACGAGTATGTCTCTATGCGGTTGAGATCATATGAAGCAAGTGAGACCGCATACCGAAATGGCACGCAATAATTTCTTATGCAGAAGCATTATCAAGCCGTCTTTATTAATTAGGGTTTGATCTAATTACTGAATTTTATTCTATTAACTTGATTGATGTTCAATTATTATTACATTTCTTATATTCAGCAGTTTGCCAAACTGTATTTTGATTCAACTCATTAAGAAGTCAAGTGCTAGTTGTGGTTCAATCAATTTGGTGTTATGATATATCTAAGCAAATTGTTAGTACTTTCAAATCATTTCATTCTTACATTCTGGTGTGGCTTTAACCTGCTTCAATTCTCTTTGGAACCCATCGACTTTTTCTTTCATTTTTTTCAATTGTTGTTCTAGTTTGATTCCTGTCAAAAGGGTACTAGGTTAAGGAGAATGTTACAATATGTTTTGTGTTTATAAACTACCCTGCTCATATTATCTGGAACTGGGAATGGATAAAAGAGTATGTAACACTCACATATTTGATCCAAAAATTAAAAAACAAATGTGTACTAGAAAAAAAAATAATTTCGCTTTTCATTGTTTGAGATTTTACTCAAAATTCTCGCTTCGAACACAGTGCTTTTTGTACGCCTTCCAATCCAAACAAGGCTTTGCACAACTAGCTACGGCTATGTATGTAGCTAGCTTCTTCAAAGGATAGGAATCTGTCTGGTTCATCATTGCCTACCCAATTTATTACACGCGGGACAAAGTGAAGGGCAGGGATTCGAACCAAAATTTCTAATCAGCGAACCAACATAACTAGGTCCAATGCTTCAACCACTGGACACCCCTACAAAATTTCTTTGAGAAATTTCTATAAAATCTTACTTTCAGATGATAATTCATGACTCAGGGACTTTTCAACATCTTGGAAATGCTTGTATGATTCACCACGCTTATCATATATAAATCCTGCTCTTTCCTTTTCAACGATATTTTTTCTGAAAAATAACACCTCTTCGTTAAGATTGGTATGTTTGAATTTTTGACAAGTTCTATCCCATTTCCACAAATGATTTTGGTTGAAATGATTATCCATACACACTCATTAAATGGATAACATATAAAGACCATGCTTCCGAAAACAAATTACTGGCTGACAAATCCATACCCGACATGGAACTTGAAACCGGACGAGAGAGATGTGGTTCGCGATATGAGTAAGCCGTCTAATCGACTTTCCTCTCCCCTGTAATTCCTATCCTATATTTTTGTAGCACAACCTTGGCTTGAAATGTTCTTTTCAGTCAACAATGATATGTCTTTGTGAAAAAATTAGACATTTGTCAAGAATTTTCTTCTATCATGAATATATAAGAGATCTCAATGTAATCACAAACTGCATAATCAAGGTTTTATTTAGTGTATGCACCACCCATAGTGTGTAATTGATGTTAATAATATGCATGAATAAAAATATTTCTAATTTTTCTATGAAATGCATGCATGGCTTTTTTACTCCAAATCTATGTTTGCATGTGAATGGAGTCTGTTTTATTTTCATGTTTTTGATAATTTTCTTACAGGTCGGAGGTTTGTGTCTTTTATGTGTGTTTGGGCCAATTTCACTTCTGTATGGATTACTAAATTCTAGTAATTACTGGAAAAAAAGTCATTGGGTCTCATGAACAGTGATAGGCAGATGTCCCTAAAGTAACGTCCAGTCATTGGCCATTAGTCCATATCTAGTCAGGGTCATCCCATTCAGATAGCTCAAGCTTCCCGATGCTGCAAGCATATTCAGTCTTATTTCAATGTTTAAAAAATCCTGTACGAAAAATTAAGATGCTTATCCAGGAGTATGTTAAAATCATGAGAATATATTTCAACACTGAATGAACTATTTGAACCAAAACAAATTGACTGTTTCGACCCTACTGATGTGATGTGCCACCAATAGAGTTGTATTTGACTATAGCAAAATCTAGGGATCGAGCCATACCATTTTGTAGCTGGAGCCAATGGAGCTTGAGCTGCCAGAAATTTTAGTGGTTCCAGCTCCTAACCATCCCATCATTTTTAATACTTATAATCTTGTAATCCTCGTTTATTAGATTTGTGTCCCACTTCAGCAAAACTGCCTTTGGGCTGATATTTCATGACAGCGGTCATGCAGATAAAACCCAAATTATAATGGAGCTTTAGCCCTAATAAAAACACTGCCTGACATTTGATTGCCGCATTGTATAAATGTTTTTTTTTGGATTTAAAGGTGCAGTATCAAGTTGTTCAAGACTTTTAAACCGCCAAACAAAATAAATAGCATTTAAAAATTATGTGTATGTATTAGATAAGTACTTTTGTCAGTTTATTTTTAGTGATATTTTATTCTGTGAAGTTGATCTTTGGAATTAGTGGAACAATGGAAAGTTACTGAGAGAAGTCTTGTTTAATAGTGAATTCATTGAAAATATAACAGTTATGGAAATTTCGCATTCGAGATTCATAGATTGTATTGAATAAACTGCATTGGATACAAATCAACCCCGATATCAAAGATGTCCAAAACAACTCGACATTCAATTCAAATATATTCGATGGTTTGAATCTAGGAATAATATATACATTTGAATGGTTTCTATTTTGGGTACTCCTGTAGTGCATGTACCAGGTTAGGCCATAATTTTATTCCGATTTTTCTTATTTTAGTTCTATTAACCAATCAGATGAATGTCTATATTATTAACCTTTTTGGATTTCTGATTTCAAAATCTTTTTTTTTTTCGTCGAAGTGACCCAATTTAGAATACATTTGAAATAATAAATTGATTAGTTTCATTAGTCAACCCTGCCTGACACTTACTGAAATTTTATTTGTTCCAACTCTCGTAAGAACTTCTGTTTCTTTGTCTTTTCATTCAGCCTTCCACATTCATCTGTGCCTTTCATATCTTCCATTTCACACAACAAAGAACTCACTCATTTATCTCAGGTAAATAATACTCTGTTCAAAGTAACCACTCGATATATTTCACAGAATATTTTTTTAACTTTTAGATTGAAACAACTATTGAATATTCAAGTTGATAATCCTAAAACCTTAAAACCAAAAATTTGAACATTTTCAGAAACTGTGGCCATACAAAAACATGCTATGAGAGACGCAGTTAGATTACTGCAAAGAGCAAGAATACAAGAACAGCTACTCAAAATACCATGCAATTTTTTTAGGTTGATTTATAATTTCAATAATAAATGTAAATAAATCCTGAAATGTTGGCAACATATCCAGCATATTCAATTTTCTGGAGCAATAGTCCAATCACAAATGCTGAATTGCCAATGAGATTTAAACCAATTACATCAAGTTAACTAATACACGAATTGAATGCAAAATTTTCCAGCAATTAGAACAGCTTAAACTTATAAATGGCAGAATGAGAACAATATAGACCTCCACCCTTCGGATGTTACGAATAAAAAAGCACAGAATTTATCTTCTCCAAAATTATAGACAGTGTGAACAGAAAGAAAACGAGTGGATTATAAATTTGAAAACAACAGAGACAAACTGAACGGTAAATAACTACAACCATTATGATTACAGCACACAAGACCATTCCCTCTCAACAACTCATCATCCGGCATATTGTGTTATAAGAGAAGAAAATATGTTTTATATTTCAGCTGATAATAGTTTTTGGTGACCGCCTGTTCAACCAAAATCAGAATGTTTATTGCTTGAAGGGTGTGTGTCTGAATCTAGATAGTTAATCGTCTTGAACATCGACTTCCTCGTCATCACACTTTTCATCATCTTTATTCGATTCAGCATCAGATGTCCACAGAGTCAAGTTATCACGAAGCAGCTGCATAATTAGAGTCGAATCCTTGTACGAATCTTCATTCAAAGTATCCAGTTTTGCTATTGCGTCGTCAAATGCTTTCTTAGCAAGTTGACAAGCCACTTCACTTTGCTTTTTAATCTCATAATGGAAGACTGAAAAGTTTAGAGCAAGGCCAAGACGAATTGGATGAGTAGGTTCCAGATTATCTGATGCATCTGTGGCTTTTTGATATGCGTCTAAGCTTGCTGTAGCCGCCTTGTCTCTCTCATCACCATCCAAAAATTCAGCCAAATACCGATGATAATCACCTTTCATCTTGTAGTAAAACACTATTGACTCATTTTTTTCTGCATTTTTGATCAGGTGATCGTCTAAAGCTTTCAGAATCTGCTTACAAATATCTTGAAGCTCAGTTTCAACGGTTTTTCGATATTCTGTTGCCATGGCATATTTTCCACTTGCTTCTTCATTGCCTTGACCGGCCGATTCATTTTTCATTTGAATACTGCTTATGATTCTCCATGACGCTCGGCGGGCCCCTATGACATTTTTGTATGCCACAGAGAGAAGGTTGCGTTCTTCAACAGATAATTCTGTGTTCAATTTTACGACTTCTGTCATGGCCTTAACCATATCATCATACCTCTCAGCTTGTTCGGCAAGTTTTGCCTGGTACACGTAGCTAGCTCTGGATGAATCTCCCATGATCAATAATTAGTGTTCAGAATTCGGTAAAAACTGTATTTGAAAAGCCGAGCTAAATGTCCAAATTTACGTCTATGATTTCATCAGTTCAAAGAAACCACAAACAATGATGACCGGATTGTACGTCAGATAGCAAAACAGCAACCAAAAACGTTTTTATTTTGAGTAAGGTAATAGTATACAACATCACATAAAGAAAAAAAATTAGAAAACATTAAAAATTATGAAGGTATTTCTAAGTTTTTTCGACCAATTACCATTGGAAAAACTTTCATCAGACCAGTTGCATGGTTCCTAAATCCCAAGCAAATACAGATATAATTAAAATGGTCAAACTCATAATGTAACATTCAAAATTCAGTCTAAAATAAGATTGAAAAATATCCATCACTCACTTTTGCAAAAGAAAGCTCTTGCGATAACCAACACTAAAAAAAGATATTGAGGCTTCAAACCAAAAAAATAAAACTTAAAAAAAAAAGTCTCAGAAAAATGACAAAAGATTATTTTTTTCGAGCTCTCCAACATTCTATTGAGATACTTTGGTGAATATCGAATTAAAACTTTGATTAGATAACCTGTTAAAAAGGCATTTTTTTCGTTGTAATTTTTTCAAATAAAATTTCTACATTCACCCTTTTGTCTTGAAACCATCCCAATAATATCGTTTCTTGGAAATTTTATACATTGCAAGTTTTCTTCCAATACCAGTGAGACCTAATTTAGTAACCATGTCATGACCATTCCCACAACACCAAATAAGGAAAAATTAGATTCACTCATTATGTCTATTTCAGAGAAAAATAATTAAAATGATATTGTTAAACATTATACGAAAAAATGGTTGTTTCGATTGAAGAAATCTACTTTCCAGGAATCAATGGGATTATTTTTAATTGGGAATTATAATATATGTTAATAACATTGCTTATTGAACACAATTCTCTTATTTTTAGTGTTATGGTGAAATCATTAATTGCGCTAGTTATGCCTCTTCGCAAAATTTAATACCCTGGACTTGCTTGATATATTACTTAATATGACCAAATTTGTTTCACTCCTTCGCTATTGGTAGTTTTCAGTGTTCGAAAATTTTGCATTGTGCCCAGTTCAGTATATCATTATTTACTATTTTTATTACTAAATTAGTTAATTTGTGTGTGAATCCTGATATTTATTATAAGCTTATTGATTTCTTCTCGATTATTGATTGTTTTCATTGACGTTTCTATTGCTAGTGAAGGTAGATAAATAACACCATTTCAAATGAATCCCACACAATCTAGGTCACGAAATATAATTATTCGATAAAGATGAAGCGAGAAGCTACGACTTCCATAATTGTATCCGGCAGCGGTCAACATGTATAAAAACTACTTATATCTGTATATGGTCAATCTTTAATGGGTCCTTAGCTAAGCACAAGTAGAACTCTTTAAGTATTTTATGTGAGCATAAATTAGCATTATAATAATTATATAAAGAATATTAGTGCCGGTAATTGTAATATAGCAAATACAAAATTCAACCATGGTTGGGAAACGTTGGTTTATGATATCAAGTTTGGTTATGAAGTGCCGTCATCGGAATCAGAGATATCCAAAACTTGTCGAATATCCATTACTAGTTTTGTTAAATATTCGATATGGTGATTTCTACACAAATATTATTATTATTACATTATTGGAAAATTTGTGGGGTTCCAAGATAAATATCTGATGACATCAACTTGTGGACACAGAGAATCCGAAATAAATCTCACATATTTTTCATTATATTAAATAATTTTACATTTCTATAATTTCCTTGTTGAACATGAACCAATTTAAAATATATATCCTACATACAACTTTTTGAAAATACTTTTAACAATACAAGTGACAAATTAGTGCTAAATTATTCGATCTCAGCTATCAGGCTCCACCTAAATTCCAAATATATTTTAAATTTCAGTGGCGTAGCTATAAGAATCATTTTTTGTGTAAATATGAAATGAGCTTAAAATTGCTACACATTTTAAGTTCCGATCAGATCATTCAAAATATGTTGAGGAGACAGAAAACGTGGGGTAACTAGTACAAATTTACATACTGTAGTACACAGACAAATTCCAATAAATCTAATATAATTATAAGAGTCTTTTAATTCTAATTTCATTAATTAGGCTACTTAGTTAGCATTCAAGAATTACACTAATAATAGAATATACCTAAACATATACGGCACACGCTACACATAAATTTCAGAATTTTGAGTTATCAAGTCAACAATTTTAACGTCAGAAAGTTCAGATATCTAGAAATTGGTAATGAAATACAGACACGGGCTAACGGTAGAATTATAATGAGACATTATAAACAAAAATTTTGCCGTTATTGAATATCTCGTGTTATTTTAGAAGTACTGTACCATAATATACACGAACAATCTGATTGAATCAACTCGATACACGCACGCTGACCAGCAAACCAGTTGTTGAAAGTCGCCAAGGAACACCAGCTCCAAAAAACCACGCAACGCCCAACAACATAAACTGGCGCGATAAAGGACGAAACTACGCGAAACTTCGCCGTTGCATTGCATTGAGAGGAGTCGACTTTCCGGATTCTAATTTCGTACTTTACCAGACATCGGTTCAAAAGTTTTTTTTCCAATTGAATATACTATGCACAGAATCCCAAAAATCACTTCCGTATTATTTTAGAGGTTTATTTTTATATTAGAGGTCTTAATCCCCCATAGACTAAATATATAATTCTATTCTATCGGCCAATTCTATCCTATCGTAGTAGTATATATTTACGATCCTATCGCCTTTTTTCCCTGGAATGAGAAAGAGCGCGAGATTTATTGCCACAAAAACAAAGTCAACACTTTTTTAAACATAATTAAATGAAGAAAAATATTTTAAAAGTAATAACAGTGTTTGACTGAGTACGAAAAACCCAGTCCTTTTTCGGTTTTGGTTGCTTTTCGCGCATGCTAATAGCATACCTTTATTTTATTAGCAATGTATATCTTATGCATATAAGCGTAAGTCAAGTTAAGTTGAGTTTCTTTTTCTTACCAGTAAAAAACAATCGTATACAATAAAGAAAACTATATATAGTCATACAATTTTACTGGGGAAGGGAAGTAGCTGGTTATCGAGCAGCGACACCCAAGATAGGATAGGATTAACATATTTATCCCGGGGGAGAGGAAAGCCGATAACACGGCTTAATCATATGGCGAACCACGGCTTCCCGTTCAGTTACCAGTCCAGGTCGGGTATGGGATTAGTTAGACAGTTATTTGTTTTCGGAAGCATGGACTTGGTGGTGGAGGAAGCCGTAACCGACCAGCGGTCACATGAACCACGAAAGGTAATCAGGGATGTGGTGGCGCGCGTATTCCTAACGCCTAGCACGATGCGCCACACCGCCGAGCCCTCTAACATCTAATTAAAAAGATAGGGAATTTTATTTACGGGACGACCGTCATAGTCGGTGAGTTCCTCATGATTTTGACAAATACTACAGTATAATTGAATATATTACTAGAGATTCTGTTCAAACGTAAATAAAATTCAATTGATACGATTTTGTTATCTCTAAAGCCACTTTTGTCATGTTGGATAAGTGGTAACTTCTTTATGATTTACCGATTGTGTAGAGGAAATTTTAGATACTTGATAATAGTTTGTGATCGTCAACAATAACTTATAATTTTCACTTGATTCTTCGAATTATATTCGGAAGTCTGGAATACAGAATCGGGATGCAGTACTGGTAATATAAAAGTTCGACTTGAGCCCCTGACTCCGGAATAATATTTAAAAGTCAAGTCCATGCAATGTAAAGAGAAAATCCTATCCTAATAATAGACTGACTAATTACATACTTTACATGGACTGTGGTACAAGCAACCATAATATTAAAATTCCTGCCTTATCCCAAATATGGAGTGAAGATTCCCGGGTAGTGTAAAATTTCGACTCCTGCTGTATAGCTCAAACATTGCTGCATTGACTTTGATTGGATTCATTCAATGCAATTGCACTAGTCAGCTAGTTGAGGACTCGTTTTCTTGCTGTACGGGTTATTTTTTGACGATTATTCGCTTATTGAGTAAACAACAAAAAGAATTTATAATGAGTAGTTCTTTGAAAAGGGCACTAGTCTTGCTTGCGAATGGCGCAGAAGAGATGGAGGCTGTTATTTCCATTGATGTGATGCGTCGAGCAGAGGTTCGTAAAAATTCAGCATTGTTTCCCTTTTTTTTATACAACCTGGCTCTATTTCACTAGTTTAGAAACGCTAGGATTCAAGTAAATTATGATATACAACAAGTTTTAAGCTATTTTATAAACTATACCGGTACCGTATTAAAGCAAAATTGAAATAATTTATAACGACAGAACTTACTGATTTAACAAACAAGTTTTTATGACCAAATAATATTCATCAATGACATTAAAATAAATACCAATAAGCGGTATTGACAAATAATTATTTCATACACATCTATACTCCCAATTTTTTATATGCAGATTGAAGTGACTGTTGCTGGCGTTGACGCATCAGATAAAATTATGTGTAGTCGAGGGGTTTGCATAATTCCAGATGTTGATCTCCAAACAGCCATAGAGGCCGCCCCGTATGACGCAGTTGTAATGCCTGGTGGTTTAAAGGGTGCGACCACACTCGCAGAGGTAGCTGGTTGCTTAAAATTGTTTTGAATTTTTAATATTCTATGTAGGGCAATCGCTTAAATACAAAAATATCGAGACAATATTGTAAAATCTTATATATTTGACTTACCTACTATAGATATTTATTAGAAAATATTGTTCGCTGACTAAATTTAGTAGATATTTCAATAATTCTTGGGTCTTGAGGTATAGATGCTACAGTATAGCATGATCACTCAAAAGGTTTTCCTGACTCATAAATTTGTTTTTGTACAGTCAGATGGCGTAAAGAAGCTTCTGGAGATGCAGATTCAACATACAAACTTAATTGGTGCAATATGTGCTGCTCCTATAGCTCTCAAATCTCATAACATAAAACCAGGAAGCAATATCACATCTCATCCATCCTTGAAGGATAAATTAGAAGGTTTGTTCTCGCAAAAATAGTTATAATTTCACGCAGTATCCACTCTTGGGGTGGCAATTGGATTTTGTTAACGCGCACTTCTACGCTATAATTTACAGTCCCAGTAGTTTATGGCTTTTTAGTGCTTGCCCGCCCTTGACTTTGCTCAGAGATCAATATTCTATACTGAGAGAGTGCGTGCTAGATTTGTGAGAAATCATATTTATGTATATTAGTTCATCTGTTACATAGCTTTCGGACTAACATCATTTCTAACTGTATTTCAGGGTACATCTATTCTGAGGCAAGGGTTGTCAAGGACAACAAACTGATCACAAGTCGTGGTCCAGGAACATCATTTGAATTTGCTTTAGAGCTAGTTGAAATGTTGAAGGGAAAGGAAGTTCGAGACAAGATTTCCGGACCGATGGTTTTGGCATAATTTGCCCACTGGCTATTTATATTATTCACTCTTGAATAACAGTGTGTAGTGTAATATCAAACATCAGCTTCGCCCAGTTATGCTTGTCTTATTTATTTACTGATTTTAATAGTTGTCTTTAATTCACGCAATTCAATTGCCCAAAATGTGGAAGATTATTAAATAATATCATGTTTACATACTAGCAGTATCAAATTATACATGATACTCATTAATTGTGTGTGTGTGTCCTGGTGAATTCTTTATGCGAGTCACTCAACTGCATGGCAACCGGGTTTATGCCATTATTTCCACGACGCCTAAAATTGCTTTATCCTATAGAATCGTTTGTATATGCCAGTGATTCCCAACCGGTTATGGCTTGTGACCCCCTTCCAGAGGTCATGCATAAAAAAGTGAAAACACCCTGTGAAATGACTTCATTAAGCAATAAAACTAGGACGAACCGAGTTTTCTTGTGTAGTGAAAAGGAAAATCGGTTTCCCGCCTTGCATTGTGGACCGCTGTCCGCTGGTATACACAATATATATCTGTATAGTATGTATTCCTCATAGTTCACTCCTTTTACATCTGTGATCCTGGGATGTTTTGACAGAAATGCTTTTTTTGATTTCCAGAGTTATATCTTTAAAATAAATCAGGTTAAGTTCAAATGGATGACTTCTTAGCTTTTTGCAACAAGACTGCTGGTCGAGACAAATTATATAGGTAATTGATTGTTTTTTCTCAAGACTGTTTTAGATAAATGTGCAGAAATTGGGCTTTCTTGTAATTGAACACAAAATGTTTTATAGAGTCACGCAATATGGAAGCAAATTTCTTGTATGGTATCTACTGAGAAATGGCATTAAGGAAAATGCAGTCAACATGCTCATAGAGCTGGAAAAATTAATGAGCACGTCCAGAAAATGTGAGTTTATATTTTAATAATTCTGGCAACAGACACAGATCTCACATTACCAAAGCTCAATTAACTGAATAAAAAAAAAATATATACATTTTTTTCAGTATTTAGATTTGGGAAAAGTGTGGACAGTCTCAGAGCAGCCCAGAGAGCAATAAATTTGCAAAACTATGTTCTGAGTCTCACACTAACTACCTCTCATACAAATAAAGCAGCCTACCTTCTCATTGACCACTATATATGGATGGGGAAAGTTGGCTTGGTACACGCAGATCTGAAGAAGTGGACAGAGAGCGCGAACAAGTTTTGGTTGGCATCTTTGATGATGGCTTTTGCAAGGGATCTCTATTCGTTGTATATCAATATGCAACTATCGGCTAGAGATGCAAAAAGACGCGAAGAATCCATCTCAGTCCAGACCTACTTCTCCAATTTTGTGAAGCAGAATCAACAAGCAATAATTGACCTTTTGAAAAATGGATTCGATATAGTTATCCCCGCAAACAGTCTGGGATACACTAATTTCAATAATGGGGTCGTTGGGTTATGTGGCGTGTTGTCCTCTCTATTAGCTGCAGTACAAATAGCGAAACCCTCCATGAAATTAACGCCGAACTGACAAAGCACATGCTTGTTATTATCTATCTACCCCTACTAATTCTTACTTATACATACATACTATGCAATTATTTTCAATGAAGCGTTAATTTTGTATGATTGATCTGATATCAAAATAAAGCATTATATAACGAATGCTAATATAATTTTAGGTAATATTTATGGGTAAACATTAGCATCGGGGAAGATTGTTTTAGTCAAAGGAAACCAGTTTTGTCATTAAATTTCACAGCTGGCATGTTTTTAAGAAACTTCAAAATACATTTATGCAAATTTATTCCTACTCTCTTTCCCACATCTAGCATTTCGCTAATACTCTGTGGGTCCAGGCTACCAGAGCCGTCTTTACGCAGAGCTGTACAGCGGCCATCTTTCATAATTGATAAAATGACACTTGCCAAACAACATGCTTCCTCCTCGGCTGTGGCGTCGATAATATATCTCTGACCAGCTTTTGACAAAGTTACAAAAACTGGACAATTAGTCACATTCATGGGGATACTGTCCAATGGATCATCTGGCAAGTTAATTTCCACCTCCCCCTCATCACCTTCAGTCACTCCCAGTTTTGGGATGGATGTGTCAAACAAAGCAGCGAATACTGCGATCGACACTGCATCAAGAAGATTGCCGCCACATTCCAATATGAGAACGTCAACATGCACTGACCAGCAGTTTTTCCCAGGCACAATACATAAACTTTTGAGGTCTAACACAAGATTATTGTTATAGGCTCTTGTTAGTAAACTTTTTATGGTTGCGGCAAGATCTTCACCGCCCCTACCTTGGAACTGTGGTGTGGCATTTGGGGAGCAGTCAATGTTAAAGTCCACCAATCCTTGGTCAGGAGAATTTGCCAGTGGCATTTCGAGATCAAGTTTCACGCCGACAAGAAGTTCTGTATTCCCAATTCTCAGTCTGCTAGATCCATTCGTGTTAGAAACAAGATTTACTTCCAAATCAATGTGTCTGTAATCTTCACAACCTCGTCCATCATTCCGCAAATCCTCTTGTATTCCATGAATTATAAAGCGCTTTTCTGCATCACCGAGTATTGCAATTGCCATTCTTGCAGACTACAGTATAATGCGCCAATTCGACCTATTACAATAATAATTGAAACTAAGTTCACATAAAGCGCACGCTCATTTTGTTACAGAACTGCAGATTAGTAGAAAAATAAGTAGATACCGTCAATCAATCAATTTTATTTTGGTCGCTTTGGTATAAAACAAAACAACAAAAACAAAACGCAAAGGACCTGGAAGACGTGAATGAAAACAAGACCTACCGTAACGTCTGAACGTTATAACTTCTCAATATCGTGTTTTGCTGCTAGCTTCCCAGAGGTCTCCCAACCTTAGATTGTAAATAAAAAAATAATTCAAATACAAGAAATCCGCGTGCGTGACCTTTGATCCCGTAAAATTTCATGTCCATGTGCTGTGCCCAGAGTCATTATATAACGGCTCTGCTGTGTCCATGGATGTTTCCTTGTTTATTTTCGTAACCTTGTCCAATCAATATTATGTCTACGATGACGCAACAATGATAACTCATGCAGTCGCTGAGACAGGTATTCATACTGGTCAGTTTTCGCGCATTTGCGTGTTCTTTGTCAGTTTCCAGTTGTGTCTCCAAAAATTAGTCGTAATTCAAACCATTTAATTGTTATCATGTCTTCCTTCAGTTTAGTTGCAATAATCAGAAATTAGCCCCGAATAATTTGCGATAGACTACTAGACTCGACTCCGGTTTTCATCATTTGGCGTAAATAACCTGAATTCAAGAAAATAAAAGCTTTAAGACGGCTCAACCATATGGCGAAGCACCGCCTCTCGTCCGGATACGAGTACATGTCAGGTATGGAATAATGGTGGCCAGTTGTTTGTTTCAGACGCATTAAGCATATGTACAGATTTAATTCTATTTTCATCTCTTGTACATAACAAAGATTTGGAAACATCATTCTGACAAACAAAACCTGAAATTACAAAAACGAGACGACTGAAGGTATCCATTTGGTCCAGTGAAAAAATTAAGCGATTCAGCTAAAAAATTATCTTATACATTAACAGTGGACAAACCTATATATTGAAACACTTTGATGCTAAACATTATCTGTAACAATTCCCGATTCAGCAATATCGTGATAAATAAGTCTTAGACGTTTATAGATTTTATTACGTTGTGAGATGGATAGAATTTACATATTTATCCCGGGGGAGAGGAAATCCGATAAGACGGTTTAACCAAATAGCGAACCACGGCCTCTCTCTCTCGTTCAGTTATAGTTCCATGTCAGGTATGGTATTAATTAGGTATTTGTTTTCAAAAGCATGAACTTGATCATTGTCCCCCCCTCCCCCCATGCAGTGTAAATGAAGCATTTCCTACACTTAGCAACCTGTGCCCAAAACCAACCTCATATAATCACGACCAATGACAATAATTTAATCTCTTACAACAGACAAGAGGTTTGACAAGAGAAATAGGAAAATATATCACTAAAATTTTCTTATAAAAATGTGACAATTAGTAAGCGGGCATAATACTACATAGTACTTTTTCCACTTTAAAAAAGTGCACAAAATACTGTAAAGTTGTGTACAAATTTTTAAATAGCACTAAATTAAATTTCACAGTACAAGTGGCTTGACCAAGCAAGAATAAATTAAGACTTGCTTAGTTACAGTGAATAAAGTGTAACCATATGTCATGAATTACTTGACTGAATTTTATAATTTCTAATTCAGTAATAATTGTTCCTCTGGAATATCGCAAAATCACTAAACAGATTCATATTTCGTTTGCCAGTCTTTGTACTTGTGGCTCAGCTTAGCAGTTGATGGCTTAGTGTGAATAAGAACATCTAAAACACATGCTGTTGATATAGTGTCCAGAGTGAAATCTGGAAGTTGCTGTAAAAAAGTAGATACATTATGGATACAATGTAAACATAACCAATCTAGCTTATTAAATGCTCTCAAAAACGAGATTTTGTGGCGCTAGAGTGGAGGTTATCCAATCTTCAGCATATTACGGCATATTATATGGTGTTTCAGACTTATTAACAATGCATGATTTCATGACATCTGTGGACTTGAGGTATAAACTCAAACGAGAAAGTTGGGAGCATACATTGTTGTAGACAAAAACATGAGCAGTTTGTGGGTGTGACAGATATAAACAAATCATTATGGTTTGATATGGCTCTCATTTGCTGAGAAGCTCCCTGCCTTGATTTGCTTCTAAATTGATCCATTTTTTTATAAATATTCACGGATCGATTTATACATAGTGTGGAAATATAAGAGTATACTGATTGATTATAGACTGTGTTTAACACTTCGATGAACTCAATAAAACATTGTGGTTTATTTATTGTGTGTGTACTGCCTTTAGTTCTTTTCAGACAAGCACCAAGTTTCCATTACAACACTACTTTATTGTATGGGGGAAAGCACTTCAAATTTATGACACCATAGCAGTAACAAACTAAGCAGCAAGTCACATTTACACATGTGCAATTATATCATATATATAACACAATAATGATAGTGTGGTAACTTGATCACTTCCACCCAGTTAAATGTTTCATTTATTTATATTTTATAGGTATGTGTATAGTGTGTTTTAAGTTTGACGAAGCATATAAACTGTCTCTCTCCGAATCCACAACGAAAATAGACCTTTGGTAAACACTAATATGATAATTATAGTCAATATATTATAGTAACACATCAAATCCTAAACTTAGATGACTTCCAACATATGGAAAAATTATCTGGAATTGTTTTATTCTGTTGTCTAATTCCTTTAGTTTGTACAATATAATTTGGACCTCCTGAAGTATGCGCACCAAGATGGTGCACAACCTGAACCTGTTAGGGACATCAACATCTTGGTGCGCATACTTCAGGAGTACCTATAATTTTCTATACTCACTTCTCCTTCAACATGATTCTCCAAGGTATTGAATATTTTTCTGACAACTTGCATTGCTGCTTCTTTACAAACTAATTTAAGATCTGATCCAGAATATCCCTCAGTTTTCTAAAAAAAAAATATTGTAAATTGATTGCCTGATGATGTTGAGAGAAAGAACCAATGAAAGTTTCTCTTTATAACTATTCCTTTACTTCTTGAAACAAAAGAGCAATGCTGAAATATATGAGCGCAGAGTTCGCACATAGGTACTGGGCGCTCCAGAAGTATGTTTACCAATATGGGGATAACTAATTTTGTTCGCCTACTTTACATCAAGTTGGGTGGAGGGACTGAAACTTATGGACAGGGATGGACAGGTATATTCAGTTGGTTAAAACAGACAGTCCCCGATCTCGAAATATAACTAAAATAAGAAAAATAGGAATAAAATTATGGCCTAACCCTAACCTGGTACACATACTACGAGAGTACAGGTACAGAAAAATCTCAGAACACAAAGATCGTGGGATAAGCATGGTGGAAGTGGTCATGAGTGACGATAAAAATGGGGTCCTTTTCAATTTGAATAAAATTTGTATGACATATAGGACCCCAAAAGACAGAAAATAGTTTTCTGAAAAAAAAATGCCATAATATTGTTCTGATTTTTCTTATTTTGGTTCTATTACGAATTCATCAACTGTTTGTGTTAGCCAAGTGAATATACCCCCTGCCCATAGGTTTCAGTCCCTTTACACGACTTGATGTAAAATGGCCGAACAAAATTAGTTATCTCCATACTGGTACATACTTCTGGAGCGCCAAAATTTATACATAAATATCTGAATAAGAAGCAAGATAGCGGCTGGTATTTACACCATGAAATTTTTAGTTTGGTTGAATTCATTGGAAGGCAAATCAGCTGGTTAATTAAACCAGAATATAAATTATAATCACCTCAGCTAGAGCTCCGTAATCAAGGTTTGTGTTGATGATCAAACTTCCTTCACTATTTTTCGGAGGTAGAAACCTGAAAAGAACATTGAAAAAATCAGTAATTCTCAAACTTCATTGATCAGTAGGCTCCTAAAAAAACTCTCAACACTTGGTGCCTCTGGTTCTTCAACAAAAATACCTAGTTTTGGTTTTAATTAGTTTTCATCCAATATTTTAAGCGCCATGTTTAATAATAAATAGCAAAAAGAACCTGAGTAAAAGCAGAAATGTCTCATAGTTGAAGAAATAGACAAATCAAATTTCCTTGAATTAATGTAGTCATATGGAGGCCATATAGGCCATTGGATTGTACTAGTTTGACTTGCTTGGTCTAAATTTAAACTCCTTTTTCAATCACTCACCTATAAAACATAGATTTTCTTGCTTCATGATTTGGAAGATCAACAAGTATTCTTTTCTCCAGACGACGAAGCATTGCATGATCTAATTCCCTGTGCAAGAAATAAATTATAGGTTTTTTTATGAACTTCACCAGACAGAAATTTTTCATGGCTCCGAGTTAATGATCACAGAAGAAAGATATACCCAATAACTTACCACGCACCAACGATTGATGCCTAATAAAGTTACAAATAATAATGGGTACTTATTCAAATTAACCCTATTTTAGTTTTATTACGAGTTTGGGGAATGTCTGTGTTAGCCAAGTTAATATACCCCCATGCCCATAGGCTTCAGTCCTTTTACACAACTTGGTGTAAAGTAGACGAACAAAATTACCGTTGTTACCTCCTTATTGGTACACACATTTCTGGAGCGCCTACATTTCTGTTCCACCATTGATGGTGGAAGAAGCTGTAACCAATCAGGGGCTATGTGAACCACTCACTGACAATGAGTCATGTGATAATATGTGGAAGGCTTCTTCTGGCCATCACGAGTTAATGCTAAGCTGTCACATAATCAAAATGATGTCCTTACTTGAATGAGATGAGTAACCAAAAGAATTAGGATTTCCAGAGACAGTAGTCAGCAGATGCACGCAAAATTACAAATACCTTTTTGCACTCAACAAAATATGAAATTAGTATTTTGATAAGTTTCTATATAATATCTGAAAGTCATTAAATTCTTATACCGATGCACTCAAGTCGAATGCCATATAAAATTTGACAGTCACCATTGGTGAACTTTATAATTGAAGTCTAGTATTTTTAATGATATTATTAGCAATATGCAAGTATCTGTCTGTCCTACAGTAATCACACTATCGTTTATACTACCATGGCAAATTCGATGCAGCCAGAACGAATACGAGATCATCTGATTTTGCGAGACCATCCATCTGTACAAGTAATTCCGTTTTCATTCTTCTACTTCCTTCATGTTCACCACTGGAAAATTCGAAAATTTGAATCAAGACGTCATAGCTTAATGTAAGAATGGCATTGTTAGGGAGGCTCAAGTTATTGACTAGACCAGGGGTGCGCAACCTGTGGCCCGCAAGGAAAAATTGTGCGGCCCGCGAAACAAGTATTTAATTTAGTTTAATCTGGTACGTGTGAGTAATTCCAAGCCTGAGTCCAATTTATTATCTATGCCTATGACGTCACAATGCCCAAACAGCTAGCCTGCACGAAGCGAACAACGCATGTCATAAGATCAATAATCAAAATTTTTGTGCTTGCAACTACTAGCAAGCATATGTTAAATAAATAAAGGTGCGATCCGCAGTTTCACCCAGTTATTTGTATCCGCCCTCCAGGCTCCAGTAGTAAAGGTTGCACACCCCTCAACAAGACTTGAGTTGGATTCTAGTCACCGTTTATCAGAGACTCAAGTTATTAAGATAAAATAAATTGGACCTATACTTAACTAACCACGAATGAGACTTAGCTCAGCGATAGACAACCATCAGACCAAGCTCGAGGCTCAGGGTTTAAAGACTTGTATCCAGCACTGACAAATGGTTGTTTCTTGATATTATTAGCAGTGCATGTCATTGCAGTGAAACCAAAGCAGCTTATTTCATATTATTCAGAAATGTGACTTTCTAATACTCTGTCAATATGAACAGAGAGCCATCTTTTGGTCTGGGTTTCGAAGCTGTAGATGTTTTACTTTTAGGTAGTGCATTATGTCCATTTTGCGTCTTGGCTAATAGAAACAAACAACTGAAAAAATGTGATTTTCACAAAGCCTTAAAACGTGATATAAGATAATTTGGTTCTATCGCAGCAATATGACATAAATTCAAAATATAAAAATGTCAAGGCAATGCATTGAGTTCAAGAGCATTGTATATTGCACAAATGCACAATATATTATTGATTTATATGCGAGGTAACGAAATCAAAGGCATTCGTATTATACTAACGTTTTCTATTAAAACAAAAACAAACATAAACCTATGAAAACCAAAACAAAATTACCCAGGACCCGATCCTCTTTGACTCATGACAGATTCCAATTCATCAAGAAATATAGTAGAAGGTGCATGAAATCTCGCTAACTCAAAAAGCACTCTTACCTGAGATTAAAAAAGAAAGAGATGAATTCAATATCACCTATCAGAAATTTAAGAAAAGTAAGTAAGCCTCTAAATTACAGCTCTCAGTCATAAACATTATGTTGCTGCCTAGAAAGTCATAAAAAATTAGAGCTCGACCGATATATCAGCCAATCGATATATCGGCCCGATATTGCGTGTTTGCCAATATATCATATTGAGTAAACCGGCGATATATATCGACAATACTCGGGCAAGCGCTTGGCTGTGTGATTCAATGACTCTCGCCCTGCGTAACTGGTTTCCCAATATTTCTCTCGCTTTCATTTTGCGGTAAATATGTGTCTTTCCTAATTCCCGGTGGCATATGATTAGCCATTTCATGCATGGTCATAACGAAAAAGTTATTATTCGGAGTAACATTAAAAATCATGTTTTCGAGAGAGTACACAATGAGAAAAGGGCAAATTTAGTATCGACAGAAAACGCTAGTTCTATAAATAGAATCGATTTGAAGTTGGTGAGTTAATAATCACAGAAACATGGTAGAGGAAGCTCAAAGCAATAATGTCATCAAAGTAGTTCCGAATTTGTGACCTTCCCAAATTAAATTTTGAATTTCTCGGGCAACAGTTTTATCTATATTGATGGTTGTTTATCATTATGCTGAGAATTACACAAAAAACTACAGACTCACGAGGTACATCATGAAAACCCATTTTGTGCCACAGAATTTTTTGTGCAACGAAAGTGGGTCATGAGAGAAAAAAGGTCGATAACCACTGATTTAGCTTCAATATAGTTGTTTATATATATATATAACGACTTTTATTTTTATCATTGTTCTGAAGAATTTTATCTATAAAAACACTCAAAACGGGCTAAACTGTTTCATTCGCTTTTCACCATTTGTGCTGCATTAATACAGTAAATATTGCATATACCAATTTTTCGGAGTCTCCTCTCCATTTGCTAACAATAGTGGAAGCTGATATATTAAAGAATGTTGTATTGCACTCTGTTGCAACTGCTTTTGCCAGAAGTGTTTTACCAGTTCCTGGTGGTCCATATAATAACAAACCCTTCCATGGTGACAAAATTCCAGTGAATAATTGTGGATACTGAAAAATATACAATGCTATGTTATATGTAAAAATGTTATACTATTCAGTGTTGGTAAATGATTAAAAAAAGGGGCGCTCCAGAAGTGTGTGTACCAATATGGAGGTAACTAACTTTGTTCTATTTCGCAATTTGTACTGTATTTTAAATTTTTATGAAAACTTATTCTATCTCATATTTTATCTATACATCATGTGTATTCAAAACAATAGCTAAATTTACACCAAAATTTTGAAATTTTTTTAAAAGATAATGTAAAGATTTCAAGCATTGAGGACAAAAGATTTGAAACTATTATAGTAGAGTTAAATTATGGGACTTCAACACAATAGCCTTCACTCCACAGTCCACATATCATTGTTCGATTCATATTCGAAATGACTATAAAAAATATTAAATATATTCTTTATATTAACCTAGAATCACAACTACATTCTTTAAGACAACAATATATTTATAAATAACAACCGAAGACAAATAACATAGCAATGTTAAGTATGACTAAAACATTTAATGTTAGAAAGCAAGGGTGGCATGATGGCCCAGAGAGCAATTCCCGAACTTTTTGTTGGTGCGGTGTGAAATTATCAGAGAAAAAAATCTGTTAATTTTCGTGGCGCATCCTTTGGGAGCCGCTGGCATAGAGGTTAAAGTGCAAGACATTGCAGATTACACATTTCTGGTTCCAGTCCCATGCCCTTCACATCCCCAGGATGTAATAAATTGGGTAGGGAAAGCAAAACTGTAAAAATTCTGATCCTTACTAAAAATAGTAGCTTCTTAAATACCGTTAGATGGCAGGGCCTGCTTGTATAGGCCTTGTTCAGGGCGACGTGATTAAGCGTAGTATTAGAAACGAGAAGCCAGGCAACTCACTGAATCGGAATAATGGTATTACAATCAAACAACGAAAGCAAAGCATTTGTAAACAATAGCCACTGAAATATTATCTCAACATAATCTATTTGAGGTAATATGAGATGTATTATTATTGTAAAATGTTTTTGTTTCATTTTATGTCCTTTAACATAGGGTAGACAGAGGTCAGTCTGTTATCTACTCATATAAATGTCTAATCATTCTATAAATTGTAAAGGTCGTCAAGAACAATTAAAAAATTGTCAACATAAGTAATTATTTTATATCTTGATGTGTGTTCTTCTACACAAGACTTATCCATGCCTTTCGCCCTGAACATGACCTTATACAAGCAGCCATCAATACATGACAAAATGTAAAAAGTTACTTTTATTTGGAAGAGCTGGAATCTTTCTGGTATGGCATTGCCTACTTAATTTATTACACCCCAGCTAAGATGGGGGGTAACCATTTAAAACCCAAAATGTATAATCTGTGATGTAAACACAATCAAGTTTAACGCTCTAATAGCTTGGCCAACGCCCGTATTGGTGTTGTATTGTCAAACATTATTGTAAATAGGATTAGCTGTCCTAACAGTCTTCCCTAATAACCATCTAAATTAGAATCAAAAATTAAATTCGTGATTTTACAGCAAGTTTACTTCTTTATTTCTGTGTATTTTCTCACCTTTATAGGATAAACAACTGCTTCCTTCACTAATCTCTTAGCAGATTCTAAGCCGACAATGTCACTCCATTTTACACTAGGATTATGTAAATAAATATCTCGACTTATTACTGTGGCAAGTTCTCTCATTTCATGATTGAAGCCAACAAAACCACCTGAAAAGATAACAGTAAGTCGTCAGTGCTATTTCAAGCAAACAGAAATATGGTTTTGTTTAATGACACCTTCATTTTAATGGTTTATAAGATGATTTGCATGAAGTTTTAATTTAAAAAACGACATCAAGATGTGTATTGGAGTGTATTACTTAATCTTTATTGAGAATAAAGACCAGTTCTCAGAATATAGAACTAGAGCTCTCATTGAGTTGAACATAGAGACTGAAACATACATGATAAAAACTGATGATTTCTCAATAACACGTGCTGCTACAAAACTTGATAGGATGGGATTTACATATTTATTCTGGGGGAGAGGTAAGCTGATAAGACAGCTTAACCATATGGCAAACCACGGCCTCTCGTCCATACCTGTCCATGTCAGGTATGGGATTAGTTAGTTATTTGTTTTCGAAGCATGGATTTGATGGTGGAGGAAGCCGTAACCGACCAGCGGTTACGTGAACCACCCTACGGGGGCGAGGAGTCCAGCAATCCCCTCGCACATAATCATCCCCACATGGGATTCGAACCCATGCAGAGTAATCAGAGGTGCGGTGGCGAGATTTCCTAATGCTTAGCACGATGAGCCGCGTCGCAATGGTTGTGACATTGTGTTGTCTAAGTTTAAAGAATATCGGTATTATTGCCATTGCATCACACCACTGATAACCCTGTGAGGGTACACAGATGAAACAAGCGAGGGATAATTATGTATGAGAGGATTGCTGGACTCCTCGTAATCGTGGTTCACCACATAGTTAAGATGTCTTCTCAACGTTTTTCTCCCAGGGATTAATGGGAAAATTCTATCCCAACTACATTTTCTGGAGCGCATGCCTAATAACTTACAAGATATAGATAGCTGTTTTGCAGTATAGTCTATGGTGAAAGTAGATTTGCACTCAAAAAAATAGTAATTCACTTACCTAATGGTTTAACCAAACGATCAAAAGAATTGTGTGAATCAGTTACAATATCACTTCCAGCCCCTTTGATAGCATCATTTAATATTGCACGCATATCAATGATTTCCTATGAAAAATTATGGGTATACGGTAGTTTAGTTGAATTTATTTTGTCCAGTGGATACATACTGTAACTTATTACCTTTCGAGGATTTTCAGTTTTTCTCTCATCTCGCACTCCAACTGATGATACAGTCAAACCTAAATCAGCAGGTCTTACGGTTACTGATTCATTTGTAGAAGATTTCTCACTCGCGTTACTGTTTTGTCTCAAATATTCTGCAAAAATAGTTGAAGATATTTATTAATATACGTCAAGATAAAGCTGTTTTTTCTCAAACAGTTTATTATGTTGGTAATGTGAAAAGCTTCTAATTAGCACACAAGTCAAGCAGAGAAGTGCAATTGTGAGACAGAGTCCAGCCAACTCAAGCCTGTAATATCAAGTTTACTGTTAGTGTAGCCCCCCACAGCTTGGCAGTATGCATTGCGCTAAACGTTATAAATACACTTCTGATCGTCATTGCACCTCTGATTAGCCTATGCAAATTTGAAATGATAATTATGTACAAAAGAATTGCTAGGCTCCCTTCAATGGTATGGGAGTTCATGTAATTGATGGTTGGATATAGCCTCCTCTAATATTTAGTCCAAGAATCTGAAAAAATAATTGGTCAACTATTCTCATACCAGACATGACCTGTAATAATTATTAAATCTCTGTAGTGTCAGTCGACCTTGGCACTACTGTACTCATCTTTAACTTTGTTCAGATATCAACTCCTTTGCTTCTGAGAGTGCGCGCATGACCTTGCTTTGAGAGTAAATTTTCTTGTAAAAAAGTTTTTATGTATGCAAATGAATAATATTATCAGTCACCTTTTCCTTGTGTTCTAGAAGCGAGTTTTTTCTTTGCATCATTCCCCGACGCAGGTCGTATTCTACGAGCTGATCCGTTCGGATTTCCAGTTAAATTAGTAATATGTGGAAGAGATGAAGAGTTAGTCAAATGAGTTGCATTATTACTGTTGTTCCCATTCAGTCCTGCTACAGATGGACTAAAAAGAAAATCATTTCATTTGGTGTGAAAATTAAAAAGTGAATCAATAAATTGTAAAGATAAAGATAGACGGTGGCTTGAGGCTAGAGATGTGTTATTCCAAAATACTTATATCAAATCCAGAATACCGAATCCTTGTATTTTTATTTATCGTTACTTATAATAAACAGTGGAAATTTTCCCACCATATAGCTGAGTTAAAATTTTCAAAAAGCAAAATTGCAATGGCATTAGTGTCTTTGTATTGGAAGCATTAGACAATATCATTTGTTTCATTCATATTGTAGAAAATATATTCAATCACTAAATAATGATATTTCAAATTAGGACTCAAGGTCTAAATTTTAAAAAATGTGTTAGAATTTTAAATACACAAGTAAAAATTGATTAGACATTTAAACTAGTGGGCTTATTTTCTAACATAAAGTTATTCTTTTATGCATTTAATCAGTATTTGAATTTGAATGCACATATTCTAAGAATTATACAACTGTATGGTTGTTAACTTTTCATAAATTATTATACTCATTATTAAGTTTCGAATATAAAATTATATTTTCTCTAAGAAATCTGTGTACTTTGTTCCAAGTACGAATCTTACCGCTTAACCCGGTTTATCTTTCCTCTTGATGGTTCTGCACTTGTAACAATTTTCTTGACAATTTTTGGATGTTTTTGAAATTTGATGTAATAATATGATTCAAATTCTTGTAAAACTGTATCCAGGTCAACGTTGTCACATACCTACAAAATTTAATGAAAAGATTACTTGAGGAATAATAATTTTTAATTCTCATTGAAATATTTCACATGCATCTTCTATGTTGGTATAATATGAGGAAGGAAAAGAGCTGAAAGTTTAGGAATATATGACATAAAGCATTGGAGAAAATTATCATTCATCTGATAAAAATTTCATTTTTCGAATGACACATTTGATTTCCATAATTTTCTGAATCATTCATTCATTTAACAACAACAGTTTGATATGTATTCAATTGAAAAAAATTACAGTAAATATGTATATTTGGACAAGATTAATTTAAAAATGCTTTTTCATATTACTATAAAATATCAAAAAATTTCTAATGGTGCATGTATATTGCTAGCATGAATTAAAATCAAATTATATTAAGGTTTACCTGCCATCTAGATAAACTTAGGTTTGCTTCTTGTGACAAAGATGCCATAGATTCTAGATATCCATTGTCTGATAAATGTGACAATATCAAAATCAATAAATTTCTTTTGCGAGTTTCTTGTCGCTGATCCTCCTGCATGCAAAAAAAAAAACAGTTTTCAAATTCTTTTCTTATCTTTTTAATACACGAAGGAAAATCAGTATGACTGATTATGAGAATAAGCAACTCTTTATGATGTCACGTATTACAGTATCAGAGGTTGCTGGGTTCTGAGTGTTATTTTAAATAAAGCTAGAAAAGTGTAAATTTGAACAGTGGGCATATTTCACAACTGCTGAACTGGCAGACTAGGTAGACTAAAACAGACAGAAGTAAATCGAAGACGGACTAGAGCCGAGATTTATGAGCAAATATCCATTACTTGAAATGCACTTTAGTTTACTCTGCCATGAAATAGAGACAGCAGTTCGATCTATTTTTGTCCGATCAAAATTCTAAAATTTTAATGGCTGCTAAATTACAACCGATACTACTTACCGACTCTCGCACTTGATTTGCTGTTTTGATTGACTGATAACTAAGTTCCTGTGCCATATTCACTATGATTACTTAAATAATGATAATAAAAAACGCACAACCAAAAACCGCGAACCTACTGCGCACAAATGCAAGACTTTCCACTGTGGCGTCTGAAAGGCATAGCTACGGGGTCAAGGAGCAACATTCCGAGCGTGACATCGATCACCATCCTTGTTACCTTTTCTTGTCACAACATATATCAGCAAGTACAGACTTATATTTTTATCAAATAATCTCATCACACTATCTTCGTGTTCAACCCTAAAAAAACTTGACTTGACTATGGTATCAGCTTTCTCTCACCCTGCACATCACAGGTAATTTTCAATATTCCTAATATGCATTTTATATATATACCGTATACCGGTAACACACTAAAACACGAAAGTTCCTTCCCAATTCTTCTTTCCCTACCAAACATTTTTAGTTAGGAACAAAATGGATAATAATGGGAAATCACCCATTAAGTCATTTTTAGGCCTATGTCTGATGAAAATGTTTAAATTGGCTCAAGGAGATGGGAATAGCCATTTGATGGACGCGGAACCAATGCAAGTTTATACAAACAAGAGATTGTATAAACATGAAAGAAAATACTGGGTTTGTTGACAATGCTGGCTTTTTTCTGATGGGCATATGGAGCACACCAGCTTTCATACCACGAACTACAATGCAAAATCATTAAATATATAATCATTGGGAATACATATAGAATCCATACTGCAATGATATGACTATGGGACGAAATGACTTTTACACCAGGTGTGGTCAACCTGCTTTCGACTAAAATCTTCAAAACAGCTCGCGATCGACTGATCGATAATAAGGTCGTACACAAAAACAAATAAGTACCGAATATGCAGATAACTGCACATGCGCATATAAATATTCCACTGCTGCTGCCATTTTTAATGAAATTCCCCCCCAAAAAATGTATTTTTTATGTTCCATTCAAGTTGTTATTATAGTTAATTTGTATGTTATTAAATTTACTCCATATCAGACGCGTTGGCCACCCCTGTTTTATACTATCAAGTATCCATAAATTGATCTTCACCTGTCGCACAAGATGTAAAGATAGATAATGGTGACATTCAAATCCTATAAAGTCTTTCAGCAGTATGGTATGTTTACCAAATACTGGTAAGAGTATCACAGTTCTGGCTCTGTACTCGCACTACCGGAGAACATTGAAGAACTTTAAAATAGAGTATGCCAAAATGAGATTTTAGTCATTGTATTATTAGAAAGAATCGCCAGGGTCGCTCAATTAATAGGACACAACAGGACAAGAGGTGAGTATAAGAATATGTTTATTGACTTGAAATCAGAGGCTAATGCAGCTCATCATATTCAACAATGCAATAAAAAAAATTATAAAAATGGAAAAAATTAATAATAAGATTGTAAGGCAGCACATAAAAACGTATGTATGTTGGCATAAAAATACAATGCAATTAATTCATTAATTATTATTAAAATATAAACTACAGTTTAAAGGATACCAGGAGTGAGAAAAAGCATAAATTGCACAATTGTTCCAAAACAAGGCGTTGTCATTCCCAATTTTAAAGCATTACTAGTACAAAACCCTTATAAAATTTGATTTCTGAATAAAGTGTAACTTTAAAAGACAATAGCATAGTAAATATTCATGGAGCATAAAAAGTTTGCCTTAAGTGCTTTTATAAAAGTCAAATGTTAGAACAAATGTAATCTGATTATCTTAACAACATTTAAACAAAATTCACTCACAATTTTAGTTTTAAGGCCACTGGCAACCAAACCATGATATATTTGCAACAATGTAAGAAGAATAAAAATGACACATTCTCAGTAAACTTTTCACAAATCAAAAGCACCTATGAACACAGAATGCATACCATCAATTGGCAGTTCGTTTCACAATGAAAAAATAATACTTGCATTATCAGTTGTAAAATAGGCGCTCTCGAAGTATGTGTACCAAGATGGCACACAACCTGAACCCTGACCTGGTACACATACTATGTTCAGGTTTTGTGTCATCTTGGTGTACATACTTCTGGAGCTCCTCAAAATATAATTCAGTCAGGCTTACAATCACAGTCATCAATGCACATTGGTGATCCAAGTTCTAATTCATGCTGCAATAATTCAATATCATGGGCTTCCATCTGGCTGGCTTCCACCAACCAGTCATTTAGAAGAGATGAAGAACTTGTTGCAGATTCACATTCCATGTCATTTGCTTGTTCGTGGCTAAATATTCGACCCTTTGTTGAATCCTGTTCATTTCCTTCAAGATCAGGCTCGTATCCTATGCCATAACCTCCCACCATGATATCATTCTGTTGTAATGAGGGAAAATCTCAGATAATTAATCTGATGAAAGCATTTCAATCATCAACTTAAAATAAAGAGAGTACAGGGGACCCCAAAACGGAACCAATAATTTCTCAACTACTCCTACGAAAATTCATTCAATACTTAAACTAATGTTTGTGTATGATTGTACCCAAAAGTTCCAGTAATCTTGGATGCTTTGAACAAAAGTTACATTATTTCTGGAATGTGACCTGGGTTCTGTTTGTTTGGGTCACCTTGTATGATATCGAGTTGAAGGAATAGGAATAAACAAAAATAGAACCAGAGCCGTGTAACAATTATTAGTAAGGCCATCATGCCATATATAAGGTAACCACAAAAAAAAATCCATAAATTTTTGAATTTACTCCTACAAAAATAAAGAAAATTTATTTAACACTTGAACACCTATACAAGAAACCAACTATTATAAAATAATCTTTAGTAAGAAAGGCATCATGTCATGCACATAATTTTATACATTAGATTCAGCAGATCAAGAGTTTAAAAGCAAACTTCTTTCGGAAAATTAAAGGCAATCTTACCAAAAATGTGAAGTTATTTTTACTTTGATCTTGCTTTGGTTTGGATAGTGGATTTTGCGTAAGACTTGCATTGACAAAAAGCATTTCATTCCTGTTACAATCTGCACTTTCGGACAACATTACAGATCCATTTTTTGTGTTCAAAAACTTTGTGTCAGTGTAGTTTTTGTTGGGTATTTCTTGACCATAACCAGTAGAATATGCTAGATGTTCTCTGTTGCATTTATCAAACTCAGATAA